AGACCAGACACGACGAGTTCTATGTGGCCGTGGCTGGTCAGCACGACGAGAATATGATATTATTACCCAACTCGACCGATTACATATTCCGGGTCGATTTTAGTACTTTGGAGGTGTCCTCGACAGGAGAGGTGCTCTCGAATGTCACTGTGACGAAACTCACCGACCTCGAGGGCTCTCAGCTCGTGAATGGAGCCACGACGCTCAATGAAGACGCTATCTTGGTTTCCGATTCCTATAATGGATGAGTCTATAAGATCGATGTCCGGACTGGTGAATATGATGTGATCGTCGATGACCCTCTGATGAAGGAGAGCTCAGGTTCAGAAGGGAAAACCGGTGTCAATGGGATCAAGGTCTTCAGAGGATATCTTTACTGGACCACCATTGATGCTGGTCTCCTGGCCAGAATTAAGATCAATGAGGACGGGAAGCCATGCGGTGCATCCGAGATTGTTGCTTCAAATCTGACGGAGCCGGACGACTTCACTCTGGACGAAAACGGGACAGCATATATTGCTCTGGGCCCCCTGAACGAAGTCCGCGTTGTCCATCCTGGAGGCAGCAGCAGGTCGGCAGCTGTGGATGGGCCAACGGCAGCGAAGTTTGGACGTCAACATGGTGACCATCATCGACTGTATTTCAGCACTCATGGAGGCAGGTCTTTTGTACCAAATTCGAGTCACTGTGAAGTAGACGCGATGGGCTAATAACCTGACAGGGTCGAACATACTGTCCAATAACAGCACGGCAATTTACAATGGGACCATTTCGTATGTCGACATCCCCCATACGATATGGTGACTGCTAGGCCGGTGGCGGTCAAGTTAGGAGGTAATATATAGGAGATAGTCTTTACTCAATGGATCTTTCCACTCAGTGGATACTGTTTAGATGCTAGACGAAGACCCCAGCCAATTAGCTTGTGAGTTCCATGGATATAATTGCGCCTGAATTGTATGCTGGCCTGTCAATAATCCCGTCACATGCTTGTATTCCCAGACAAGAATTATCATGACTCAAGCACACAAGGGGATCTATTTGGCTGGAAAACAATCGGATGACGTCAGGTGTCCAGCATGAACATAAGTGATCAAGGGCGAACAAGACAAAACAGCAGATTAGATAGCGCAAGTACTGCCCTCTGCTCCAGTCCTCATACGAAGAAAATGAGGATAATGAGCAGCATCAAAGGAGGAATGCACAGAAACAGTGGGAGTCTGTAGCAGGCGTCATGTGGCGATGGGCGACGGCCTCCCGAAGACTCCACACCTGAGGCCCAACTCTGCCCGCGTGACGTCTGAACCGCTGCTGACTGCCAAACCCCACACTAATTTCCTGGGGTTGCTATGCTGCAGAGTGCAGACTAGCAGACTACCAAGGCAAGGGCAGTCCGCTTGCAGTACATTCACATTCATTCTCGCCTCCATTCTCTATGTTTTTATTCTCAAGTGCTCTCCTTGACTTATAAAGTGAGGACTGCAGAAGATTATCTGGCATCCTTCTAGTCTTATCTTCATGCTTTGTTCTGGTCAACTTCTTCTCTGCTCCTCCTCCCTCTCTACATTTGCCAAATGGATGGCTCTCCCTCAACGTGAAGCCTACTACCATGTCGCTTTTTCATGACTCGCCTATTGTGCAACCTAAATGTTACGGCGGTGTCAAACCCCGGAGTCGGCTCAATGTCTCATCGACCCCGGCACGGCAGCGCCGTATTCTATCGAAATCGATTTCCATCCCCTCGTTACCATCGGTGGTGCGGAACTCGCTATCATGGGCTGGGGATACCCTAAATGCGTATCTTGATGGAGCCTCAAGAGAGCAAAACAAGGCGCTCACGGATATTGAGGATCGCAAGCAGATTTTGTACCTCAGAATGCGTAATGTAAGTCGCTAGCCTTCTTCTTTCCATTGCCGCTGTCGGTCCTTAGCTAAATCAGATTCATGGTCTAGGCAGTCTCGTACGAGGAGTGGAGGAATTGCGCCTGCGAACTGGACGAGTTAGAGGACAATAATACCTGGAAACAGACGTTCGAATGTTCCGAATACAACCCTCACCTTGTGCAAGAGCGTCTCAAACAGCTGGAAGAAGCTCGCATCAGTTGTGACGTAAGCCGCATGCTTTTTCTGATTCGCACTTCGCTGAGTCGCGATCTGGGAAATATGAGCAATGCGGCGCTGTACAGGCATTCTCATGTCGGTACGAAGGACTTGATCGACCGGTACATCACGACGGCGCTCGATACGATATCAATGTTGGTGGAACTGGCTGGAAAGAAGTGTGACGTGTTGGAGTTGAGGTATATGCTCGATCAACTGCTCGCCGCGCGACAGGCGTTTGGTCGAAGTGCTCTTCTATTCTCGGGAGGCGCCACGTTCGGTATGAACCATATCGGAGTACTCAAAGCTCTGTGGGAAGCAAAACTGCTCCCGCGTATTATTTCCGGCGCCTCAGCAGGCAGTATTGTCTGTGCGGTTTTCTGCACACGTACGGACGATGAGTTACCAGCGCTTCTGGATACTTATGCTTACGGAGATTTCGCCGTCTTTGACGAGGAAGGAAAGGAGGAGAATATCTTGCAGAAAACAGCGCGATTTCTGAAATACGGCTCCTTTTTGGACATTTCGCATCTTGCTAGAGTCATGCGAAACTGGCTTGGTGACATTACATTTCAGGAAGCATACAACAGGACGAGGAGGATATTGAACATTTGTGTCTCCAGTGCTGGAGTGTACGAACTTCCAAGGTTGTTGAACTACATTACCGCACCCAACGTGATGATTTGGTCTGCTGTGTAAGTTTTATTATCCTGATGCTCAACGTACCCTCGATATCTTCCCCTGGTTGTGTCCTGACTTGCTATAGAGCTGTTTCCTGTTCAGTACCACTGGTTTTCACGCCCTTTGTTCTGATGGCCAAGGATCCATTGACCGGAGAAGCGGTCCCTTGGACTGATTTTCACAAACAGTACATTGACGGCTCAGTGGATGGAGATTTGCCCATGACCAGGTTGTCTGAGATGTTCAACGTCAATCATTTCATCGTCTCACAGGTGAATCCTCATGTGGTCCCTTTCCTTCCGAAGGATGATGGTCCCAGCCACGGGCCGATGCAAACGTCATCTTCACCTAGCTGGCTTCACACCGTGACACATTTAGCCAAGGACGAAATATTACACCGGATGACGGTCTTGTCGGATCTTGGTATCTTCCCCACATCGCTCACGAAAGCTGCGTCCATCATGAACCAGAAATATTACGGAGATATCAATATTTACCCGGAGATTCTCTACGCAAATTTCCCTCGAATCCTCAAGAACCCGACCACTGAATTCATGCTTCAGGCGTGTCTCAGCGGAGAACGCGCGACTTGGCCCAAACTCGGATGGATCAGGAATCACTGTGCTATAGAGCTCGCATTGGACTCGGCTATCCAGCAGATGCGCGTGCGAGTTGCCTTCAGTCCTAGCCTGGTTAACTTGAGGTACCAAGGGTTGAATGGGCATTCCATTGATTCGCTCGATAGCAGTGGAGGGCGCGGACGCATGCTCAACCGGAGGAGCTCGTACGATCATGAAGTGGAGCGAATGGAGGCAATGCGCCCCAATTCTGGCCGTCGATCCACAGCGCAAGTGAGGCGGTCTCGTAGCGAATTTTTCGCCGAACAGTCACATACCTTGAGTGTTGTTCGTTCTGCCGAAGTTGGACAGGAGATTCAAGATCGAGGCGACGACCACCCGATCGACCTGACCGTTGACGGAACATACTGTATTGACTTCGATTATGACGAAACGGATCTATCCTCTCCAGAGCGACCAGTACTTTTACGGGGTTCCTCATGGGGATCGTCAGCGGGTGTGCAGCCAGGATCACGGCATTGTCAGCAGAGCCCTGTCCGAACTCGGCCGTCCCTAACATCAACCGCGTCCGTGATAAGTCCCTTCGTAGGCGCATCACGTTGGCCATCATCTACGCACACTACCGACGATGCCAGCACCCGAATGTCGTTGTACTCAAAGACGATATCACCTTCTCGCAGCTTACTACAGATGACGCCTGCAGTTCATGGGGGCTCGACTGGTTCGTCAACCCGTCACTCTTACAGCTGATACACAATCAGGGTGACCAATATAAATGCTTTCCCATCTTAATGAACTATGGCTCATCTGGGGATATTGGGAACTCCACTTAGAGACTCGACAAGAAGTCAGTTTACGAAGCACTCTATCCAACCACCTTTTTGAGCATTTGTCCAGCATGTGAGCCACGAGCAGCAGTCCATTTCTTACTATGACCACCTTTTACGACTTTCATTCGCATGTGATGTTGCCACTGGGTTCTAGACCATGAATCTTGGAAGTTAGACAGATGCCTGCAAAGGCTTTTTTGGCGACAGGGAAGCCTCGATTAGACAGTACATATACCACGACCTTAGGAAAGGACTTGGAGTTGGTTTTCAGGTCATTTGACAGGTTCACAGGTCATACCACAGCATTTTGAAACGGCGTTCTTAAGTATTTTGTGGGCAAGAGAGAGAGTTGATCTGTATTAGAGCAGACGATCAATAGATGCACCTCATACATCCTATCTCATTTCATGCTTGCTCTGTATAATCGAAGACACCCGGTTGGCCACAACAACCCTCATGAGCTGACAATCCGCTGACCAAATCAGTTGCATGCAGGACAAGGATACTAATTCATTTAACAAACCGAATCCTGCATAATTAGTGTGGTTCGTCCTCTTCAGCTAGTGCTGAGAAGGTTTCACTGGGCGCTTCGCTGCTGCACTGCAACCTCAGCCCTCCTAGTGTTGAACTAAATTTGGCACAATTATCCTGCAACCAGCCTGCAAAAGAAAACTAATTATGGTACTTGACTGCATATTCCAGATTAATTCGAAGTATCCGCGCTGTTTTACATGGATAAGTTTCTAAGAATGGATATGCTAGCCTGCTGCAATGCCTGTTAAGTGACGCTAATATGCCGGGCGGCAATAGAGCGTCTTTGTTTGTTGCTAATGTTGGCAACTTGATCGACCGGATCGATGCAAGCTTAAGCTCTTTGTGGCTGTTTCAGAGACTCAGTGGATGATGAAACATAATTAGAAAACAGCAGCGTTAACTGGATATCCAGCATGGATAAGCTTATATACACCCGTTGTCGTCCTGGTCGACAAGAGTCTCAAGCTTGTCCGCAGACTTGCTCTGGTGGTGCTTGTGACTGAAGCCTGCCCTTGTCCTGCATTGCATAGATTGATGGTGGTCATCCGTCAAGATCATCTGTGCCTTATCCTTGTACCCTGAGCCCTCGCGCTTGGACATTGCAGAGCAGCCTCGTTCCCCCAGACTGCTCTCCCAGCTTCGGCTGCCAGTCACCTCTATATACCGCTGATCCCAGCATCAGTACGGAGTACTCCGTACCATGAGCCATCTCTCTGCTCCCAAAGCAAAGCAGCAGCATTGAACAAAACCAAAAATGGCCAACATCGTTACTCGTCCCCTCAGCATCTTCCGCAAGCACGACTCCTCCAAGCCCCAGTCGCAGCCGCAATCACATTCACTACACACCAGATGGGGCGACGCAGCCATCTCCGCGCCAACAGACGGCTCCTGGACCCAATACACTACCCCCGCCCCTCATCAATCTTTCTCCTCCACCCGCAGGAGCAAGAGTAAGAACAATAGCAAGAGCAAGGGCATGGACAAGCCAGCCTACGAAGTGGAATACGTGCCTCGCACGCATCAACTCATCGAATCCCGCCCAAGCTCAACCCTAAACCCAAACTCCACCCCTTCAACCTCGACCTCGACCTCCCTGTCACGGCGTCTCTCTATACGTCTGACGCCTAGATCAAGGAGCTCCTACTCGGACTGTGACACAACCGAACGCCAACCCCTCGTCGAGCGCCGGGCCCAGTTCGCCTACAGACCCATCCGCCAGGATTATCCCAGCGAAGTCGCCGAAAAGACTGCAGCGGCGCCTCGAATCACCGTCAACAGCGTCGACGAGCGATCTATATCTCCATCTCCATCTCCCGCTTCGTCGCTGGAGCCCACGCCCTCCCCATCGTCGTCGCGCTTCCGGTATATCCCTGCTTACCCGCGGTACGAGGAGGAATTCGCTCGCTCGCGTTTATCGCGCGCGTACTCGGTTTCTTCAAGTGGTAGTTACCGTGCTGGAGACGATGAGAACTGGGACGAGGGGTTCAACCTGGACTCCGGCTCCGGGTCTCTGAGGAGTGGCTCGTCGGCGAAGAAACGGCTCTCGGCCAGACGCATGACCATGACTATGGTGCCTGATGCGGATGAAATTTACGGATGATTTGGTTTTGTTTGTTTCGTTTGCCTTGAATGCATTTCTGGCTCATGGTGGACTTTGCGGCATATTTCAAGGCGTTGGTGGGTTGGCGTCGATTTTATTTATATTTTCGGTAACTTCATAGGTGTTAGGCAGAACCATGATAATGATAATGACATTATGGCTTCCAGTAGCTGCTTCCTTATCCTATTATCAACTCATATGACATCTTACATAACTTAGTTGTAGAGAGTTGGAAACCACCTCACAAATCACGCCTTGTCTAGATAAAGAGTGGAAGTCTGAACCAATACTCTACGCTACACCCGCGAACGCTATTTAATTGAAATCACTTAAATTTACTATCGAATGATCAAGTCTATACTCTTCTGAATCCTACCTGAACTGACGATAATAATACACTGGCTATATGCATATTCGCATACATGCTAAGATTCCATGGAGAAAAGGTACCCGAGGTGAGGGTTCTATCCTGACGTCAGAGTCAGATTGAACACCATCACCATCGCCATCACCAGTCGACGTCAGAACGCTTCAATCGTTCGATCATATTTCCTATTGGCGCGTGGCATCCCCTCTTCACTTCTTTCACAGTCGCATCGATTCATCTAGCCCAGCTCGCTGCGATATCAGGCCACGGCGGAGTCAGTTTCCCACCAAATTTCCTGTTCTATCGCCTGTTCCACTGGGTATACCAACAATGACGCCATGCCCACGCATTGCTGCAATACCTTATCGTTGTCGCAAAGTCCGGCCAGCTTCCTCACTGCTTTCTACATCGCTCATAATTATTATCCCTATTGCTTCCTGAATCAATTGCTTGAAGATCAGGGATAATAACCCTTACAACCAGCGCCTCAATCGCAAATTGAATATATCCGGCACAATGGTGGAATCAGTGGTCCAAATTAAATGTGAATGCAAGGTTCGTCATCACAATCTTGAATTACAGATTCGAGATCTAACGGCCGTATCATAACAGCACGATCCCTGGGGCAAAAAGGGCAAAGATGCACTGGCTGCCCAGCTTTGGGCCAAATCACCTGGCTCCGGCGATATCAAGGAGACAGAGACATATTCTGAGGTGGGGAATCGCCTCATCCTCTAGCCATGCTGCTCATAAAAGTTAACTCTTGAGATAGATGTGGATGGGTACATACCCGACAAATCCGTCGAAAATCCTTGCCACAGGTGAGATGCTCGCCGACTACATCAAAAACAACCCGCAGTTGATCGGGAAGGCCGTTTTGGATCGATATGGTCCAGAGATCCCTTTTCTACCCAAGGTACACACCGTGTCGAGAGAAACAGCCTGCCGACCTTGACTAATGAAGTCTCAGATCCTATCCTTCGCTAAAGCCCTCCCACTTCAAATCCACCCCGACAAGGCCTTGGCTGAGAAGCTCCACGCAACCGATCCGAAAAAGTTCGGCGACCCCAACCACAAACCCGAAATAGCAATTGCACTATCTAACTTTGAGCTCTTTGCCGGCTTCAAACCCCTGAAAGACATCGAGTCCCTCATGAAACTGAAGCCGCTCGAACGGTTTGTCCCGCCTCACGACAAATTCGATGACGAGCTTCTGCGGCAGATTTGCAAGGCGCTGCTGAGCGCGTCCCCAGTCGCCGTTGCTGAAACGATCAATGAGTTGAAGAACATTCCCGAGTCCCAATTTGGTCCCAACAGCAGCTATATTCCGGGCATGCTAGAGAGACTTCGCAAACAGTATTCGGAGTACGACAATGGCAACCTGGTCGCTGCGTTGTTGATGAATTATCTCAGCATCGGACCAGGTGAGGCTGTCAATGTACCTGCAGATAGTCTGCATGCATATCTCCACGGCGACATCATGGAATGCATGGCCCGATCCGATAACGTGCTGAGCACAGGATTCTGTCCCAGGCCGGCTCGGGACAATGTGGATCTCTTCTCACGCGCGCTAACGTTCAAACCTCACTCAAAAGACGAGGTGAGTCTACCACGGAAAAAGAGTGACAAAGGCTTGAATGGGAAAACCGATGAGTATGCGCCCGCCTTTAGCGAATTCAACGTCCTGGCGACTTGTTTGGGCCCCGGGGAGACGGAGACGCACAAGGCCATCTTAGGCCCGAGTCTTATGATCGTCGTAAAAGGTAATGGCCACATGAACGCTCCAGGCGACAAGCGGTTCGACCTGAAGGAAGGATACACCTACTTCATCGGACAGGGAGTTGCCCTAGACTTCTACACAGAGAAGGGAATGGCGGTTTATCGACCTTATGCAGAGTAATCAGGAAGCGGCGCATACATATTAGAGAATGGTCAGTCAATGTTATAGAAGAAATGCATCATCTTGTCCTAGTTCCTTCACTTGTTAGTCCTTGTAATTTCACAATGCAGACCATGTGTGTCAGTTGCTGAAGCAAAGATAGGACCCTTTGAAGTTGAACAACTCATCTGCAGAGAGATGGGTCAGATCGCAATTCCCCCTCCACCCTAGCGCGGAGATACGGGGTCAGGGCGCGCACAACCAAGTCGCCGAATTCTCTCAGCCAATGATTCCCCAATCTGCACCAGTTTGGATGCTATTTTGGGCGAGGAAGGATTCGAGCTGCGTTTCAGCTTTGCGTTTGTCTGTAACAATCAACTAAACAAGATAAGCGCAAGTGATCCTCCCAGAGCGTCCTCCGATTCGGTTTCTATCTTTGTCCATGACTACCGCAATCCCGCATTGCTTGATCCCCAAAATAACTTTAAACTCATGGTTCTGAAACGAGGGACCGTGATCAGGCCCGAGCTTATCAATATGACAGGGCTTAAATATTCTCTTCTTTCCGTTCCATCGGAGAGGGGTGATCTGACAGCTTTGATGGAGAGGCTGGCGAGGCGGATCAGGGTCCTCTCAGTGTTTTGCATACGTGATTTGGTATCGAACAAGCATTGCTTCTTTTCTCTGAAGAACGACTGTCAGCATGGTCATTTCGCGTGATACCAACTATTCAGGTCACGTTGAATCCGATCACGCCTCGTCGACGTCAACCGATGGTTCAGGATCGGGGAGCTCCAGCAATGTCACTGCGATAATCATCGGAGTGGTCGTTGGAGGCGTTGCTGCCATTGCAAGTAGGACTCTCTTCTACCAAGCTAGGTTCCTTTTCGTGTTTCAATGCTAACAAGTCTGTATCAGTCACCGCGGGCATACTCTTCTTCCTCCATAAGAAACGCAGATGGGATCGTATCCGTCGACGCGAAGAACAACTCCTCGAGTATCATAACCAGGCAGGGCTGAAGGCAGAGGATGCTGAGCTTGCAACCATGCGGGGTCGACCGTCATCTTCGCTCTCCATCTACCGCGCCCACTCTGACGACATCAGTGACCGACCACCAGCATATCAGACTTTGCATGTACCGGTCTATGACCCGTCCAGGTACAGAGACATCGATGTTCCACCGGCCGTGCAGTTCTCTGCGATGAGACAACCACCATTGCAGCCAGTTCAGAATGCTCCTCTAAGAGTTTCGTCACAGCTTCGCAACCAGCCTGTCTCACAACTAAACGACGACTCGCCATTGCCACAGCCATTGCAGCCACCAGGGCGGTCATTTCTGGGAACCTCGCCAGATTCGACACGAGATTCGATACAATCAGACAGTCTCTTCCAGGCCACTGTGGTTCCTGCGGACTCGAGCACACTCGATCGGACGGCAAGGCTACCTAGGCGACCAAAACCGGTACTTTCGAGATTGATCACAAATCTCAACTAATGACGAGTCGCCTGTCCGTATTAGTTGACCATAATTCTGGCGTTATGGCGATGTCTTCTTCTGTTGGGATGGCGTAAATGGATATTAGCGATGGCGCATGGTGTTGGGTCTTGGGTTTTCTTACTCTTGTTCTTCTCGTGATCATTGGCTCAGAAGCAGCAGAAATAATGACAACCACTTCATAAACAAAAGCATACAATCTGGAGGACTTTCCAAGTGTCAGAGCCCTGGGCTCGGGGAAGAGGCTCCAGTTGATGATTGATTCAGCAGGTTCGACCCTGAAGGCTGCATTTGGCAATAGGCAGCAGTCATACTAGGACAAATAACGTCAATACTGATGGGCTCGCAAGTTCCCCGAGGACAGTCAAAAAATTGAGGCGCGAGGAAGGAATCATCATGAAGACTGAGTGGGAGGACTCACCTCCTTCCTTTCTCTATGCCCTCATCGTGCATGATGTGGAAGGAAAGTGCAGACTTAGAGGTCTGCTACATCAAGACACCCTCAGCTCGATATATTCTCTTCCAGTCTCGAGACAACACGTCCGGCGGAGACATCTCTCTAATGCCCTATTTCCTCGTCTCTGCCATATAATACTACCTATTCTTATCTCAGTCGTTACTCTCGTTACACGGTACACAGGCGGACGCACTCACTCGGACACCCATTTGCGAATCAGCATGGATGAAATGGTAGCAGGGTGCCTATGCCTGTATGGTTTCGCAACTGTGCAACAACCGGCTGACCAGGCCGCTCTTGTTTTCGGAACGAATCTCTCCGCCGCATCCAACGGAGCCGTTATCAGGAAGGAAATAGCTTGTGCTCAAGCCCTAACGCGGGCATTCCCACCACAGTCGATTCATGTTTTTGAACCCACACGCACCTGGTCGGAATGGAAAAGCAATACTGTTGCCGCAAATGCTAATCCGAGGTCGGCACGCGCGCGCATCTACCGCTCTCAGACGACGTACAGAATGGGCTTCGGAGATGTGGACTTCATGCGGCATGTGGCGAAGAAGCTCGATGACCATAAGGGCGTTGAAATACTGGAACTCCACTGGCTGCTCAGCAGGGAGACGATCCGCTCTCTAGAGTTCGAGGTTGCGCAATCGGCAATGAAGGATGCAGGCCGAAGAGCGGAAGTACTAGCCAGGAGGGCTGGACTCAGCTTTGCTCCCTTGCGGATGACAGATCTCGAATGGCGAGCAAACGGGGACATCTTGCCTGCATCATGGAAGGACGCCGAGAACAATGCGGGTGGCCGGTATCTCGACATGGAGCCGAGGATGTTTCAGTTTAATGCTATGGTCAAAGGCAATTTCATTATCTGGTGAAATGTGCGGCGCGGAAGGGCTGTGCTGGTCGCCGGTTGCCCTTTGTGCTTTTGTGCTTCGGTCACTTTGCTTGTTCGAGAGGGCAACATGCAGAGGATCTCGAAACGCTGGTGTGTCTGGCTTGTGATTTGGATCGCTCATGCGATATATTTTTGTTGAATGGCTAGATTTGCTTGAACTTTGCTCGGTTCAGTGGCTTGGGCTGAATTGCTTTGCTTATGAGATGAGATATAGGATTACAAAGGTATAACAACTTCTGCTTGCTACGTCTACATGTCAAGAATCCTAGCCTGTCCAGGGTACTAAGCCTCCGCAAAAGTAGACTCGAGCCATTGCCTCGTAACATCAAGTTGCGAGACCAGTAGGAGGTCCTTGCTCTGAAAAATTTGCACCGTCTTCATACAAACAGTGGGGAAATCTAGCAGTGCCATACGATCTGCGTCTTGGTACACTAACCGCACAATTGGCTTGCTCTCTCTCATATGGGAGATTTGCACTCCCTGTGGACAATATTCCAAAGCAGAAGCGTAGTTTGTCATTTCAAGGGCCAATTCGTGGAAATAGCTCGACTGGTGTCCCCGAGACTCCGCATTGAAGGTAAGCGTGCAAGTGTCTCTTTCACGGATCCATGCCATAGCCAAGCTTGTAGCAGCTGCGAGGTTACATTTGATCAGACTTAAGGAGTGTTGGTACTAAGTACACGCATTCACGTTCGAGACCCTGATCTGAGGCGGCTTGGCATGTGCGGGTTACGTTTGACTGCCAATATATCCCTCTGCCCTTTGGTATGTCACGAGCGTGGATCCTGTTTGCTTTGCATTGAAAGGACTGACAGGATCAGATCGACAGAGTATGTACTCCGTAGTGTTATCCGATTCGGCCGAACAACGGCGAAAAGCGAGTTTTCCGTCCTGGTCGCAAAGTTGTCAGTCGATGATGTCTTTTCCCAGTCGAGGTGCTGAGAATGATTTGGTCTATTCATCTAGATCCAGTCAATCCGGAATTTCAACCTAGGGGACAACGGCACGGAATGACTGTGATTAGACTAATCAGACATGAGCTGATGCTCCATCACGGCGCGTAGTTAAGCTCTGTGGATGGTTCGGTTCACTGGGCCCCCTCGACGGATTTACGGACTGCGGGACGATCAACCTTGTGCTTGTTCGCTTCTTAACCAACGACAATACGCTAAATAATAGCCGAGTGTTGGTTCCAGGGTTCAGCTCTGACGATGTCCAACCCAGTTAGCGATATTATTATGATGACTTGTCGGTTCTGATTTTGAATAAGAAAACACGGAAAAACACGGTGGATGCACTACTCCGCTTGGGGCAATGGGAGGAAGATGCTATGGCCTTCCTGTTTGAGGATCCAGCTTCTGGTCGTTGCTTTGCCCCTCCTTTTGATCCCTGTCTGTCTCGATTATCCAGTTACCCACACGATGATATGATATGATAGCGATGAGCATCATGGGGCGTGCGAATAGCAGATCCCCGTGAGTGAGACATGACGTCCACACGGAGATTTTCCCCCCCAGTATTGGTCGAACCGTTTCCTCAGCCGCATCCTGACCCTAAGACGACATACGTTGACGACTTATCTGTCCTTAGATTACGTAGTCTGACCATCTAGGCTACTGCCTGGCAATTGGGGCACGATGCAGAGGAACGGAGGTTTTCGTCGTGGATGCGATTATCGACGAGAGTCAACCGCGGTGTTGGAAGATGCTACCTGCTTAGTCTCCACATAGTTTGTCATCTTCCATTGCGCCCTTGCGAAAGTCCCACATCTTCTCGAGGCTTAATCGATTGATACGGCTGCCCCCTGGTCCTGCTTCGAGCAGTAGATGATGAGCAAGCGCCACGCCAAGACGGCGGACAGCTGCGGGCGTCGTTGTGTGCAACGTAGTTGACCAACATCCAAGATCGCTTGGCTGCGTCGGCAAGAGCTGTAAGGTGACTACGCCGCAATTTCTCTTTCCTTGCAACGTTTCTTACTCCTTCCGCGACGTACCCCTCTCGTTTAATACTATGGCTTGCAGGCCAGAGACTGTAGCCTGCTCTCTACCCTGCCTAGAAAGGTGCTCTGCCGGGGTCTTCAGGACCAGTCACCGTCTGTCATTCTGCGTGCCGCTCCAAAACCGCCGCGATGCCCAAAGACAATCTTCTTTGGGAAGTTTCCAAGTGGCGGTCCGTTGACTTTCACCTGAAGGGGGGTTGAACCAAACTGCCGGGTCTGTAACGCGCCTTTGTCTCGCATGACTCCCGTCCTACGGTGTCGCCTACTCGAGCGGATTTCTTCAGGATCTTTCCTTTTGGATCATGTCACATAGAGCTATGTGGCTGTCATTTGATTGTGCCTGATGGATGTGTTATGATTTCTCCTCATCCCATGCAGGCCGTCGGCTGTCCAGTATCACTCCTGTTTCCTCTCCCTACAAAGCCTGACTCCCTTTTGACTCACTCGGGGGAGCCTCTGTAGGAGAGGAATACATAATTTCAGCGTCAGTCGCTACAAAATCTGCCTTCCCGACGGTGTGGCATTATTGCCCGGCCCGAGTCCTTCTCAAGAAGTGAACTTCTCTTCTGAGGTACATTTTATGAAAACTCCTCTCGCCATCATGACAGCCATTATTCGCAAGTTGAGGAGGAAGCGCAAGCTTTCTTCCGAACTGCATTCTCGATGGGGCGATGTATCAATCACTTATCCCACCGAAGGCTCCTGGAGTCAGTGGGATCATCCTTCTAGCATCAACATGAATGTTGCCCCTGAGCTGCCTTCGGAACAACGTCGAAGGCATAGTTCGCCAGAGGCTCGACATCGAGAAAGTAATTCTTCTCGCCCCGAACCGACCCTGCATGCTGGGGACTCGGAAGGACGAGAATCGTCCGTCGATTCTGCCATGACAATACCCACCGGACACTACGATGCGAAATTACGAAGTGGATCAACAAAAGAACTCCCCCGCAGGAAATCTCACAGCACCGCGGAATTGTAAGTGAGCAGAAGGGGCTTGTCAATCCTTGGGATGAAATATGCTCTAGCGATGAAGCCGATGAAGACATTATTCCACTGCCAAAGGGGCCCAAACGGCTTCCGCAAGAATTAAATCGTCTCAAACTCAGAGCACATATGGATGACTATAGTCGAGCGTCCAAGTCGCCCCCGCTCTCTGTCACCTCGCGAATGCGCCGACGCAGTCAGCAAAGCAACGTCACCGAGCCGACAGCATCGGTTTCGGGGACCACGAGTTCCAAGCATACGAGCTTTACGTCCTCAGTGCCGTCAGTTCTACCTGAGGATTCTCGGCATATGTCTCATTCTCCATTTCAAGAACAGAAACTCGCTCGTCGGTCAAAGCATCGAGAGACTGAGCCAGTCCGCGAGCCCGAGTTGGTACCCTCCTACGATGAGCTGTACGGGTAGTGCTTGTGTTCGATCTTCATACCCCTCCCTACTACAATCACCATTTCCGTTATAACAGACCTTCATTAACATAAAGGCCTTCTGGCTGGAGGATGGGTTTTTGCTCGAAGATTTCTTAACGATTATTATGATTCGTTACCTTTTGTGCCACCAGCGAGAGCGCAATAGGACATACAATTTGCATTTTGGAGTCTTATCTTGCCATATGGGAGGCCCCTTCATTTTTGGTCTTGGTGCCTGTCTAGCCTTCTCTTCTCAGCACGAACTGGGTGGGCCTGGAGAATGATGGGCCAGTATCTACCATGTATCAATTTGTTAGCGATAGGGGGTTTTCTGATCATTCATTATCATATCATGTCATTATCCTGGAAACCTACGAAGATTTTTTTTACTTGCTGGGGCAGATGATTGTTGACTCAGATTAGTGAAGTCGTGATACAGGGATGAGTCCAGGTAGCTGCTTTGTACCCAGTACAAGCGGCTATTATCACTGACCTACTTGTCCATCACCTTTGCTAGACTGCAGTAGGTACCTGCACAGGATGTAGCTCTGATGATCTGGACTGAGATAATATCGGCACTGTACTTCCGAGCACAAAAAGATGGAACCCAGCAACCAGCAATCTACAGATGAATATCGTCCCGTCCAATCAAGGATGCAGACAATGATGAGCGAGTCCTAGTGCTGTCTACCTGTATAGTACTTTGTACCTGCCTACGGTGAAGGTAGACGATGTTCTGGGCACATAAATGAGGGGTTTGCTAGTGATCGACGAATCATAGCCTCCTGCTAGGGCCAACGTGAGCCGATGCGACAAGCTGCAGGCCCAGTCACAATCACATCTCCAGTCTTTTGTCGACTCTTGTCACACTCCAAATCCTGCTCCCAAGACAAATCCAAATGGCCACGGAGAGTTACTACTGGACGGTGACTGGCTTCAACACTAGCCCCGGTCCCCGCTTCTCTTCCAACCAGTCGCGGGGGATAATGGTAGACCAATAACTAGCCAATGTTCGCTGCCACTGCGAGCGTGTGTCTTAGCGCTCAGACAAGCACCATTGCTCATGGTGCATGCTTAATCGTCCTCGACTAGCTTGCACCCTTCGAGCGACGTCCCCGACAGATCCTGGAAGGAGGAAGAAGTCGACCTGGCCATGCTGCAGCGCGTTGCCTCCGGTCGGGTTCTTTATCAATCCACGAGGAGTACCAAGATGTCAACCTGGCGATGGTGATAACCGACTCAAGGACGTGACCTACCTCCATTTTTGCTCTTTTGACCTGCTACTTCCTGTCTTTTCTACCTCCTTGGGCTTATCGTTTTCGATCACTGCGCTGTCAATTCGATGCCCGGCTATCGAACCTACGGCGTGTCGCCTATTCCTTCCTCGAACTTACAGTAATAGATTGATTGGCATCAGCCTGGATCGATCGGTCCGGCTCAGCCTTCAAGATGATCGGCTTCTTGAGCCAAAAGCCGAAATCTATGTCGCTTTTGGCGGCTGCTTTCTTGCTCCTCGGTCACCTTACACCTGCGGTTATCGGGTTGAGGACGACACCCGGCTCGCCGTGCGCTAATGTCTGCAATAAAGTGTCCTCGAACACTACAGCTTCTGAGATCGTTTGTTTGGACGAGCAGTTCAGCCAGACCACGAAGGGGTCCGACTTTCAAAACTGCGTGGAGTGCCAATTGGAGAGCACTTACAGTGATTCGTCGTCCGGGCAGGCGGATGTCGATTGGGGCCTCTGTACGTATATTCGACATTTGGGTGACAATTGAGACGTGCAGTCGCTAATGCGAAGCTTCAGACAATCTCCGGTATGCGTTCAGTAGCTGCGTGTACGGCTTTCCTGAACAGGTTGCCAATATCTCTTCTCCCTGCGTCGTTTCCTGCCAGTCATTATCATCGGCGCTCGAGTATGACTTGGATGATCCGAGTGGAGTCAACTTCGATACCTGGTGTGGAGCTTCGTCTTTCGCGGACAATATCATCAGCCAGTGCGAGTTTTGTTACAATTTGACCAGCAATATGACCGATTCCCAGGTCTATCTTGCAAATTGTGTGTTGCTTTCCCTTTCTTACCGTATTCCGGCCCGGATTCGCCAGTTACTGACAGTCTTGCGAACGATGCAGTCCTAGAAGCTCTGCGCTACAACTGTCACTTCCGAACCCCTACCAGCAAAGCTTTTCCTATTAGCCCGAGTAGAGTCTTCAGCGAGTCATTGCTGCCCCAATCCACAGTGGACCTGATTTCTCCTTCCGCGAAGCCCAACTCAGGCTCCAGCCGCCTGGCTTTGATCATTGCGCTCCCGATTCTGGGGTTTGTGATCCTGATCTGTATCCTCGCAGTGGGATGCTTCTTCTTTATCCGCTGGCGACGCAAGCAGGCTCGCAAGAACCGTCGTTCGGACCATCTTCATGCGCGGTGGAACGATACCACCATCAGTACCCCAGCTCACGGGGCGTGGGCTGATCCTGCCATGTATAGCCAACCGATGCACCATCCAGGGTCTGGACATGGCTTCAACTTTGTCGACACAGACGGCCGTACTCAGGAGGTGGGGTTCTCCAAGACCCATTATGTCGAAATCAACGAATCTCCTGTCACGGTCCCATCCACCACACATTCTCCAGAGCAGGAGAAGGGTTATCACGCTCAGACATATTTTCCTGAGCGCAGTATCTCACCTCCCCAGAAACAATAAGCTGATAGGCTGTGAGTAAAGGTCGACATTGCTCCATGCTGATCTGCTGATGTATGGCAATCCATGGGCTTTGTTGGAAAACAAGGGAAAACATGTACTGATCGAGTGATGTGAATTGCTGTCATACTCCCCAGTGCAGGCCACTATCTGTTGCCAGAAACTCTTTCCTTCCTCAGTTCTTCCCTTATGCATAATGGACCGCATGTTATCGAACTCGTCAAATGCTGTTTATATACCCTCCTTGAGCAGTTGATTCAACCTTCATTCCACTTCCCTCAGGCGTTTGAGCGAGATGTTTATGTCGCGATGGTGATATTGCTGGCGTTGACCAGTTGGCGGGTCATTCCTAGCAATGATTGATCATAGCCCAGCGAGATAATCGACAAACATCAAAGCTGCGTACATAGTAACTATTCAAAAATTCAAGATAACTGTCCGACAGACTCCATCGCCTTTTTATACCCATTTCTGGCGAGCGCCAATGTAGCGCTCACTGACCAGCCCCTCTTCGGCCGAAGGATCAGGACAGCCATCTAGCTAAAAATAAACACGGGTTTTGGCGCTAACGAGTCAAGAACAGCACAGTTATCTTAAGACTGCAGCATAATAGCACTGTCAGCTTGGACTGATTGCATTCCAAGAGTTTCAGTCAAGATGCCAAGTTACCAATGGCGAAGGGTGGTTATGTTGAAGGATTCAGCTGCTTGGGTTTTGTGGTGGTGAGGACACTATTTATAGCAGGTTGAGTGATTCTCGTGCAGCTGAGGTGGAGCAGTCAATCTGCTTAGGACTATTAGGCAGTCCTTAGTAATTGGACATACACATAGTTAGTTATTGATGTCCTAGACTTTGACATGTCTTCCAGGACTGCGTGGTACATACAAGACTCCTAGGTTGTATATGTAGATCTAGCCCTATGTGTTTGTAGCTGTGGGGTTGCATAGACAACCTTCCAGCTGTCGGCCTATCGGAGTCTGCACCTCTCACGGCATAGTCCAACCGCATACCTCACCAGCTATCAACAGCTCAGTCCGAACTTCCCAATCCAAACCAAAATGGCATCCCTAAATCAAGACCAAATAAAAACCCTCGAACAATCCCGCCAACGGCTCGTCCAGCTCACCCGCTCGCTAGCCTCTCTAATCGGCAGCCTAAACCAAAGCGACCCGCTTCCATCATGGTACACTTCCCCCAACTCAACACACCGCCATCCAAGTGCAAAAATGATTAATTGAAGCAGGTCCTCTCTCCAATCCCAAGCAGGAATCATCTCAAATAACCTCCTCAGCATTTCCGAGCATCTCTCCGATAACCGCGACCTCCTCTCCGCGCTCGTCGCCTACCCGGCCCCTCGTACCCCGGCCGCACGCAGGCCCCGACACTTGAGCAACTCCTTCGCACGAAACTCGACCCCCGGGTTGAGGACTGGGTATCGCGCGGTCGGCGGGCGGGGGCGTCTGCGCTTGAGGACCGGGGTGCCTTGAGTGAGAGTGCGCTTGCGGAGCTGTGGGATTGGGCGCCTGTCGAGGCGAACCAGGAGGCGAGGAGGAGGAATTGGGGTGGGAATTTCACGCTGGAGGAGAGGGAAATGGGCATTCAGAATGTCGTTACTGGGTTGAGGAGGCAGTTGGAGGACGAGGATGATGAGGAGAGTGAGAGTGAGGAGGAAGGGGAGGGGAGGAGGAGGAGATGGAGGTTGTTGGTGTGCGACGTAGGTCTGGTGCGGGCGCTGGATTGGAGTTTGATATTGCGGCGCCGACGCCAGGGTCACGGCAGCAGCAGCAGCAGCAGAAAGCAGCTGGGCCTGCGGTCCCCTTGGAGGATATTCTACGGTATATGACTACGGGGATACCGCCGACGCAGCGCTGATGGCTGCGAGCATTTGACCGTCAATTAGAGTACGTACGCGGGAATGATTTCAACGACATTAAAAAAATAGTATTCAGGCATTCTGATGAGAATTGTCAAAGCGACTAATCTAACCCCGTCTACGTGTGGTGGGCGACTTGGCCGAGGGCTTGGGCGATACTCCTGTGCTTTCAGCAGCAGGGATCCTTTCCAGTGGCCTAGAGGATCGAGCAGGTCGCTTCTTGGGCTGTGCCGGGCTCTTCCAGTAGTAGACCATCTGTGCCGCCAGGATAACATTCAGGGCAAACCCAGCAATGAATCCATACAAAATGAGCTTGTCGTCAACTTCTTGCAGCGTGGTAAAGATCCGAGAAAGGGAACCGACGAGGTAGTTGAACACCTGTTACAAAATCAGTCGCGTATCCTCAGGTATCAAAGGACAGAAAACTCACCGCAAAGGCGCTCAGCTGTCCGGTACCTCCCTCGCGCCAGATTGTGTAGATTTGAGGCGCCTTGCTGGCCACACCGAGCGCACCAGCACCAGCCTGTAGATACGACATGGTCTGCGCATCCACCAGGGTCTGATCGAAGAGCAGCGCATACACACTGGCGGCAACCACTGCAATGAAGGCCGCAGCAGCCGTAGGGCGATCCGCAAAGGTCAATACCAGAACTCCAACAATCACATCCTGCACCGCAATCAAGGCAGACTCTCCGTAGGTGCTGAACGGGAACTGGTTGCGCACGCCGTAGGAAAGAGTGATCAACAGACTGGCGGTTTCCAGGGCGTAAGAGACAAAGGATACGCCAGCGGAGGATCGCGAGCGGATAAGTTTCAGGATCTGCGGAACCTTCACGATGGCGCTTGCACCCACGATGGCAATACCAAGAGCCTTGGAGATAGCAAGGGACGTGCAGGCAGGATCCTTGGTGACATCAAGATCGAGCAGGAGGGCGCTGTGGCATGGCGATCCGATCAAGGAGACGATGACATCGTGGACAGGTTGCGGGAGAGCGGACGAGATAGGACGGAGAACGGGTTGAAGAGGATCAATAACGACCTTTTGAAGTGTATCCATGGCGAGAGTCTACAGGCCAAAGGACGTTTCTGGACTTTGATTGAGGATGAATCTGCCGAAGGAGCACGATGGTTCTTTAAGAGCAACAACAACTTTCGGGGCGGTATGGTACATTCCTGCGGTTGTGGTCTTTGTGCCTCGCCGGGGAATTTCTGCTCCGTCAATCGCGACTCTTCCGAGATCCATCTCATGATCTAGATTGTCCTATTGTGGGTTTAATATCGCTCCATCCATGTTCCTTCCGCCATGATTCTTCTCCGGTCCTCGTTGCTGAGGTCTGGATTGGCGCGAGATCCTGCTCGCCTATGTTCCCAATGCTTCTCACGACTCTCACCATCACGGCGACCCGTCGCAGTCCGCAACTTCCTCTCCTCCTCTCGGCTGCGGGCTGGCATTGCCGATCATGAATCAACCCCCTCGACTATTCAAAAGACTTATTTCTCTGCCAATCGGACAGTAGATGGCTCCACGGACAAAGGTGGCTTACTAGCGTCCTTATCCGCCGTCAATAGCTCCCCTCGAAGTATTGCCGACAATGCATTTTCACAGGATGCGGCCGGTTCGGAGTCGGTTGCTTCACAATCTATCTCACAAGAGTTACCTCATCGCCGGAGGAAGCGGTTAAAGGAAGAGGCGGCCAAGAATAATGCTGCAGAAACCGAACTCCCCCTGATGCCTCGTCGCAACTGTCCACCCTCTCATCAGCCCTCCCTGCGACTTCCCTGCGCCGCAAGTTGGCCGCGTTTCTCGCCCTCACGAAGCCTCGTCTCTCGTTCCTGATCGTATTGACGACTACCTCCGCATATGGGATGTACCCGATCTCCTCTCTTCTCACACTTGACCCTTCAATGACTCCTCTACCGACCCTCTCGACCTCAACCTTGACCTTTCTCTACCTGACCGCAGGAACCTTCTTGTCTTCATGCAGCGCTAATACCTTGAATATGCTCCTTGAACCTAAATACGACGCCCTCATGTCACGGACACGGAACCGGCCGTTAGTGCGCGGGCTGCTGTCACGTCGTGCTGCGGTGTTATTTGCGATTGCGACTGCTGCTGCAGGCCTCGGTTTGCTATACATTGGAACGAACCCTACGACTACCGCGCTCTCCGCCGGTAATATCTGTCTCTATGCCTTTGTGTATACACCACTGAAGCGTATATCCGTGATCAACACCTGGGTAGGCGCCGTGGTAGGAGGCATTCCTCCGTTGATGGGTTGGACCGCCGCGGCAGGCCAGACAGCAACCACCGGCCACGACAGCTGGCGGGATATGTTGTTCAGCAAGGACAGCATCGGTGGCTGGCTCCTCGGTGGCGTTCTCTTCGCATGGCAATTTCCCCATTTCAATGCTTTGTCCTACATGATCCGCGAGGAGTACAAGGCAGCGGGGTACAGGATGCTCGCTTGGACTAATCCCGCTGCAAATGCCCGTGTCGCACTACGATATTCCATTCTCATGTTTCCATTCTCCGTCGGTCTCTGGTGGGTCGGGGTTGTCGGTAATGGCTTCCTAGTTGGCAGCACCGTTGCCAATGGCTGGCTAGTCAAAGAGGCCTACAAATTCTGGCGGCATCAGGGCGCCAACGGCAGTGCTCGAAGCCTCTTCTGGGCCAGTATTTGGCAGCTGCCAATCCTCCTTGTCGGTGGTCTGGTCACGAAGAAAGGTCTCTGGGATGGTGTTTGGAACAATATTTTCGGCCAGCCTGTGGAAGACGAGGACGACTATCTCTACGAAGCTGAGGATGAAGTGGCAGAGGTGGAGCGCAGGATGATACCTGCGAAGACGAGGAGCTCGTGATTCTTCCTTTCGATTTATCAGCGCAATTCGACACTGATGTTGATCCTGTTACAGCATTTTATTATACTAGACCGCCTTTTTGGCATGGGAGGCTGGCGTCGTTGTATAACACTTTTGTTTAAATTTTCACCCATAATGATCCTCAACCTGTAGATATAGCCTCAACTTGAGTCGATTCAGGTAGTTTTCTCTAAGGCACCACCTCAAAAGAACCTCTACGAAGAATTCTATATCGTCACCGCTCTGCCTTATTGACCGACAGCAGTTCGTTTCGAGCCTTTTCCATCTTCCTTGAGAGGTACAGGATTTCAGCATGACTTTGATGTCGCACACAACTAATAACGACATCGCTGTATCTATGAGACATCTATTTACAGACCCTCCCAAAGACCACGTGAGAAGAGATTGGGTATCATGTCTATACTAATGTACAATTCAGCTGAGCAGCTTCCGGCAAGTGCATCTTCATACTCTATACACTCATCCATCCTTCAAACGAAGGTGATAGGTTTCTAATGCTTCTTCCGTCATCATGCTAGGAGCCTTGACCATGGCATCATCGCCACCCTTGCCCGTCTTAGGGAATGCAATGACGTCCCGCACAGACTCCTTGCCCAGCATGACAGCGACGAGCCGGTCGAAGCCGAGCGCCAGTCCAGCATGCGGCGGACATCCGGCCCGCAAGGCATCCAGCAGATGGGAGAAGTCGGCCAGCCTCTCGGGCTTCATTTGAAGGATATCTCGGAGGATGAATTCTTGCACGGTTGCGTCGTGGATACGGCGACTGCCACCGCCCAATTCAATCCCGTTCACGACGAGGTCGTAGTGGTCGGCCACCGCCTTTGTGGGATCTGTCAAGAGCTGGTCGACGTCTGCGGCGGTCTTGGGTGCGGTAAACGGGTGGTGTGTGGATGAGATACCCGCTGCACCGCCCTGGCCTGGTTCCGAATCACTGGAGGGTGAGAATAGGGGGAAGTCCACCACCCAGAGGAAGTCGAACCCCGTGGGAGCGGGCTTGAATCCGGAGGAGACTGCAGCGGTGTGGAGTGCGCGGCGGAGGTCGCCGATTGGAGTGGAGCCACCGGCGAAGGGGGCTCTTTCACGGGCTTGGATGACAATCAGATCGCCGTGATCGGGGTCCAGGAGTTCCTCAATGCGTTCAGCAGCTTCAAAACCGAATGGCTGGAGGCCACACAAAGGCTTCTTGGCGTCGTAAACGAAGACCCCCGGGCCACCTTCAGGATTGTTGTCAAATGGAGCCCCAGCTGGGGAGTCGAGGAATTGCTTGATGAACTCGTAGGTGGCAACGGGGTCATTGTCGTTGCCTTCGAATTTGAAGGCCTCGATAATGGGGTCGGTCAAGGGTGTGATCTTGTTGACCAGGTCGACAGGTAGAAGATAGTCGATCTTGAAAATCTCCATTCCAAATCTTCTATCGGGTTTGTCTGACCCATAGCGGCTCATTGCGTTTTGATATGACATTCTCCGGAACGGTCCAGAGGGCGCCTCGTCTTTCATCAACGAGGACCAAAGCCTGCGGATTATCCCTTCAACAGTCCGCATGACATCCTCTCCTGTAGCGAAAGACATCTCCAGATCGAGCTGAGCGAGGAGCTTATGTTAGATCACAGTATGAAGGTGGACAACAATTTTCAACGCTCACCTGGGTGAATTCTGGTTGTCTATCCGCTCGGAGATCTTCGTCGCGGAAACAGCGCGCAAACTGATAGTACCTTGGTATACCACTTGCCATGAGGATCTGCTTATATTGCTGAGGGCTCTGAGGCAAAGCGTAAGCCAGACCACGCCTTCGAGTCGGCACCAGAAACTCGCGAGCACCCTCTGGAGTTGACTTGAAAAGAAGAGGCGTTTCGATCTCCACAAAAGGAGGCCGACATTGTTCCAGCTCTTCCCTGCATATATTGCGAACTTGAGCGCGGAATCGCAGGGCATCCCGGAGTTCACTGTCGGAGCGTAGTTGAAGATATCTGTGTTCCGGAGCAAATGCAGTCTCTGGAGTCATGATAATGTCTTTAGGGAATTCATTCAGAGGATCAATGTCCGCAATGTGCACCTCCCAGCAGTCGCTGTGCTCGGTATCCGATCCCTTTCCCTTCTTCGGCTGCACGATGCCCCGTACAACCACTGGGCTATTCGCATTAATTGACCTTAGCTTCTCAAGAGGGCTATTCTTAATAAACGAGACAAGCTGAATGCTGTGTTTCATGGTAGGATCTGTCAGGCGAGCAAAAGATAGCTTTTTGGAAAGGTCGGAGCGGGGTCCGAGGTATCCATGAAGCTGGACCTCCTGCCCTGCAGATGCATTTGCGAGGAAAGTCTCGAAATCACTCGTGGCCGGTGGGAACTCAACTATGTCAGACAACCTCAGCCTTTAACTCCTTGCAGAACGTGAACTGTGGTAAAATGCGACAGGACGGGTTGTTCATACCGGCTTTTTTATACTGCTCCAAAAAGTGTCGAGGTGAAGTAGGATGGTCTTGCTGTTCGAGCAGGCAATGTCTCCTGTGAAATGTCCTGATAGAAGAGGGAGTGTTCAGTCCATTGTGCAGTCCTGATGGCCGACTGCGGAGGTAATTGGAGATTTCAATATAGCTCGTGCGGAGACGAGGTGAATAACGTCCCACATTGCTCAGAAGCATACCGAGCTGGGCTTGACGGAGAGTTTATAAAAGGGCTGTATTTATAATGGAATCTCCAATAGGCAATGGAGCTGGTATTAATGCTTTCCAAATTGAGTTCAAATTCAACCACGATCGAAAGACATCCAGTCGGATCTCCACATTGTTGGCATTATCGCAAGCTTATCTGGCAGAAATGTACCGCTCATCCGATTGGGAATAGTATCTCCTCGCCCACTACAAAATATAAAACCTCCAGGATCCACACTAGTTATTTTCCTTTTTTCTTCATCCTTCCAAGTTTTGTACAGGTGAGTTGTAGCTCTCAAGTTCCGCTACGAGAATCGCACAGAATGATTTTCTAACATTTCCTCTTAGATGATGAAAGCCTAGTGTGTTATATTTGATCTATCGCTCCTCTCTGAGCCTTGTGGCTCTCCCTTCGGGGTTCAAGGGCTGCTTGACTCGGGATGGAGGGAGGATGATAAAGGCGTTCGGCACATCTCCTTGTTACTTCGACGGACGCGATGAAGGCATCTCTGATCCCAAATACATTACTTGGTGGTGTTTGTTCCTCCATGGAACTTCCACGTGACCTAGGATCCTAGAAATGTGCTATGGCCCCTTTGTGGTGCTGTAGCACATTCATGATAGGAATCTTCGGACATTAGAGTGGACTTGCAATTCTAGACTAGCTGAAATAATTGAACAATGCAATTGACTACCCACTTCGACCGTTCCCTCTGTTGCGCTGCCGACTTCCAAGACGTTTCCATCAGTATACCTATTCAACACATTTACCTTCCCCTCCAGCTACTATTTTCCCTGACTGTAGAAATGTAGTCTTCTTGATCTTCTTGCCTGGCGGCCTTGCGTAAGAGAAAACCCGTATTTCCATTTAATCCTAAGCTCAACGCAGTTATTTAGGACAATTGACCTTATATTTTTTGTTGGAGCAGCTCCGCATTAATATTTATCCGTTGGAGAGAGCAGTTGATCGGCTTCTTATCATCGCCGATAGTGATAAATTCGTATTCCGTGAGGCCGGGTTATAGGCTTCGCTGACCCGCATTGAAACCAATTACCCGCACTCACCTTGCGGTTAATTGAGGTGCCAGTTCCAGATTGGACCAATGAAGCCGCAATTGTTGTCTCTGCCTCGTGCAGGACGCTTGCGCATTCCGGTTACTCTCAAGACAGCAATGCAGACAGGCTACGGTGCGCGCAGCTACATGCGAACTGCTCAGATTGCGCGGAAAGGCTCCTTAGGTGCTCAAGAGAACCGCTTTTTTGTCAATTCATCGATACGATCGCCGGTGACGGAGTCGAGAAGGTGGATTACCCAGAAACATATACAGAAGGTGAAGGCCGGGGAGGAGCAGTGGGCTCAGTTCGCTGCGGAGATTAAGGCTGGCAAGCGGAAAAGCTTTGTTGAACATCTGGAGGAGAGAGGGCTGATCCATGATGTCGTCGGGTGAGTGGTACCTGAATGCCGCCAAGTTGGCCTTGTAGTAGCTAATGGAAATCCGTCTTGAAACTACAGCGAGCGCGACTTACTACACCGGGTTTTTACCGAGAAGAGAGTCGGAATCTATGTCGGTGTGGACCCAACAGCTCCCTCCCTACATGTTGGCCATATGCTGCCGTTCATGGTGCTGGCATGGGGTTATGTCTGGGGTCTACCTGTCACCTATCTAGTCAGTCTTGCCTCGCCCTGACACCTGAATCGATGCAGACATCATGGCTGATACAATACACGACAGCTCGGCGGAGCTACCTCTAGAATCGGTGATCCAACTGGGAGGTTGAAAGGACGAGAGGCGATGGATTCTTCGGTCCGGAAAGCAAATATGGCGAGCATGCACATGCAGCTGAAAAAGTTGGGCGCCTCTGTGGAGCAATACGGCAAGAAACACGGATATCACAAAGAGAAGATCTGGCGGCGAGCTTTGGTGAACAACAACACATGGTGGAATTCGACATCATTTTTAGAAGTGCTACGGGACTTGGGCGCCCACACGCGGCTTGGTCCCATGCTGGGTAGAGAGACGTGAGTCTATTGCTATCCTTCATTCGTTGGGACATACGATTACTGATCTCGATGATTATAGTGTGAAGAACCGGATGACCAAAGGTGACGGAATGTCTTTTGCGGAGTTCACATATCCACTACTGCAGGCATGGGACTGGTGGGTGCTGTTCCGAAAAGGTGTTCAGGTGCAAGTTGGCGGTTCCGATCAATATGGAAATATCCTCTTCGGCATGGATGCCGTGAAATCGATCAGCAAGAATACCGCGATAGAACAGGACCAAAATCCTCTGGAAGATGATTTAGACAAACCCATTGGGTTCACTACGCCACTGTTGACAGCAGCGAACGGCGAAAAGTTTGGAAAGTCCGCCGGTAATGCCGTCTGGTTGGATAAGGACATGACTTCGACGTTCGAGCTTTACCAGGTGAGCCCATGTAAATTCTGTACGGCACATGCAGAAATCACTAACTTTGGGTAGTTCTTCGTTCGAACGCCAGACGACGTTGTTGAGCGCTATCTGAAGCTGTTCACGTTCCTGCCTTTGCCTAGGATTGCCGAAATCATGGAAGAACAGAATAAAGATCCTTCGAAGCGGATTGCTCAGCATACACTGGCAACCGAATTCTTGGAGCTGATTCACGGAAAGGAAGAGGCTGACGCAGTTGCTTTACAGCATCGTCAGCTTTTCCGGCCACGCTCTTCGACGGCTGAACCTAGTCCTATGCCCAAGGTGACCACCGCGCCTAGCAGCCATGCAAATTCGCCCACTGCAAGCTATGCCAATCCTCAGTCTGGGAACAAATACGCTCCCCAGACCAATTTCGCCAACATGGGCAGTCCCCACGTCACGCTTCCCCGCTCCCTGGTCTATAACCAGCCATTCCACAAAATCCTGTGGCATGCAGGACTGGTCTCATCTAAAAGCGAAGGCCATCGCATTGTCGCCAATAAAGGCGCCTATGTGGGAAGTCGCCCAGGAGACAGTGGGCCCATGTCTGATGATCTGGCGTTCACGCCCATTGAGACTTGGCTTCCTGAAAAGACGCAAGAGTTCATCATCGACGGGGATCTCTTGCTTCTGAAGCTTGGTAAATGGAAGTTCCGGATGGTAAAGATCGTCAGCGACGAAGAGTTCAAAGAGCGCGGACTTACTGCTCCTGGTTGGGAGCTGGAAAAGTCGGAATCAGGATCGGCTGCTGAAAAGACAACAGAGACGAAGTCAACATGAGCCAGTCTACTTCATGCATGTATTTTTAGACAGACCTGTAAATATACTAGCGATATAGATTACATCCCAAATTCTCCTCGGATATTGGACTTCGTCCCCACTAGTACTTTGGGCACATCATGCATTAAGCTAGAGAGAGCTATTGAACTTGGCAGTCCCTTGAGACACTACGCTTCATCGAGACTGACCAATAGCATCCCAGCTGGGAAACATTTGATCACTATACAAGGTGACTCGGCAACGCCGTAGGCAAGGCTGACTTGCATGTCACACGGAAAGCCAAGACATGAGACTTTGGCTGTTGCTCATGCACATAGAACCCTTGTTCATCATATCATCCAGAAGATCTTCTTACATCCAGTGTACTACAGCTTACCCAATTAGGAGTGGAACCCAGCGCTGCAACTAGGGCAATGAGATTATTTCTTTGATATGACCCTGGCGCCGATGCCTTTTGTGATTAATCATCGCATTATGATGATTAATCGCCAAGCAGCTGGAAATATGAGGGCATTTACACAATCTGCATGACTGCATGATTGTATGAGGCTGAGGCGCGTCAGAAAATATCTGGGTCTAGGCCGTTGCCAAAAGAGAGCTGGGGAGGAACACCTGCAGCTTCACCATACCTTGTGGACAATCTCCTTGACAGAACTCGATGTCAATACAAAAGACTCCAATGACACGTTGTATGCACATGCAGATTTAACGGATTGTAACATCTTCGCTGACTGCGATACTCCACAATGGGGCGATTATCATGGAAGCGACGATTTACAGCCGTAGAACTCAACTTGCGATGCTGCAGCATCAGTCGGTGTGTCTCGTAGCCTCAAGCGTCGGGTGACCTCCGTGGAATCGATGTCTATCAGCATCCAGTAGACCAGTTTCCACAAAGGGAAAGTGGTCTGGATGCAGGGAGCGAAGGTGGTGATGCTGCACCAACTGCATGATTAGAATTGATGAAACATTTGGCCCGGTTCTCAAGATTGATAGAATGAGGGTGAGCTATACCATCATGAGATCTTCATCGCTGACTGCAAAGGTATAAAAGGAAGCCCATTTCCCACAGCAAATTCGATCTCAACAACAGCATCAACAGACTCAGATCAATTCAAACAACAAGACTAAATCACAATCAGCACCTCGCTTCAGACAAAATGCAGTTCTCCTTTCTCAGCTTCGCTGCCCTCCTGGCGGCCACCTCTGTCAACGCCACTGTGTACTTGGGATTGCGCACCAACTATGATGGGCATAAATCCCAGGTGGCATGGTATGTTTGAGCTTATATGATGTCCTGACATGATCACAAACGCTGACCAGGTCTCCAAAATCAGGACCAACGGAACTCCAGAGCCCTGCAGCGGTTTCGCCACCATTGTCGACAGTGACAGCAACCCCTGTGGACGAAACTTCTATGTCGATGGCAACAACGGGCCTTTCCGCTTCGAGGGCTGCGGTGGAAATGGGTTGACCCTCTTCCGCAACGGACAGTTCAACAGCAACTGCAAGTTCCAAAGCCGCACTATCAACTGCAATGGAGGAGCAAAGATTGCTCAAGCCTGGGCTTGCTATTAGGCATCAGCCAGCCGGGGCCACCAGAGGTGGGAGTGCGCTCCTTAGGTCTGTTAGAGCAATGGTCATCTGTTGTGGAAGGGCGGAGGATAGGAACAGTGGAGATCCTGTGCTTGTGCTCATAACACTGCTTTATTATGTTGATCCATGCCTATGACAATGTCGCCCGGTTTGTCATGCGTAGATCGCCCCGAGTTGTGGACAGTATAGGAATATTGTAGCTTCCCTAATGAAATATATGCTTCAGAATTTTCTCTTCTACGCTTTATATACAAGTTTCTCCATACAAAAGTATCCCCACAGAATATTTTCTGTGCCAAGTACTGCGTAGTTGACCTGAATTGCTGGAGCGGTGCTTCCAGAGTGGATAGCCCAGGTGGATAGCCCATCGGGGAAGGCCAAGAAATGATGAGTATCCGTATGGAGTTGACAGGTATAGTCAGGACCACTAAACGCGTCGACGCGCTGCGTGACGCCTCCTTATCGGACGATCCGCCATTTTTCCGTCCTGGGACCTCTATCAACATTCGCATTGCCTTTCTAACCGGCTACTTCCTAACATCCTCAGCATGGATTATACATCATTTTAATTATCACATTGTATCAGCCGATCATTGAGTTTTCGTCAGAATGGCCAAAGGAGCTGGTACCGCATCCTCTCCCACCACGGCGACACCTCCCTCCGGAGCGCTGAAACGGTCCACCTCCAGCACACAAAACATGAAGAACCAGCGGTCTATTCTGGGTTTCTTCCAGAAATCTTCACCATCGACACCATCTGTTGCTCGTAACGCAGAACCTGCCTCGTCTCCCGCAGAGAGGGCCTCCGAAAAGCGCGAGGCGAATTCCAGACAAGCGACGTCGAAGAGTGAGAAGAAGAGCGTGCCGAGGTTTACACAAAACTTGACTCCTGTCCCAAGCAGCGACTTGGTCGTGCCTGAGGAGGATGAGGATAAAACTCAGGTATGCTGACATTTCGGACGCCGCACCGTATGCGAGGTTGTCAGGTTGCTGATTGCACTTGCACAAATACAGGATCTAGAAAAGAAGACTGCTTCTCCCTCCCGTCGGGTAAGACTATTTGTGCAATCGTATTTGCGGTTGATCCTGGAAGCCCGGTCGCTAACGGTGACGTATAGGCCAAGAAACAGATCAGCTATGCCGAATCCGAATCTGAGGGTGAAGACGACGATGATGTGATATTCGGGCCCAATAGACGAAACAATCGCGCCTCTAAAAGACGCAAGGTTTCTCCGGAGAGCGAAGATGAATTCGAGCAAGGTGGTGAGGTCGGCTATTCAGATGACGGTTCGTTACGTGATAGTTCTACGGCTGTTGTTGGCTTCTCGGACTAACAGACTAGTAGAGATGGACGACTTTATCGTTGCGGACGACTCCGATGAAGAAGCCAAGCCATCCAAGAAGCGTAAGAGACCGTCAAATGCAACCACTCGCAAGGCTTCCTCTCTTTCCGCTCCTCCTTCTCCAGTAGAAGACCTGGACTTGGATGTTCCAGATGCCTCCTCAGGCACAGCTCTGAAGTGGACCTATGATCCTGAGAATCTTGAACCCCGCCAGAACCGGACAATACAAGCTACACCGAAAAGTACCGCAACTCCTGCTAAGCAGAAAGTGCATCTCAGGGAGCCTGAAGAGCGCTATCCTTGGCTCGCAAACCTTCGGGACATAGATGGACACCCACCAGATCACCCCGACTACGACCCTCGTACTATATATATACCCCACTGGCTTGGGCAAAGTTTTCTCCTTTTGAGAAGCAGTACTGGGAGATCAAGCAGAAGTTCTGGGACACAGTTGTCTTTTTCAAAAAGGGCAAGTTCTACGAGCTGTATGAGAACGACGCTACGATCGGTCACCAATTATTCGATTTAAAGCTCACGGATCGTGTTAACATGCGGATGGTCGGTGTGCCTGAGATGAGCTTAGATCACTGGGCCAATCAATTCGTGGCCAAAGGTTTCAAGATTGCCCGCGTGGACCAGTCTGAATCTGCCCTGGGTAAAGAAATGCGCGAGAGAGACGGAAAGAAGGCTGGCGGAAAAGAAGACAAGATTATAAAGAGAGAGTTATCCTGCGTCCTTACGGCTGGCACATTGGTTGAAGGCTCTATGCTGCAGGATGATATGTCCACCTACTGTGTTGCGATCAAGGAAGCCATTATAGACGACCGTCCTGCTTTTGGGCTTGCGTTCGTGGACACAGCGACTGGCCAATTCTTTCTGTCAGAATTTGTGGACGATGTTGATATGACCAAGTTCGAGACATTCGTCGCACAAACTCGTCCCCAGGAACTGCTGTTGGAGAAGTCCACAATTTCTCAGAAAGCTCTGCGCATTCTGAAAAACAACACTGGTCCCACCACCATCTGGAACCACTTCAAACCTGGAAAAGAGTTTTGGGAGGCAGATATAACTGTGAAGGAACTGGATGCTAGCGAATACTTTGTCTCTCAAGATGACGATAACTTACAAGCCTGGCCGGAGACTCTGCGAGAGGCTCGAGACAAGGAATTGGTTATGTCTGCGTTCGGAGCCTTGGTCCAATATCTCAGGGTTCTGAAACTCGACCGCGATCTGATCACGATAGGTAACTTCTCATGGTACGACCCTATCAGGAAGGCCTCCAGCTTGGTCCTTGATGGTCAAACTCTGATCAACATGGAAATATTCGCCAACTCATTTGATGGTGGCTCAGAGGGGACACTCTTCCAGCTTCTAAATCGCTGCATCACCCCTTTCGGCAAGCGTATGTTCAAGCAATGGGTTTGCCATCCATTGATGGATGCAAAGAGGATCAATGCGAGGTTGGACGCTGTTGATGCCCTGAACGCTGATTCAAGCGTTCGAGACCAGTTCTCTTCCCAGCTGACCAAGATGCCTGATCTCGAGCGGCTGATCTCCCGTATCCATGCAGCCAACTGCAAAGCGCAAGATTTTGTGCGTGTGCTGGAAGGATTCGAGCAGATTGAATACACAATCACTCTCCTCAAGGATAGCGGCTCTTCGGGAGAAGGAGTCATTGGGCAGCTGATTAGCGGGATGCCCGACTTGAGTTCTCTGCTGGAATATTGGAAAACAGCTTTCGACCGCACTAAGGCGAAGGAAAACGGCATCCTGGTTCCCAAACCAGGTGTCGAGGAAGATTTCGACACCTCCCAAGAGTGTATCGAACAATTGCACAGGGATCTTGACAACCTCCTCAAACGCCAACGCCGTGAGTTGGGGTCCACGGCCATCTGTTATCGTGACAATGGAAAAGAAATTTATCAGCTCGAGGTGCCGATCAAGGTGAAGAATATCCCTAAGAATTGGGACCAAATGTCTGCCACGAAACAGGTGAAGCGTTACTACTTTCCTGAACTGAGGTCTCTCATTCGCAAATTGCAAGAAGCTCAGGAAACGCACAATCAGATCGTCAAGGAAGTCGCTGGTCGATTCTACGCACGATTCGATGAGAACTACACGACATGGCTTGCAGCCGTCCGAATCATCTCACAACTGGATTGTCTGATAAGTTTGGCCAAAGCCTCTTCGTCCCTGGGTCACCCAAGCTGCCGCCCTGTCTTCGTCGAAGACGAACGCAGTGTGCTTGAATTTGAGGAGTTGCGTCACCCATGCCTTCTTTCGTCGGTGGAGGACTTTATTCCCAATGACGTGCGTCTGGGCGGCGAAGTGCCGAATATCAATCTCCTCACTGGTGCTAACGCAGCCGGAAAATCCACGGTTCTCCGAATGGTAAGCACACAATCATTCGCCAACTTTTTCTAGGGAAGATGGACTAACTGTTTTCGCTGCTCTAGACATGTATCGCTGTTATCATGGCTCAAATCGGCTGTTACCTGCCCTGCCAGTCCGCTCGGTTGACACCTGTTGATCGCATCATGTCCCGTTTGGGTGCGAATGACAACATCTTTGCAGCCCAGTCCACATTCTTCGTGGAGCTCTCAGAGACGAAGAAGATATTGTCTGAAGCTACACCAAGGTCACTCGTCATTCTCGATGAGCTCGGCCGTGGAACTAGCTCTTATGATGGTGTTGCTGTTGCCCAGGCGGTACTGCATCACGTCGCCACTCATATTGGGGCAATGGGCTTCTTTGCAACCCACTATCATTCTCTCGCTGCGGAATTCGATGGTCATCCCGAGATCACACCCAAACGCATGAAAATCCATGTTGATGATGAGGAAAGACGTATCACTTTCTTGTACAAACTGGAGGACGGCGTTGCTGAAGGTAGCTTTGGTATGCATTGCGCGTCCATGTGTGGTATTCCGAACAAAGTCATCGAGAGAGCCGAAGTCGCTGCCAAGCAGTGGGAGCACACGAGTCGTCTCAAGGAGAGCCTCGAGCGCCGGAAGGGCGGTGGGTTCATTGGCTTGGGATGGTGGAGTGACGTCGCCTGGGCTCTTCGCGAGTCCGCTGCTGACACTCCCAGCAGCGAGAGCGTCTCCGACTTGAGCCTTGAGGTACTCCGCAAAGCTATCGAAGCTCTTTGAGCTATTGAAATGGAGATCATGGTACAGGTTCGCATGGACTTTTCGTTTCCGCTGTCAATTGATTCTTATCATTTGCTTCGTGAAGTGGGAGTATGGCGCTGGAGTTATTCTTACCGTGTGAACTGCAAAAGATCCACAGATGAGGTCAGGGACATTTCGGGATATATATTACTGAATGTTAGAGAATCATAGACCATTGTTCGAAAATGGTTTCAAATGATGTGCATTTAGTTATGGTATAGTTCAACTGAATACATTCGTGTCGCAACATCGAGGACCCTTTATCTTCATCCGGTCCTTTGAAAGCTTTGAAAGCTCGAGTTCTTAAGGACTCATGAAGGTGACATTTAGATCAGGAAACAGAATTGCATTGACTATTCGGGGTATCTTCTCATCTAGCTAAGCAGAAGCACCCATCATCCCTTAGAAGTCCACCATGGCGTCAACCCCAAGAACTGAGAGAACAGCCATCGATCAAAAGAAACCTGTATGAATGAAGAAATGATATCATAACCCAATTCCACTTGAGTGTTGTCATGCCGTCAGTCGTTAAGAATCGGAACACGAATCTATGCAGTGTGATCCTCCGCCTTTATGTCCTGCTGGGCAGCATCCAAAGCGTCGAGCTCTGCATCGAGATCCGCATCATTCATAACCTCGTCTAGCTCAACTTTGACCGTGAGCTCCGAGTCATCATTGCCTTCCTCCATTGGTTCATTTTTGACGATGTCTTCGGACTTGGAAGGTTCGGGTTTGACTTCAGGGGCACCGTTCCTGTCAAGAAATACCATTAATTTCCAATCTGGCTGTCGAAAAAAGATGAAGCAGATGAGCCAAGTGACATACCCATTCTCGACGCTGTCATCACCAGCCTTAGCAGTAGCAGCCGCTCCCTTCTTCGCAGGCGTCTTTCTCTGCCGCTTGGGCTTGGTAGGTGTTGCAGCTTCCTCGCCCTCGGCACCGCCATCCTCCGCATCTGCGGCAGCAGCAGCCTTCTTACGCTTAGCCTGTCCTTTCTTGGGCGTGGCCGTCGCGGTCTTCGAGGACGAGGCTTCGCCTGCAGCGGAAGAGCCATTCTTGGTGCTGTTGTCGGCGTTGAGCTCGGCGAGCTTGCGTTTGGCCTTGTTGAACATGACGTTCGCGGAGCCGGCTGTGTAGCCGCCCTTGCTGGCGAGCTTTTCGTAGTCGATCTAGGTGATTTGTCAGCTGGGTGGCTCATGTTGTCTGGTAGTTCATGGGCGGATGTGTACCTTGTATTGGTCTGTGATGCAAAGAAAGCCTAGCATGAGGATCTTGGCTTCGGCGGCGGAGAGGCCCAAGATACCCTCGGGTTTGGCTTTTGCTGGGGATGCCATATTTGTTGTTGGAGAGGTAAACGGTCGAGAAAGTAGGGAGTTGTTCTGTATGGCGAGGAAAAATGTATGGAGGCTGGAGGAGAAATAGGAAACGCACGATGATAAAGGAGGTTGTAGGAGGAGAAGAAGTGAGAGGGAGAGAAGAAAGAGCAGTAGATATAGTGCCAATGAGAGGGCCTGTGAGTGAGTTAGAACAGTATGATGAAGAGAAACACAGAGTCAGACGCAACACAAGTCAGATAAAGAGAAATGTGAAGCGAGGATGAGAATTGCTTGTGTCGTCGTGTGAATAATGTTGAAGTGAGAGTAGAATCCAGTCTCCAGGTCCCGCTCTAATGACCGACATTTGTCTTCTGAGTGTTTCAGAAGTGTGCAAGGAGAGTCTTTTAAGTTACAGGGAATATGCTAGGTAGTTTGATTGTATGAGTTGCTTTCTTTTTAGCTTTCGGGTTCTCTAACTTCGCCTCGGCCGTGGTGAGGTTGGAATCTGCCTGTATACATGCTCCCACAGTTCAGGATAAAATGTGGAGGACTCTTTCCCTGGTTGACTCTTTTCTGCCGTGTAGAATTGCCTTAATGTCCTACCTGCCCACCAAGGTAGAGGAGCTGGGTTTGTATTTCGAAAGCTCACTGGCCGTAACCAGGCCTTGTCACGGACCAAGTCTCCCAATCGCACCTCAGTTTGCCGCGGGATCGTAGTGAATTTCATAGTATTGATATATAACGTGGCTGTCGGAGGTAAGTTCTTCGCATATTGTAGGGTCTGCTCCCGCGAACGACGAGCAAAGACGGGAAGCGCGAGGTGTACAAAGTTCACAAACGGGGCAGACGTGTAGGCAACGAAGAGCATCGGTAACGCGCCACCGACGACCACTATTGAAGGTCAGCTACGACATTTCGGCTCGAGGATTCTCGCAACAACTTACCAGCTGGTGCTATATACCATGGGTAGTCGTCAGAGAAAAAGGCTGGAGCCACGACAAGGCAAGAAACTCCAAAGAGGAAGATCGTCGTGATACGCAACATTCCCAGGAATATGACCTTTCCCGTCCCGCCATGATAGATCAATATCCGTTCTGGAGGTCCTATAAGCTTGCTTTTAGCATCATGTCTGTTGAGCTTGGTCCAGGGGATCCCGCTACCTCGTCTGATGGTGGACTTTGCGTGTGTCGTCGGGGAGTTTGTAGAAGCACTGGAGCCGGCCAAGCTGCCATTGTTCTCTTTCGCTTTCACGGCAGGTGATCCATTCCCTTTGAATGCGTTCTGAGTCGTCTTGAACCGAGTAAATAATCTGCTACTGAGGTCTCTCTGCACGGATCGGGGAAGCGCTGCGCGCAATTGTGGGTGGAGAAAGCATTGGATCCTCATGTTGAGAATCTGTGACATATATCATCAATTGATATAAAGGGGATAATGAATGATAGGAAGCAGTCTGGGCCGACTGCCAGTTAATGATCGAACAGAAAGAAATTCGAGGGAATGACGGAATGACTGCTGCGGGTGATCTCCGCAACAGGCCTTATCTAATTTACCGCCGACTTATGCAGGCCTTCTTGGCGCGGATGGATTGTCCTCCTTGCTTTGTCTCGATTGTTTGCAATTTCCTCGACCAGATGTCTTCTGGTGCCCAATGTCAGAATTGTGAGAGTACCTGGGCTTCCTGAAGCCAGTAACTCTCGAGTATATCGGAAACAATCCAAGGTCGATGATCACTTGCCATGAAAGCCTGCTAGCATCATCGTAAAGTCGCCATGGTTTCGGCTTACGGTGGCCTTGTTCGCTGGCTACTTGCAATATGCCTCACCCTGCCATTTCTGCTACTCCCCGCAGGAGCGTACAAGTCGGTCTCGGATGAGACCTTGAAAGCCCTGCCACGACCAAATAGCGACTTCGATATCCACAACGGAGCACTTCTGGCGCCCATCCTGCGGCCCCGTGTCCCTGGCACCCCCGGCTCCACGGCGGTGCTCAATCACTTTGTGGATTTCTTCCGCACATCTCTGCCAAACTGGAAGATCGAGTTCCAGAACTCTACGTCAAAAACGCCCTTCTCCCGTGGCAAGGAGGTTCCGTTCGTCAACTTCATCGCGTCGCGCGATCCTCCTTGGGCCGCGGTGGGCGACGTGGGCAGACTGACGCTCGTCGCACACTATGACAGCAAATACAAACCGGAGGGTTTCATCGGGGCCACCGATAGCGCGGCCCCGTGCGCGATCATCATGCACGCGATGCGCAGCATCGACGCGGCCCTGTCCAAGAAGTGGGAAGCTATGCAGGCGCAGGGCCGAACAGACGCAACCCTGGAAGACCAAAAGGGTATACAGGTGCTCTTCCTGGACGGCGAGGAGGCATTCGGTCTCTGGACGGACACCGACTCGCTATATGGCGCGCGCTCCCTCGCAGAGCACTGGGACTCACAAGTCCACCCGGCCATGTCGGTCTACAAGACTCCGCTCTCGTCCATCTCGCTCTTTGTCCTGCTCGATCTACTGGGTAGCAAGGACCCCTACATCCAGTCCTACTTCGCGACGACGCACTGGGCCTACCAGAAACTGGCCGCGCTCGAGAAGCGGTTCCGCGATCTGAAGCAATTCAAGTCTTTCTCAGGGGACGCGTCCGAACGGCAGTGGTTCGCTGACGGCGCGAAGAACGAGCATCAGCTGACGACCGTCCATGGCATACAAGATGACCATATCCCGTTCCTTGCGCGCGGCGTGGAAATTCTACACGTAATCGATGCTTCGCCTATGACGGGGTTCCCCAGTGTCTGGCACTCGTTGGATGACGACGGGGAACATCTAGATCTGGACACGGTGGAAGACTGGAGCATGCTCTTTACCGCATTTGCAGCCGAGTGGATGGAACTGGAGGGCTTCATGCCCGGCAGCGAGGCGCAACACAAGGAGAAGCGATCTCATCCGGAGAGGAAGACTGAATTGTAAGCCAGGCCTTTACGACCTTGTTGTATCACAATCTATGTTACACAATGTACTGTCCGTGGATTGCTACTGAATTGAGCTGCGCTGACGTTCAATTGGTCTGCCTAGCAATTAAGGTCGGCGATTTATACATATGTCAACAGTCCATCCTGTAACTAAGGAGCTTTGGGTGATATTCTATACCTCAATCAATCAATTTCGCAGCTGGCCTGCATAAAGGGATAGCCACCAGTCTATCTTACTTTTAGAAAAGATTGCCCAGCATATACCCCGTCATCGCCACAAGGCCCCATGTCGGCTGCAGCACCGTACGCAGAATCGCAGGGCCCGGGCATACCCCCCGTAAGCCCCAGGCAAGACCAAACGCCGCTGCACCAGTCACAAACCGCCAGTCAATATCCGCCACGGTCAATGTAGGCAGTCTCCAGTTATCCGCCAAGGTAGGCTTCGCGGACTCCTCTCCCTCCTGTTCCTCTCCCTTTTTCAGTCCAGGCTTCACGGACAAGTAAGTCGCAAGCGACGGACCAATTCCGAACAGAATGATGAGCGCAAGCGAAGGATCCCAGCGAGACGGATCGGTAAGGACAGCGAAAAAGCGAAGAACTTTTGCCGGATCAGCCATTCCGGAGATGAACAGTCCCAGACCGAATTGCAGCCCGGCCAGATACGAAAAGATCGTCCTCGACTTCTTCGACCGGTCCAGCACTCGGGGGACAACTACGAAGTTCGTCACGAGCGTCAGAGCGGTGGCGGTGACCATGAACGCGAGCTCCTCGATCGACGGGCACACCGGGGTATAACAGGGTACGCCGGACGGGCAGGGCGGAATGTTTTGGCCTCCGTTGACGAAATTCGCGGTCAGCAGGGCGGTGGTGAAAAAGATGGCTGTTGCGATGAGTGAGCGTGGCGACAGGCGCGAAAGACCGCAGAGCATGTGGCCTGATGTGCAGCCGCGGCCATTCTAGTTCAACGTCCTCAGGTCAGTAAGAAATCTCAGGAAGCAGTCGCGGTGACCATTTACCTTTGTTCCCCAGCCCAGTAGGAGCCCTATACCAAATGTGGACGCCACGGAAGCCCACGAGTTCGGCGCAGGTGGATATGTTGGTATCAAGGATGGCGCAAACAAATAGATCGGGGCCACGCTGGAGACTAACCCTGCGATGATGGGGACATTATCGCAGCTGGGATTGAAAACGCATCCGGACAATAAGGAGGAAATGCCAAAGACAGCTCCATTATGTAGAAGGAGGCCTGAGGAACTCTGGAAAAGCAGCAAAGCTCCAAGGGAGGTGTGGACGGGCGTGAACATTGCGACCGCTGGCCAGGTTGAATCACTCTAGAATATCGATTGAAATGAGGTTATTCCTCCCATACCACGAATTCAAAGGATGGATTCCTCGAGTTCACCGTCGTAGACGTTTGGTTGATCCTCAAAGGGTTCACCATAAAGAAGAGCAAATTCAACAAAGCCGTAGATGCGCCACAGTCATTCTCCGACATCCTTTGAGATTTATTCGGCGATTGTGTGCTTCCCCGTGAATGACGATTGTCAATGGTCCCCGAGCAGCTTATTCAGTTTCCAATCCATGGATGAAGGTTGGGGACAGCTCTCCACCGTCCGCAGGTCCCCGAACTGAAGCATAATGAATAATGATCATCAAGGGGCAGCATTCTGACTTCTAGCTACTTCGAGGGCCAAAGAGTTTAAGGTTTTAATAGTCGATGAGCTCCCGAGAATACGAGAAGTAGGTCCGCTAAAAAGAAGCTTGTAGAAAGCTCAGTCCGAGCACATCTCGTTACCGTGAAGGTATACTCCGTACCGGGACTCGGGACTCTTACCAGTAAGGTTTGGTCCCCGAACCGGACTTTATTGGAATGGCTTGTCTTCATCGAAATGATCGACATCTCCACCGAGCTCCTGGCTAGGAAACCTGTGCCTGGGAGAAAGATTGATAAGACAAAGAGCGGAGGAGGTCCGATGGAAGTTGTCTGTTCAGGGAGAGTGTTTGTTAGCTCTCATAATGGATCAATAGAGGTGCATAAGACCTGCAGGAGAGGCGCATATGACAGCCGCAATACAAGCCAATGGGACGACGCTTTAAGGATCAATGAGATATGGCCACCACTGCCCGCCATGGCCGGTCGCCTACTCATAGAAAAAGGAGGAATAGTAAACAGTCAGCTTGGAGTACGGTGGACATATTTGCTTGCACTGGTATTGTGCAGATGTTGTCAAAGCATGGAGTGAAGGAAAGTGAAATATAGTTAATGATGGATGGAGGCATAAACAGTATGACTAAGCAATGCATAACACTGATGATCATCATCTGGCCCTGACGTTGTCATCTCTTTTCCACTCATGAGTATTGACGAGCGTAGATTTCGACGGAGTACTTGAAGAACGTGTGACTCGTGGAATACCATCTGCAAACGCTCATGTGATGAATTTCCAGCCCACGAGCAGTCCCGCTCCACTTCATATCTGACAGCATCATGAAACGCAGCCTGAACGGGGAACACAAACAAGAACCACAGTCCTGTTCGACTAGCGATCAGGTTCTCGAGGATAGGAAACCATTACTATCAACGCTAGATGCGCCTGTCTCGCCACCTAGAAGAAGGATTCGGGCCAAGAAAGCCTCAGACGATCAGCCTGCACCTTCATTATCGTGCGCGAAGGCAGACTCAAAACTCCCCAGCTCTGAACCAAGTCTTGCAGCCATCGAAGCTGGCGCAATAGAGGTGACGGACCACCTCAAGATCTTTTCCTCCAGACTTGCGAGGTGCGCTCGTCCGGTATCACCCCAAGTGCCTCGGCTGCCGATCAGAGACTGGGTGGACCTGTACGAACGAAACTTACATCCAAACGGCCGACACTTTGTGATTCATCAGCATGATCACCCCATCGCAGGACCGCACTATGACCTCCGGCTCCAATTTTCGGAGACGAGCTCTGTCAGCTGGTCCATCATGTACGGATTACCCGGTGATCCCAACAGTCGGCGGTTGAACCGGAATGCGACTGAGACGCGGGTGCATTGTTTCTGGGTATGTTGTCTCATGGCTCACGGTCTTTGTGAGGCACGTTCCTTTACATTATTCTGACAGCCCTTGAACCTACAGAACCACCTAATTGAAGCAGCATCCGCAAGCACAGGTAGCATGATCATTTGGGATACGGGGGAGTACGAAATCCTTCCTTCCCAGTCCAAGCCAGAAATGGTCGAAACAGACGATTCCCGGTCAGAACTTTCTGACACATCACTTCATTCTCCTGTCTATAAGAAGACTGAGAGTGAGAAACTTCGCGAAGCTTTTCGCAACGTACGTGACAAATGTCCATACCTCAGCCCTTACGACAACTTAACCATGCTGATAGCGAACAGAACAAAATCCGCCTTCGACTCCATGGAACCCGTCTGCCGGAGAACTACACCATCATCCTCCGGCTAGACAAGAATTTTGACTTTGCTAAACCGTCTTCACGGATTCCCCGGAAGAGACGTAGACGGACTATTCGTTCATCAACAACCCGTCCGGAGCCTAGCACCTCCTCAGACTCTGAAATTCCAGACGGGGAATCTCACGATCAACCTGCAGACGCAGATGCAGACACCATGGCCTCCCATTCCGAATCGGAAAGCGCCATAGACCATCAGATCCGGGTGAACAATGCTTACCCCGGTTCCACAAACACGATCGGCTCCATCCACCAGCGACGATGGTTTGCCACGCTGGACCGCGTGAACTCCGGGTTTGTCCCTGAGCCCGATAAAGCTAAAGCTGGGTCAGGGAAGAAGAGGTGGGTGCGCAAGCGGAATGTGCGGACTGGACAAGAACTAGGGTTCGAGCCGTTCTATGTTCGCGGGCCCGAAGTTGAAAGGAGTGTGGTCACGGGGAGGCTGGGGAAGGATGTGTTCGAGGATGAAGGTGTGAAAGATTTCGTGCCGAGACGGGGGTGGAGGGCCGTTGTCGAGTAGGATTTCCCTGCGCCCGTCACCCTACAGTTGACTGGACTCTGGGACAAAGCATTTCATTCCTGCTGATCGAAACCTATCCGGACTACATGAAACGATCATCCAACAAAGACCTGTACAAGGACCTCATTGCTCCATCCACTATCCAATCCCATTGCCTTCCACGCCGCCTGAACATCAACCGCTAGAACCTTAGCATGAGCACCTCCTTCCTTCCAAACCGTCTTTCTTGGCACAGCCCGGCCACGGATAGTCACCATGAAGTTTCGAGCAATACTCCAATCCTGCAGGTCAGAGAAATAAATACCCAGAGTTCCCAGACCTTTGAGGCTGACGTCGAAACGCAGTCGGCCGTTCTCCACCATGATGATATCACTGTTCGCCACGGCGGCGGCGCCAGTCATCTTACCCAACAAACCCAGGATAGCGACGTGGGTGAGCCTCGAACCATCCGAGTTGCAGCCTCTACTCCCCCTTAGGGTAAAGGATTTGGTCGCATAGGCCGTGAGAATCTCCCATTCTTTCTGCTCGAGTACAACGGAGACGAGGGCCTTATCGTCGGATGGATGCATCAGGTCGGTGATTTTGCCGCTTGTGTGCGCGCGGATAATGTACTGGCCATCTGAGCCTGCATGAATGCCTGGGAAATCGCGCAAGGGTACGATGCAAGATGATCCCGCAGCATGGATGTTGAAGAGTCCCAGAATGCCGCTGCCTGTCTTGGCCCACCCGGTGTACGTGCCAATGCGGAGGATGTTGCCTTCGTTGTAATCGTGGTACATGTCTAGCGTCCGTCCCACGATGCTAGGTCTGAGAATGATTGTTGATCCATGGATAGTGGGCGCGGTCATCTGGTTGATGACCGGTAGGCCATGTTTCCCGGGCTCGTCGGTGATGTATATCGGGCCACCTGAGAGGCAACGTGCAGCTGCATGGAACGAAGCGTAGGGATGGCACGTCTGGAACATGTCCCAGTCCGGCAAGACGTTGAGGTACCGTGTCAAGAGTGCATTGTGGGCGTTGCAAAATACATGCCATGTGTGAGATGCCGGGATCTCCGGGAAGAAGTCATCCGAGTTGCGCAGAGCGATTTGAGGCTTGTTCGTTGGGAGCTGGGAGTGAAAGATGGCTTGCGGGATCATGGACATGCACGAGATTGCCCTTGTACTGAAGTGACTTAGCGAGGAAATGGACCATGCGTCCTGGTAAGCGTTCATAAACCGTCTGCGATCCTCGGGGTCTTTCAGCAGATCAAGGAAGAACTGCGCATCTGTTTTGACCGAATCCACACCAACAGACGTTAAAAAGCTGTAGAAATCATCATAAAAGCGCTGAATATCTTCAGGGTCAATGGCCAGCAATGAACCCTTCTCGAGGGCATGCGCAACAGGCCCTCCTGTGGCCGGATCCGTAATCTGCACTTCTTTGGTCTTGTACGCTCGGGCAAGATCCCCGCTGGGCGAAATTCCACCCCAGTATCCGAAGAGGGCATGCCAGACCGCGATATGCTGGATATTCTGATGCTTCTGGCGGATGGTCTCTATGCCCTGTTTAAATCCCCGCGGGAACGCTTTGGGATCTGCTTCAAACCGCGTCCATGCCCTCTTGAACTGTGACTCGCCTTCACTATCGAGAGCCTGCCAATTGTCATCTATAATCAGATTTTGGATTTTGATTCCCTGCTCCTGCAAGGAGTCAAGAGCGAAAAGGATCTTTTCTTCGGTCAGGTTCTGTCCCAGCCCGTTCCATGTAGAGTAGCTTAGGCCGTCATACCACTCCGACATCCATTGCGCCTGAGGGTCCTTTTCCACCAGCACAATATCGTTGTCGACAGGCGAGACTGGAGTGGGTGATCGATCTGACAACACCTCCGTAGCGTACGGTCTGACCAATTTCCGAGCTTCGTATATGACAGCGCTCATGGCTACTTCGAAATCATCGGCCGCAGAAGCAAGAACCTGGAACTTGCTTGTTTCAGTGTGGTCACACTTGGCCTTAATCACGACTTCCCCTTTCTCGTTCGAAGCAAGCAGAGTCAGGACATCGCTAATCCCTGAGACCGCCAGAAGAACCAAATGGGAACCGTCAGTCCGCAGGAAGGAGCATAATACGGCATCCTCTGTCAAGCTGAAATTCCTCTTCCCATGTCTAGGCCCAAGCCATGGAATCCATACCCGTACTAGGGCAAAATAACGCGCGATTGAGGATGGTTTGCCCAGAGCGACTCGCTTGAGCCCCGACTCGCCCTCTTTGGCAGCTTCTACCGATCCGGAAAGGCTCCACAAACGAGAAGCAGGGGCCTCACTCGTACGCGACTCGACCTCGACCTCAGTCGAGAAATTATCAAAGAACTTGCCAAACCCCTCTCTATCTGAAGTTGTTGATGTACTTCCATATGTCATCGCAGAAGGACTATACGACGGTGCCCGAGCGGGATCCGTAGTAACAGATGGAAAAACACCCGTGTCGAACTGAGAATCCCGCGCCGGAAATAGTACCTCCCCGTCATTGATATGACGTTGTTGGTTGACCCATTGCCATTCTGCCTGTGGAGTGGCTCGAAATCGAACCGTGAACTGTGCATAGCCCGCGGTAGCAGGGAGAGCGATTTCCTCGGAGAAAACATAGCGACGGTACTTGTAATCCTCCTCATCCCCGTTCATCAGAGGAGCTACAATGGGCTCACATTTCTTCAGCGGGAGTGCGGTCCATTCGGAGCTACCGAGATTATGCCAAATCTGGGCCTCCCATGGTTGCTCTGGGAATAAGCTGCTTGATTCAATTACCACAGTAAAGCGAAGCTATTGTCCATTAGTTTATTTGATTGGTGGCAGTAAATGGACAAGGAGATGTAGCTCTCCCCAAGTCTAACATGAACACAAAATCAATGTAATAGCTCACCGTATCGTCCTTTTCCGACTGCAAGGCCTTCTGTACCCTTTGTATACTAGTGACCTGCCCCAGAGGCGGGTAGCACGTCACGCGCGCAAACAGACTCATTTGCGCGGGACGGTAGAAGTGAAGCTGTGATGGCATCTGATGGCGACCCGGACCGATGATGGGTCGAGTCGACGTATTCCTTGTGCTGACCTGCATCTCAAGAGCAGACCGGGAGACTCGAGAATATTAAGTTAACTATGGAGATAAGAAGTGGGGAATCACCACTGCTTTTGCAGTAGTACGGAGTAGTGTGAAGAGGATCCATTCTCCCCTCAGGTGCAAATCAGGAGAAAGGGATGCTGGACGATCATGGCGTTATGATGCATGATGAGCTGTTGTGCGGCGGTGGCGTGTTGCGGGCAAGATGAGGGGAAGGTGCAGGGCGACGCCCCTCCAGCTCCTCATGGTTGGTGTTCCTATCCGTCCTGCAGATAGTATAAGAAAGTTGATATTGATATCTTCAGCTTGTGTCGATAAGTAGATAAGGAAATTTAGATAAGGAAATCTAAAAAATTGGAAAGACCACGGAGATGGCTGAGATAGCATCATACGTCCATTCACATTAATTACATTACTATATAAATAGTGCAATGGCTATGGTAGTACATGTGCACTCGACAGTCCATTCAACGTTGTCGTATTCCTCATTAATAGCCTTCGCATAGTCTGATACGCTCGCGTTTAATCAATCTCAATTGCCAGCTTTCCGAGATGCTTTTGAGCCCACTATGGTTTGCCGTTAGCACCCTATTCTCAATGACCTTCAAGAGAAAGAAGACTCACCATGTATTCATAGGCTTCCTTGGCCTGATCGAGACGGAAAACCTTCTCATCAACGACCGGGTGGATGTCGTTCACCTCAATGGCCTTGATCATATCGTTCATCAAAGCCTTGCTTCCGACATATACACCCCGAATGGTGCAGATGTGGTTGAGTGCTTCAAGCATGCCAGGCTGACCCTTGGGATCAACTCCTCCGAGGAAACCAATGATGCTGATTGTGCCCTCAAACTTGATGCATTTCAAACTCTGACTGAGAGTACCGGCGCCTCCCACTTCGATAATGTGATCGACACCGACGTTGTCGGGAGTCAGAGAGCGAGCCATTTCGCCCCAGTTGGGGTTCGTCTTGTAGTTGATGACATGGTCCGCTCCAAGCTCCTTGAGCTTCTTGGCCTTCGTGTCAGAGGAGGTCGTAGCAATAACAGTAGCTCCGGCTGCTTTAGCAAACTATTCCAGGAATATTGTCAGTTTGTCGCGTGTTCTCTACTCAAGTATGCGGCCAACATCAGCTTGACGACTCACCTGCAGGGCAAACATGCTAACACCGCCCGTTCCTTGTACCAGAACAATCTCACCCGGCTTCAAAGCATTCATGCCATACAGAGCATTCCAGCTGGTGAGAGCAGCGCACGTAAGGGTACTCGACTCAAGGAAGTTGAGATTCCTGGGAGCCCTAACTAGGCCATTTTCGTTGAAAACACCGTATTGGCGCAGAGTACCATCAAGGACACCACCAAGGCCGGATTTGGTGCTCCGCGTGTCGACAGGACCGTACTGGTGGAACTGATTGAACAAGGTCACGACCTTGTCGCCTTTCTTGAACTGGGTCACTTTCGATCCGACCTCGACGACCTCGCCGGCACCATCGGAACCGGGGACAACGGGGAAATTAATAGGGAATGGATACATCCCCTATAGAGGCATCAGAAATGTGCGCGACAAAAGGCTGATTTGCTCATGCCGTATCGAGCGTAGAAGTGACGCACCTTGGGGATGATCAGGTCACGATAGTTGAGCGACGCAGCTCGTAGCTTGACGAGGACCTCATTTTCACCGCACTTGGGCACAGGACCATCCTTAAAATTAAGACTATCGAAACCGTTCTCCTTATCCACAACAACCCACTGCTTCATAGTTGAGGGAGCCATTTTCCGTATGTAAGGCGTCAAGTTCTCGGGATGGTCAATTGATCGCGATCAAAATCAGGCTGTTAGCTAGAAATGTACTGATTAGGGAGGCCCAGGCAGTTATTTATTTTAACTCAAGCTCTCGGCCTTGTAGTTCTTGACGTAAGGAAGAGCTCCACCTGCTATGACGGCACACTGATAACTCTCCGATTCGGCCATCTTTAACGGTGCCGAGGGATATCCGAGAAATTTGGGTTTAGTCGACGAGCAAATCATCAATGCTTGTGAGTATCCTCTGTTCAATCTGCTTATAAATCCGGTCCATCTGTGCTCAGTCTGCTGGAAATCGTTTGGGCAACGACTGCCGTGTGTCTCCTAAGGTGGTGTTGTGGTTCAAGCTTCTCAAGGGATAAAGTAAATGTGGATACCTTCAAACACCGAGTCTCCAATCGCCGGCAGTTGCACCTTAAGAGATAGTTACCTTTCTTTCCGATTTATAATCATGAGCGCTGGAGGTTGAGCAGTAGAAGGATGGATGTAGGGATCCATCTTCATCGTGCTCTACCATTTGTCCGGCCTTTTTACTACGATGGATAACGAAGAGACGTGCCGAAACTTGATTCTTCTAGAAGTCTGTCTCCACTCTGGCAAATCCACGAACCGATAGTCAATTGCCAGGCCCGTTGTTTTGGTTTCAGAATCCGATAGAATAATCCATCATCAGCATGGTGTTAAGGCCAATATCGAGTACTAACCCTTCTAGACCAGGAAAACAAGACTTCTTGTTCAAGACTTCTCCCCGTAGCTTGTATGGCTCGTACCAACGGCCGTACTTTCTCACGAATGTTACCCACCTTCAAATTCACTCCCATTGTTCCTCATAACTGCCCGGCTTGTAAGGGGGAAATCTATGTCTCGGAGTCTGACTTTGCCAAGGAGCAGCTGAAGCCGGGGTTAAAGTATTCATCATGCGCGAGCACAGGGCAGGAGCGGCTTCAAGAAGATCGTGAAAAGAGGGCTGAAGTCGAAGTTGATTGACGCTGTATGCCGCATAATGGGCCAGCCAGTCCACGAGGCTGTCGTTCAGCGGGATCTTGAGGAATGCGACTCGCAAGGAAGCGATAACTGCACGTTGTTGATCGAGGGTTTGGGGTCTGTTGATATCCGCAAAGCATGCAGTGAGCTTTTCATAGGCCAACTGCTTCAGTTCCGAGATGAGGTATACGTCGCTGAAAATATAGAGTCGGAGGTGTGCCAGCAAAGGATGATTGTCAAGCTCCACATCCGTACTTTCGCTCACATTGGCGGCTGCTGCCGATGATGCGTCAGTCTCGTCAGCGTCATCAGAGGCTTTGATTTTCTCCTGCACCAGGTCCATGCTGATCACTGATGCCGGATAGTCGCCTCGATATGTCCACTCAACAAAGCGGGCAAGAGTCCCATCAGTCGTGTCTGAGCAGGGATACACTCCATCCTCGCCCTCCGAAAATTCGCTGGTGAGCGCTGCATGAAGGACTGTAGACTTGGACTTCAAGAGGTCTTTGTGAATCTTGAACGTGCACGTTGATCCTGGTGATCTCAAGGCAACCGTATCGGAAGTCAAGAATCTATCTGGCTATTAACAGTTAAACTTGCCAACAAGCGCGAGATACTCACTCGAAACAGGCTGATTTTCCCTCCTCATTAGACATTTCTAGTGCGACGTGAAGTCCAATCGCCAGTAGTGTAGGTGGGAGGAACTACAGAAGGTGGTTGAGCTGCGACGCAGAGTTGAGGCAGTTGATGTTCCCCGTACTCTATTTCGAACGTAACGATTGCTTGATAGACCGTCTGCCAGACGTCCTGGCTCTATATATACCTGATTGACAGTTTCTGAGCCGCTATCATAGCCACACAGACCATTGTGTGATAATGTAAAATCTCATTGGCACACACAATCAAGACAGAGCGAACGCAGATCTGAGTGGATTCAGCAAACAGCTCTCTCACGAAAGACCACTTACTATCAGCGAAGTTTGGAAGTAGGCTGTGTACCTGTTGGTGTATCCATGGGTCTCATGGAGAATAAACACTCATATAGGTGGTTTGGTCTTAGCAATCAAAAGAGAGAGAAAGACGGAAACGAGCCCAAAGCCAGAAGTTTGCATTATCTTGGCGGATGCTAGGAAGTATCAAAGGAAAGGGCTTCCTTTCAGGGCGTTACCATAGCCCAAGTGAGCAGACATACTAGATGAGAAAGTGAAAGCTCTTTCGTTAAGATCCATTGTTCAGAATACGTTGACGGAAAATGTCCTCGTATAGAATGCACATACTAGTCTTATCGCTGAGTGAGATCTACATGGCATGAGGGGTAAAACAGTCAGCAGCCTGGCGCATCCCCTCACTAATTTGAAAACCGATCCTTTTCCATACGCCTCATCTCTGGGTGGCTGCTTGCATACCCTATCTTTCTTGAACTCAAGGGCGAATCGATTATGTCTCTAGGGCGTAAATTCAAGCTCAATTCTGGATATGAGATCCCCGCTGTCGGTCTAGGAACCTGGGTTAGTAGAGGTCTGCGTTCGGGATATATAAATCTTGCTGCTAATGACCTGACAGCGATCTGCGCCTCACGAGGTAGAAGACGCCGTTGCGACGGCACTTCGCGTGGGATATCGACATATCGACGGTGCCGCTGTCTACTTGAATGAAGCCGAAGTAGGACGGGGATGGAAGAAGTCCGGTGTACCTCGCGAGGAGATATTTGTTGGTTCCGATCACGGTTCACTCAAATTGTATTTGATAAAGTATCTCATTTCACTCTGCAGTTAACGAGCAAGCTGTGGAATACGCACCATCATCCGAGCCATGTCGAAGAAGCGCTCGACAGGACACTCAAGGATCTACAGACGGATTATCTGGACTTGTACCTGGTATGTCAGTTATACTCTTGACGGATATCTGCTGATAGGTGAAAAGATCCACTGGCCCATATCATTCGCACATACCAACGACACATTTCAGCCTCTCGACCCGGTCACAAAACGATTCCGTTTAGTGGACATCCCCATCGGCGATACTTGGGCAGCGTTGGAGAAGCTAGTCAAGGCTGGCAAGATTCGAAGCATTGGTGTCAGCAATTTCACCGTTGAGAAGATAGAGGAACTACTTAAGACAGCAGAGATTCCTCCCGCAGTCAACCAGATCGAGGCTCATCCTTATCTCCTTCAGCCCAGGTTGTTCCAATACCTGAAAGAGAATGCACGTCTCATCAATATCCTACAATGGCATACACATTTGTTAACTATCACCAGAATATTCTACCTGTTGCTTATAGCCCTCTGGGCAACAATATCTTCGGTGCCCCTCGGTATACTAAATCCTCATGCCACCGCTGACGGAGTGAACTAACCGTCAAACAGTGTTGTCGATGACCCCGCCGTGATCGAAATAGCTAAAAGACTGGGCAAAGATCCTGCGGGATTGCTGATCTCTTGGGCTGTCCAGCGTGGTTCCGCTGCTATTCCAAAAAGTGTCAAAGCAGCTAGAATAGAGAGCAATTTTCAAGGTATCTATCAACCTCTCCAGTCTTCTAACCTCTTTGACTGACCAGCACGTCTCCATCAGACTTCATCATCCCTGATGGGGAGTTCGAAGCTCTCAACAAACTGGACCGCCATCAACGATATAGCTATCCCTTCCGCTGGGGTGTGGATGTGTTCGGGGAATTGGGTGCTGAGGAAGCCGAGAGACGCGCAGAGGAGCATGCAGCGAAGTTTAGGGAGAGTGAGAGCGCATAACTTTTGTAGCGGTCAGATGTCCTATGGATGCTGAGTGGCACATATATATACGATCTATACACTAATTGGATGAGGTTGGTGCTGGGTGCTTAATTGTCCAAGATGGGAATGAAGTAGATACACTTCTTGCAATGAATATGTTCATCTGCGTGCAGAATTCCCCATTGGCCCATCGTACCGGCGGTTCACTGAGTTCAGCAGACTGCGTCATGGCTACCGGATTGAGCGCATGAAGAAGCAGAGAACTCCGTCAACCGAGAATGAAGACGTGGACATCTGCATAACTGACAAATACTGCGCAATTCAGCATAAAGCTGATTCCGTGACCACAGAAATCACTGCCGGCTGACTATGGAAAGCAAGGGATGGAAACATATTCCGATGCTTTCAGGGCAGCGATTGGTTACGGATCATCTCCGACCTTCTGCTGCATGATGTCAAATACTGAGTCTGTGCCTCAATATCTAGAGAGGTAGGGTCCGTCATTGACCACCCGAACCACCCATTTGGGACATCGTGAAGATCCAGTTGCATATTAACCTGATGTGACTGGCTCGACTTGAGTGTCTGTGAGTTATGGAACCTTCGCGATGGGATGCTTGGGGGTGGTCACCATTATGCGCTCTGGATAAGCACTTGGCTCGAATATGTATATAAAATCTTCATGCTTGCCGGGCTGTATATTCGAATCCATATTCAACAATGGTGGCTCCCCGTATCTGCGACGTGCATGAAAGACAAGATGCCAATGATATTTTAACACAGCTCTCCCGACTGGACCCCCTCTGTCTGGCTGGGGCGCTAGTTATCTCAGGGTTGTTCTTCCTATTGACTCTTCCTCGAAGGTCGTCGATCCCTATGGTCAATGAGAAATCGCTTTTCCAAATTCGGTCCTCGCACGCTCAGAAGCGGTTCTTGCAAGATGCGCGCAACTTAATCAAAGCTGGTTTTAGCAATGTACTTCCCGCATGCAGCTGATGCTTTGGAATCAAGAACTAAGTCGCTGGAGGGCTCCCATCTTTCGGGTTCACTCGGACAATGGAATCAAGACCATGCTTGCACCCGAGTGCGCAAATGAGATTCGTGCTCACCCTGCCTTGAGCTTTGGCCGTGCAATTACACTGGAGTTCCACTCGGACATTCACGGATTCGAACCTTTCAATCAACTAGCCAGCAGCAATGACACCTTCCAAGATGCTATCCGAATGAAGCTGACACAGAACCTGGGTGAGTTGTAGGATCTCGATATAACTCTTATGTCATGTACAATCTTCTGATTTCTTGACTGTCAAACAGGAAGTGTGACCAAGCCCTTCTCAGATGAGACATCGATTGTCCTTAAAAAGCACTGGTCGAACGATGGCAGTGAGTTATCATTTGCCAGTCTGTTTCACAAATACTGATCAGGTCAGACTGGCATGAAGTGGCTCTCAAGCCGACCATTCTTAAAATAGTTGCCCAGCTCTCATCAAAAGTCTTCCTTGGGGACAAGATTTGTCGTAACCCAGACTGGCTGCAGATCACTGTCGACTATACCGTGGACACCTTCTTAGCCGCTGAGGATCTCCGGCTCTGGCCCAGATTCATACGCCCTGTTGTGGCCAACTTCCTGCCATCCTGCCGTAAAATCCGCCGGGAACTGAAGGAAGCGACGGAAATCATAACTCCGGTGCTAGAAGAAAGACGCAGGGATTAGAAGCAGCCAGGAAGGCAAACCAGCCACCAAAACGCTATAATGATGCTATGCAGTGGATGGAGGAATGCGCCAAAGGTCAGCCCTACTCCCCTGCAGAAGCGCAAACGGCCTTCTCAATCGTTGCCATCCATACGACGTCAGACATGCTCACGCAGGTCGTCCTCTACCTTTGTACCCTTCCGGAGGTCATCCAACCGCTTCGCGAGGAAATTGTGGCGCTCATCCAGGAAGGGGGATGGAAGAAGACTGCTTTATATAAGCTCAAACTCATGGACAGTGTGCTGAAGGAGAGTCAGCGCATGAAGCGGGTCAACATCAATAAGAATTTCTATCCCTTGTCAAGTGTCTGTATCTCGTGATACTAAAAGACTGATTGCGCAAAGCTTCAACGAGACGTCTCGCACTGGAGGATATCAAATTATCGGGTGGCACACTCATTCCAAAGGGCTCCTCCCTTCTCGTCTCTAGCCACAAAAGGTGGGATCCAGACGTGTACCCAAACCCCGAGAATTTCGACCCCTATCGGTTTTTTGAGACTACGCGAGACTCCTGGCCACGAGACTTCGGCCCAGCTAGTGTCGCCGTCTCCAGAGCATCTCGGATTCGGCTATGGGAAGCACGCTTGTCCGGGACGGTCCTTCGCTGCCAACGAGGTTAAGATCGCCTTGTGCCCTATTTTATTAAACTACAATTTCAAACTGCCTGATGGCTGTACACAGACGGTGCGAAAGAGGGGCATCTCGCTCAGTGCTGATCCTTCGGCGAAACTCGTCATCAGACAGCGACAAGAAGAGATTGCGCTCTGAGAGTGGGACTGGGTTTTTGTTATCACGTCACTGCTAACTTATGTTTTTCTATCTGTGTGCAATAAGAGCACTGCGTAGAATGTAGGCCTTAAGTATAACCGTCTCTTTTTGTAACACACCAGTCGATGAATCGTAGGTGTCCGACATTGATGACACAAGCTGTTAGTGAGCAAAAAGAATGTTATCATAAAAGTCTCGGCTCAATGTGCTGTCTGCATTTATCCAAGTCAAGATCCGCTGAAAGAATATTTAATTTTTTAGTTGGACTGATCAAGGTCGAGAAATGGTTGAACTTGGGCCAAGATAGCATTCAGCAAAGTGTTGATTGCAGGAGAGAAAGGGGAGTGACTTTTTCACATCAAACACCAACTGGCGAACATAAACACTGATGATTAAGTGAAAACAACCTCAAGGCAGCCAAACACACCCCAAAAACTGCTTGCTCACCAGGAATAATTTCCACATACTTATGAAACTTGTTGCCATGAACTCTTATGAATAGATCTTGAGAAGTGGCAATCACAATGCCAGCCGTCAAAAAAGGCAGAGTGACAAAAACCGAGGCTAAACAGTCACCACGACGAAAATCCACTCGACGTAGCTTGACAGGAAAGGCAGATGATGATCGGAAAAAAGGTGAGTGACTCATCGAGCCACGATTATCAATAGGTCTATAGACGTGCATAGCTGTGGTCCTGGATGAATCCAACGGCTGGATTCAACCTGGTTCTACCTGCCCTTTTTTGCTGTATCATGACGGACGCAACTCCGGTTCATTCTGTCTCATTTGGGGTCATCCTACGCACAAGAATCCACCATTTCGCCTGTGCTCTTACTTCAATTTTATTTGAAAGATTCTGGACCGCTAGATATAAATGAGTCGAGACGCGTATTGACCTAGTTGCAGATCCCAAGCCACTACCTCTGGTAGAGCGCACCAACAGTCTACCAATCGAAGAATTCACCTCGCTATATATCAATCCAGAGCTCCTTGATTACGATTTACTATGGCGTCCAAAAGACAAATGCAGTCCTTATGACCGCAATAAGTTTCACATCAAAATGCACTGCACCGTTGACGTCTACTCATCCAGTACGATTCCCGCCGACGTATTTGATGTGTGTTTCAAATTCATCGAGCAGACGTCGGCAGACGCTTACAGGGCGTCCAGCTCGGGATGGTCTGCGGCTCGGAAGCGAAAAGAGATGCGATTGCCTGATATGAAATATCTTATTCAACGACGCAGCCGGACAGGTCCACCTGAAGCGACCTTCGCGGACGGCATATCCTTCCAGAGGGGAGAGATACTTGCGTTCCTTTCGTTTATGGTCACGTACGAGGATGGCAAGGAAGTAATTTACTGTTATGAGGTGCATGTGGCCCCGAAGGCTCAGGGCCAGGGAATTGGAATGCGTCTGATGATGCTGTTGCGATCAATCGGGCTCAAGATTGGCCTGGAGAAGGCTATGTTGACCTGCTTTCGGTCCAATCATCGCGCATTGCGGTTTTACAAGTCGATCGGTTACAAGGTGGATGAGAACTCCCCCAGGTCGATTCTGTTGCGGACAGGAGAAGTGGAGCCTGACTACTATATCATGTCTGAATCTCTGAAACAGAAGTCGTCGCATGAGAATGATAATGTCTGAAGTCCCTTTCGAAGCTCAATATTGAAAGGGTCTATGGTACCATAATCTAGACCTGTCTAACATCTTTGCCGCGCATTTCTGGATTCTCCTGCTCCCACTCGTCTCTGAGAGCAGCAAAGATTGTGTCTGCCAAGAGGATGGAGAGTCCCAGACTCCACACTAATGTGATGGCATAGAAGAAGTTGGCATTGCCAGATCCAGCGTAGATCCATAGGTAGTAGAATGCAGGGCCCAGGAGGGTGGCGTATAGAAGCGCCGAAATGGCAAAAAAGGTGTAGCGCATCACTATTTGTCGTTAGCAGAAGCAAACCGCCAGGGGGCACGGGCAGAACTCACAGGGGAACAAATGCCGGTAAAGAGGGAGAAGTGCAAAGTACAAGGAAGCATCCGAAATACTAGGATACGGCTTGAATATGGCGAAGATGCCCATGAGGGAGGTCAGAACAAAAAGAGGCTGCTTCCGCAATCGAACGGTGAGACCACCGACATAGCCCGTTAGATGGAGCCAGAAGACGCCAAGGAAGAACTCCCGGAAGGAATCGAAGATTTCGATGAAGAAGTACCACCAGAGGCCAATGTTGGGAGTCAGGTCAGGGACAAGCAATTGGAAACCGTATGTTGCAGAGATAAACTGCTGAAAGTCCGGAACGACTAAGTAAGATAGGCCCAGAAGCCCTCCCACGCCGAGCAAAAGTATGCCAAAGTGCTGAATGGCGAAGATTGCAACTCCAGAAGGAGGCTTCACGCCTTGAGCACGTCGATCGTAACACAAAAGCACGAGCGGAACAAACAGAAGGGCCGGGTAGATTGACAAATATGACGCGCATCCTAGAGCGAGCATGGCATTGAAGTTATTCCCAGTGACGGCATTCGACAGAGCATAAAGGATTGCGGTCGAAGTAAAGGCGCTTGTGGATCGGCCCAGACAGGCGGCAATGGTGAAGGGGTTGAAAAGGTACCTGTTAACCGTCAGGAGCAAAGCCATGCAGGAAGTCGCAGAGTATAATTACCATGCTGCCACATCTACCCCACCCCACTTGATATCCTTTCGCAAAGCTGTATACAATCTTCCCGATATCGCCTGGTTGGAGTCGGATATGGTGACCAAGGCATTGGCATTAACAAGGTCAATCAGACCGTAAAAGACGGCCGTCGCTAACGGATACTCTCTAGCATTCGGTAGTAGGGCGAATATAGGGAGAAGCAGCGGCGCCTAACACGTGGTATTGCGACTTAGTAAAGAACAAAAAGAGCGGATTCCGGACTCCATACCTGATGGAAGACGCCTCCGTCATAAGGGGAAACATTCCGAGTGTAAAGAAAAAGGCCTTCTTGAACTGGAGATAGATATATCAGCTCGAGCATTCCAGACACAGAGGAAACAGCTCGTATAGAACTCACGTCTTTTGAAACTGTTCACTGGTGTAGAGACCTCGACTCTGCCCGTCAGCAGGTCCGGCAGCGAGGGGAACAGGAGCAAGAGGAGAAGTCGCAACACGAAAGCACCGCCGAACACGGCGGCTTTCCGTCGATCGACCGGCATGATGTGTTCAACAAGAAATTGAAGACTGCAGCATAGCAACTATCAATATTTGACCATCACTATCTGGCTTTCAGTCAGTGTCTCACTGTGGCTTAACTCCGTAGGCTTTGTATTGCTCCAGCTGTCCTTCGGCCTGGCGCGCCAAGACTCCGCCCATTACCCTTTTCCGCAGCGCACGGGCCAACCAAGCTTGTGATTGGAGAAAAAAAGGAAAAGAGGGAAAAAAAGAGTTATCAAGAAATTTTTCTGGTTATCAGAAAAAAAGTCTCCCCATCAACAACTTTTCGCTGAACAGCCATACACCGCAAAGATGGGTAAAATCAAGAAGAAGGGTATGCTTATCGGACCATATTCTTTGCGCTCTTGAGTTTCAATTGACATTTTTTTCAGGTACCTCTGGTCAGGCCAAAAACTACATTACTAGAACTCAGGCAGTTCGCAAGCTTCAGATCTCTCTGCCTGACTTCCGTCGTCTTTGTATCTTCAAGGGTATGTTCAGTGAATCTGATCCTTCATTTCTCCTTTCTATATGTGGTGGCGTCGATCCTAACTGGATTATCCCTGCAAATTAGGTATCTACCCTCGTGAGCCTCGGAACAAGAAGAAGGCCTCGAAAACATCGACCCCGAATACCACCTTCTACTACACCAAGGACATCCAATATCTTCTCCATGAACCCCTACTCAGGAAATTCCGGGAGCAGAAGGCCGTTGCGAAGAAGATTGCACGGTCTCTTGGACGCGGAGAAGTCGGCGATGCAGCTCGGTTGGAGAAGAACCATGCCCCCAAGCTCACATTGGACCATGTCATCAAGGAGCGCTACCCCACCTTCATTGACGCCTTGAGAGATCTGGATGATGCCTTGTCACTTCTCTTCCTCTTTGCCAACCTCCCCTCAACCGCTCACGTTCCTCCTAAGACTATCGCCCTCTGCCAAAGGCTTTGTCACGAATTTCAGCATTACTTGATCACGACCAACTCTCTGCGCAAATCTTTCCTTTCAATCAAGGGTATCTACTATCAAGCTACTATCCAAGGACAGGACATTATGTGGCTGGTTCCTTACCGATTTGTGCAGCGCGTCAACGGCGACGTCGATTACCGTATCATGGCCACATTTGTTGACTTCTACACCACTCTGCTCGGATTCGTGAACTTCCGGTTGTATTCGTCGATTGGTCTGAGATATCCCCCCAAGTTTGACACCAGAAGTGACGAGAATGGTGCGGAATTGGCGGCTTTCACCCTCGAGGGCCGTGGAGTCGGCGATGCCCCGAAGGCCATTGAGGCTGGTAATACGCAAGCAACCACCTCCACTAACAAGGAGGCCTCGAAGGAAATTCAGGCGAAGGTCGACGACGTGATCAAATCAGCAGGATTGGATGAGGCAAAGGAGGAGCCGGCCGCCGAGACGACCGAGGAATCCAGTGAAACGATTGACAAGTTCGAGCCCGCAGCCCCAGAAGCCGATACACTCCCCCAACCTGACCTGAGTGGAAGCGAGGCCGGATCGCTCTTCGCCCCATTCACATTCTACATTTCACGAGAGGCACCTAGAGCGCCACTTGAATTCATTCTGCGGGCTTTCGGCTGCAAGAGAATCGGCTGGGATGCCGTGCTCGGTGATGGTGCTTTCACTCACGACGAGACAGATACTCGTATTACTCACCAGATCGTTGACCGACCTCAACTGCCCGAGTCCTCTCTCCCAGCTATTCCTGCTGCCTCAAAGGACGGTTCCGACGCCGTTCAGAAGGTGAAGCCTGGTACTCGGATTCCTGGTCGAACTTACGTCCAGCCTCAGTGGGTCTGGGATTGCATCAATGAGGGCAAGCTTGTCCGTCCTGATTTGTATGCACCCGGTGCCACCCTGCCGCCTCACTTGAGCCCTTGGGTCAAGCCTTCAAGAGGCGGCTACGATCCTAAAGCCAGCCTGGCCGAGCAGGAAGAAGAAGGCGAGGCCGAGTTAGACGAGGACAGTGACGAGGAGATGGAAGAAGCCTCCAATGATAAGAAGGCCGAAGCTAAGGCAGATGTTGGATCGGAAAGTGAAGACGAGGACGAGTCAGTCGACGGTGGCATGGATGTTGCCGGTACCGATGATGACGAGAGCGAAAGTGAAGAGGAAGAGGAAGACTTTGGTGGACTTGAAGAAGAAGAGGCTGCTTCCGAATCAGAGGACGAAGAGGAAGCGACTCGCACCCAGCACCAGAAGGAACTCGAGGCTGAGGCTGCTGGTCTTCCCTTCTCTTCCAACGGTGCTACTAGCGATGCATCCAAGAAGAAGTCTTCCCAGGCTAAGAAGATCGCTGCCAAGAAGCGCAAGGAGGAGGAAGAGCTGGAGAGACAGAAGATGATGATGAGCCGTAAGAAGCGCAAGTTGCTTGAGAAGATGATCTACTCGAACAAGAAGCAGTCCGAGGAAGCGGCGAAGCTGCGGTCAAAGAGGAGAAAGCTTGAGAAGGAGGGGGCAAAATGAGTTCATTAGATAAAAGTTAGCAGCATGCTTTTGGCGACAATTCCTGGGATTTGGGGACATTCAATCTTCTGGCGTCATTCCTTGGCTTTGTACTATTTTCAGCATATAAACATCGTATATTAAGATTCCTCCATGTTCTTGCACCAATCGTATAAAGAACACCAATCGTATATATTCTCAAGTCTAGGGAGCAGTCCTGCCGAAAGCTCGATCCTGGAACCTGAGGCTGTAGCTGTTCGCACGTCACGTGATATCAATTTCTTCTTCTGGTTCTCGTCTGAATGTGATTCCTATATCTATGTAATCAAAGCTGATAAGGCGCGAGATCTTTTCACAAGAAATCCCATGTTTCCAAGCCAGGTCTGCTGAAATTTCACTTCTGAAGACCTGTTTTGGCAAACTCCTAGCTAACGCCTCTGATCATGATCGTTCCGCCAGCTGCAACGAGGCACTTGATTTTGACCATACGATGTTAGAAGACGGGCAATTTTCATCATATCACTTCAACGCCACGTATAATTGATCTACCTGTCAATAAGTTTTCCATACTTAGGAGGCGCATGACTCTCTTAGACTGAAAACAATGTCCTCGGTCTTTGGAAGCCAACCCTCACGCTTCAGTCCTCCTCAATCTGCACAACCGTACAGATCGATATTCGGAGGCCCAAGTAGCCAAGATGTGGCTGACCTGGAACCGTACCCCGAGACACAACAGTCCGGAGGTCGCGTGAATCAGCATGATTCAGACGTTGACATGGAAGACGTTCTATTGACTGAAAACGATTACTCAGATGATGAGACTTATGTCGAAAGTGAGGATGACGGTTCTGTATCCGACGATGAGGCCAGCAATGATGGTGATTCGTCCAAATTATCGAAGAAGCAGGCCGCGGTAGTGCCTTCGTCTAGCAAGCAGCTCCCTGACAGTCCGCCGTCCTCGCCCTCATACAGGCCTAATAGGTTCCGTGGGCCGGAGTCTACGTGGAGAAAACTCACGTTTGAAGACCGGCAGAATGCGCAAGCTCTAGAGGAACTCAGAGCCAGAGACCTTGCCGCTCATCTTTACAATGCTTTTGCCTTACGGGTTAGGGCACGTGAGATCGCACAGCAAGCGTTAGAAAGTGATAAGCAGCTCGACGAAACAGAAGCTTTTGTACCTCCGAAGCGTTGGACAGCGTGGCCTGTACCGGCAACGGAGGTCCCTCGTCCAGGAGAGCATCTACGAAGACGAATAGACGATGAATGGACTTTGAGAATGCCACCGGATCCCCGGCCCAGCGCGGAGCTGGAAGAGTCAATTATAGCAATCATGCTCAAAACTGCCAAGGATTGCTTTGAGGCAAGAGATTGGACGACTAAAGGCGTCGGCCCAAATCCAAAGCGAAAGGCACGATCTGTGTCCAGAATGAACGACGAAACTACTGGTATGGAGAGCGAATGGGAAAGTGACATTGACTCTACGGATGCCATGGAACTTCGTCCGGTAGTCCAAGCCGATGATGACAAATCTCGACGACAGCTACGACCTCTTACGCGCAACATACTTACCCGATTCGATCAGCTACTGATGGGTCTGCACCATGCTCGAAAAGGCGGAGTGGCGGGCGATGATAGCTCAGCAAGCGAATGGCAGAGTGACACGGAGAGTGTCGCTTCGAACGCATCTCTTTCCAGGAAAAGGCGCAAGGGCGAAAAGGGAGAGAGGAGTCAATCAAGAGGGCGCAAACGTACTCGCAGATCCTCGGTGCGGGCTACATCCACTACAGGCCGATCTCGCAGTGTACTTGCGTCGAGTGCACGCACTGCTTCTCGTTCACGTGGAAGGTCCTTTGATAGTGATCGCAGGCGATCAGCCAGTCGCATTCGTCGTGGGCTTCGGGACTGGAGCGAAGTGTTAGGTATTGCTTCCATGATAGGCTTGCCGCAGGCTGCGGTTATGCGCACTGCTCGCAGATGTGCGGCTCTTTTCGGCGAGGATATGGAATTCCAGACCTTCAGGGAGGGTCAACTACAGCATTCGAAGGAAGGATATGTCAACAAATGGGAGTATGTCGAGGACGAGTCCGATGAGTCAGAACCGGAGCCACAAATCGAGCCATCCCCTCCTAGCCGGGCTCAATCTCGAAAAGCACGCTCCCGCGCAGCATCTACAATTGGCTCGACTTCTCGTCCCGGTAGTCCAACATCGGAGGCAGCTGGTAGCACATCACGACTCAAAGGCAAAGGGCAGCATCGCAAACAGGACATAGTGTGTCCTGTCAAGTCATGTCCCCGACATATCGATGGTTTCACTCGGACATGGAATCTCAACTTGCACATGAAGCGAATGCATGCCGGATACCGGTCCAGAAGCGCCAGTGTCAAGTCTGCGGGTGCCAGGTCCCGTGCTCCGTCAGTGAGCGGTTAGCAAACGTATTGCTGAAGTTAAATACCATTCTTAAGATCCTGCTCGAACAGTAGTCACTGGATCAGGTGCTAATGGATCAACACTGTTCATCCAGATGGATAGTCCCTTAGGCGGACTCAATTGATAAGGTAAACTATTTGGTCACATTTTGTAAATTCACCGCCGTAGGTCGGTGTCGTTGGGCTGTACTATTGGCTTGATCCACCGGAGCTGTTCGAAAAATTGAATATTACTGGATGGAAATGCCGAGCTCCCCGGTCCGCAATTCTGGCCGTGTTTTATCGATACGATTGATGTATTTGATGTCGAAATTTGGGGTTGTTGAACAAGTCTCTGATCTTCAAGAGAGCAGCTATTTCTCTATCGCTGTAGTTGGCAAATACAGAATGTGCGTAGTCTCATGATTGTCAAATAAATCAGCTCCACCATGGGGATAGGAGCGAGTTTGGGGTAGAAATGCATGCCGTTTCTAGAATGACGTCGACCGACGTGATGGAGAGCTCCCCGCTTGAGTGAATGGTGGTAATGAATGCTTGACGGGCTCGGAGATACGATGAGCATTTATTTTACACTCGCATCGTTGGATCCATTCTTTCCTGGATTCTATAAAGTATAAAGATCACTCAATTCCCTTCTCCAGTAGATAAGACCTTTCTAAGGTCTTTTTTATTTCCGCAACATTCCAGTACTCCCTCGGCGGAAGAGCTTCACGACTTTCCCCGCATACTTAGACAGAAGGAGTATCATACATATTATTCCTGTTTGTTGTTCCAAACTCCCTGCGCGACTGAAGGCAACTTAGTCCCTTTTGAGGGCTCATCATTCTATCGCCATGGAGAGGATTATCCGTCCAGTTTCGCGGCAATTGTTGAGATCGCGAGCTCGGTATCCCTTTGCCGTACCGACACTTCATACCAGAAGATTATATTCAAAAAGCCATGTTGTACCACCGGTAAGGCCACTCTTGAAGGCTTACACTCTATGGAAATGAGCTCACAGATGCTGCTTTAGCTGAAAGATCAGTCTCTCTTCATTGAGAAGGCTTATGTCAACGGAGAATGGGTTGACGCACAATCAGGAAAGACATTCGAAGTCCACGGTAAGGCTTGTGCTCCCCTGATGCTAGAATGAAACTTATCCCCTATTCCCCTTAGATCCCGCCTCTGGAAAACTTATCGGCACATGCCCCGAATTCGACGCCCTCGACACAGAAAAGGCCATCGAGGCCGCCTCAGCTGCCTTTCCCATGTTCCGCACAACCCTAGCGCGCGAGCGTGCCCGCATGTTGCGACGATGGTACCAATTGATGATGGATAATGCAGAGGATCTAGCAACATTGATCACATGGGAGAACGGGAAGCCCCTAGCTGACGCCAAGGGCGAGGTGAACTACGCAGCCAGCTTCTTCGAATGGTTCAGCGAGGAAGCCCCCGGATTTATGGTGACACGATCCCCGCATCAGTTCCCGGCAACCGAGTCATGACATTGAAGCAGCCCGTTGGTGTCTGCGGCTTGATCACTCCGTGGAATTTCCCCGCTGCTATGATCACAAGGAAGATCGGACCTGCTCTGGCCGCGGGTTGCACGGTTGTGTGCAAGACTCCTGGCGAAACACCCTTCACTGCGAACGCACTTGCGGAGCTGGCTCATCGCGCCGGTATTCCCAAGGGCGTGGTCAACATTGTGACTTCGCTCAAGAATACGCCGGAGGTGGGAGAGGTAATCACCACCCATCCTGAAGTTCGCAAGGTCTCGTTCACCGGTTCGACCAATGTCGGTAGACTGCTCATGAAGCAGGCTTCATCTACTATCAAGAAGGTGTCCTGGGAGCTGGGCGGAAACGCACCATTCATCGTGTTCGATGATGTCGACGACCTCGATGCCGCAGTCGCCGGAGCCGTTGCCTCCAAGTTCCGTAGCTCCGGCCAGACCTGCGTCTGTGCTAACCGGATCTACGTCCAGAGGGGCGTGTATGATGAATTCGTCCAGCGCTTCGCCGCAAAGGTCAAGGACTTCAGGCTCGGCGCCGGCTTCGAGGATGGCGTCACTCACGGCCCGCTTATCCACGAGCGTGCCACCGAAAAAGTCGACCAGCACGTCAAGGACGCTCAAGCCAAGGGAGCCAAGCTTGTCGCGGGAGGCCAAAGAGTCCCCGATCTGGGCCCCACCTTCTACGAGCTGACTGTCCTCGCGGAGATGAGCAAGGATATGTTGATGGCCTCGGAGGAGACGTTCGGCCCCGTGGCTGGAATTTTCCCCTTTGAGACCGAGAAAGAGGTCGTCGAGCTGGCCAATCGTGCAGAGGTCGGACTTGCGGGTTACTTCTTCAGTGGTAACATCAAGCGTATTTTCCGGGTTGCGGAGGCGCTGGAGGTCGGTATGGTTGGGGTCAACACAGGTCTTATTAGCGATGTCGCCTCTCCGTAAGTGTCCCTGTCAGCCAGAATGCTACTGCGTTGTGCTAACTTTCTCTAGGTTCGGTGGTGTTAAGCAGAGTGGCTTCGGCCGTGAGGGCAGCAAGTACGGAATCGACGAGTTCCTTACGATCAAGAGCGTGACCTTTGGTGGTATGGGTGAGCCATTGCAGTCATAAGCAGGGAAATCAGACGGAGAACATTGAATTCGAATCTGTAATTTTCAAATCACAGTAATGACAATATAGGCTATTGACCAAACATCCTAATCACACTTCGTCTCATCACGGTAATTATCCGTAGTCGCCGTACTATAATCCCACCAGAAGTTCAAATACTGAGGATCCGACTCTGGGATCTCGCACTCCGAGACATAATCCGGTAAATCCTGTCTCAGGATCGAGGCATACTCCTCCAAGGGACAGGCATAGCCTGGACCAGACTGGCACGCACGAAACGGCACTACGGCTTCGTTCAAGACTAATCGGACGTACGTTCCGGCAGGCGAGATCGCCGTGGCGTTGCAACTCAGTCGCTCTATGGTGAGATGGCCGCCCATTGGCACCAGCTCACTACTCGACCATGAATGGCTGAAGGCGACACGGTCAGTCGGGAGATCTTCGGGTGGGGTCAGGATACCCAGTGCGTCGATGATGGAGGTGATATCGGTATCGTGCGCACTGTAATTATGGATATCAGCTACAATTGGGGAGGTAGATGGGGAGGTTGACGTACAAGTTAAAGAAGAGGTTGCCGGACGAAGGTCCCTGCTCGAGAAGAGTGAGACTAGCATTGACGTACACGGAGCCAACCGGACGCGTCTTGTTGTTTCCGGGTCTAGGAGAAATGGAACAGTCAACGCTGGTTGTGTATTAGCTGAAGTGTGAGATCGGCTTACCCGGCGCAATAGTAAAAGTGTAGATCCCAGATGTAGCCAAAGCTGACCCATTCGTCCATGGTGAACACCCCCGTCCAATCCGAATGTCCACGGACGCTGGGTTCATAGGATGCCATTGCTTGTGAGATTAGCAAAGAGTAAACAAGCCAGCAGATGCTAAAGGAGCGACCTACTCATCAACCAGAATATATCCGTCGACGTCAAGTCCAGACCGAGATGCTGGGCGTTGAGCCGCTGCGCCGCACCCTCAAGCTGGGGCAACGACTGCGGCCATGCATCGCATATGCGCTGCGCATGCTGGTCGCGAGCATGACACGTACGCGATAGGGCATTCGCGCCCTGACGAGCCGACTCGGAGATGATATTGATAGCTGCCTTCGTCTTATACTCGTCATCACCGAAGAACCCTTCCCCGAACATTCGAGCCGTGTCTACGATACGGCCGGCGTCGCTAGCGAACACAGGCACAATCGTCTCTTCGTCCCAGAGGTGGCCGTATCGATTGCGCGTCTCCATGCCGTGCTTGTAAGCGTCCTGAATGCCGTTGTACGGTCCAGTGGTGGTTTCTTTGTCATAATAGCAACTTGAAGGGACGAAGTAGGTCCAATTCTTGACAAAGTTCAGATCACCATCGACGTGTGGCTCGTCGAACACGGCCTTCTTGATCTTTTGCAATGCCTTTTCTATCTTTGGTCCTTCGCTTGCGAGAGGGTATCGCTCTCCGTGGCGTTTGATCATGACCACCTGGTCAACTGAACAGCCGGCCGGAGGGTCGCGATTGATCCCGTAGTTGGTGCGGTCCACATATGGTCCTATTGCGCCATTGTGTTTGAGGATGTTATTTCCATCAAGCGTTTGCTGCGAGAATAGCAGTGTTGCGGTGGTCGCTGTGATTAAGACCAGGAGTTGCGCGTAACGGCGAACCATGACGTTGGATGTTGTCCACCCTCTTTTTACCATGCGGCTGCCAGATAGTTCACACAGTGCAAATGGACGTAGACACGGGTGAGAAGTTCGCGAGCCCTAGAACAACATACCTGAGGGCAGGGGTTCATCCCGCATTCCTGAGCCATAGGAGCGACAATGTCCCGGTACCAGTTTTGAATATCGAAAGGAATGTTTGCTCACGGTACGTCGAGGAAGCCACTGATTTACACTTGTGCGCATGCTATTTCTCGTTCATCAACAATAGCCGTGGCCTGCGATAGAGTGAACACGCGATTTTGGTGTACGGTGGATATCGAAACAACTGAAGCGATATGATATTCGAATTCGGACGCTTCTTAGGAGATCATTGGAGATCACTTAAGCTCGAGGTGCTCTGGATGGATAAAGTAGCAGGCTTGAGAAGTGGTTAGTTAACTGAACGAGTGCGTGGATCCAAGGACCGAAGGCGTAGAGGAGAATGGTCTTCTGAAAAAGACGTGACATAGTGAGACAGATGTCTAATGTACAAAATAACACGAGCGCCGGAACCAATAACCGAAAATAAGTTGACCATGCATATCCCGAGTACAACGACGAAACCATGTGTTCATTGAGGCATGTCTGTGCCGAATCCAACCAAGCACCATGCCGTGACATAGTCGATAAGGCTTCCTTCATGGTTCAAACAGTAGATAAAGATCATTTCCCCCTTTCCTCTGCTCTATGTAGCGCAGTTATTTTCCTTGACGTTGCTTGTGCTTAGGATTCTTTGAACTGTATTTGTATGTGGTCAGACTTAGGTCTATCGAGTGCAAAAGGAGCCGCCGACACTGACCAGATGATGTAAACTCGGTTCTTCCTCCGAACAGGCTATTGATAACCAGCCATTAGTATGATGTAGACCATGCAGGCAGCATAACTCATACCTTGCAACCATCGCATAACCGCTTAACGGACGATCTCGTCTTCATGCCCCGGACCTGCTCCAGTTGTCGCACAGTGGACCCCACAACGCCGACATTGGTATCTTGCTTCTTCGCAGAACGCAGGCTCTGAAGGCTGTTGCCGACCGATACTCTTGATAGTTGCGATTGTGACCGCGAAAGGAACTGGTGAGAGAATGGCTGACTCGGGAGAAGTTGGCGGAGGGCTCGGGTCGAAGAACCCAAGATGGAGCGAATGGACAGCATGATGAAGAATAGCGGAAAGGACTGGTAGCCTTTACCGCGACAATTCGTTCTTGATCGGCCGTCCAGAGGTGCAAAGGATCAGATGGTCAGCTTCATGCTCCCAAGGTCATCAAATCCGCGGAGCAAATGTTCGCCGGAGTTTCTGTATCGCCGAGATCCGGGTCCATCACCAACCACCAATCCATGGGTAGATACTACATGCAGTCAAGGTTCCATGGACGATTTACTTCGTTTGTGGGTTACTGCTATGGCAGCATTTGTATCAGGTATCACTACGAGGCACCCTCGATCGTGGTGAAATGTACTACATGAAGTCAGGACATCAGGCTCTGCTTCAACCCATACCTGGAACGACACAAGCCCGGGTCGGTGCTTGACCAGAATTGAAGCGCGGCTCATTGGCGATGCTGTGTTTCTTTGGTGAAAGGGAACATTGAGGAGAGAAAGGAAACTGGAGGGTTGCGGGAGCCTTCACCATTCATACAGCCGAGAATACTACGAGGCGGAGCTTATCGAGTCGGTGGCTGTGGACCTGTATCTCAATGATGGAGAGCAATGCCCTCACTCTACCGCCAGACTATATATCGCTAGTCTCCATGGTTCTCATGAAATATTTTGCTCCCTGTGTTGCATATCCAACTTCAATATGTCGTTGCTTGACCTCCCCTTGGAAAACTTCCAAGGGATTCTCGATTTTGTTGTTATCCAACAGAGACACCGATCGATCCAACTTCGTCTGGTAAATCGCGAGTCTGCATCGGGAGATCAACTTCGAGAAACCCCCAGGAATTGGAATTACTGAACCCAGAAGTGGACGACATAGATTGCAGGCAGCGCTGAGGCCGTCGGCTACTTGCTTGTATACACATCAGGACGGAAGGGGGTGGCATCCAATCGACTGCACGAAAGCGACTGGATCTCCAAGCTGACGATGATCTGTCGCTTCTGATGTTGACTGATGTTACAGCCGATCCGCTGCTGCTAAGATATCTCCGCCTCGTAATCTCAAGCAGATGAGAATTAAAATCCATTACTATATGCAAGCCAGTTCATTAAAGGCAGGCTTCAGCCTCTAATCTATCTGATGCTTCGATCCGAACGCCGACGAAAATAAAGTATTCTTTTCATCCCGAGAGAAAATCAACAACCTGACCCAGCCAAGTATTCCCTCTAGCAGAAAGGCAAAATAACGGAGAATGCGATGCACATTTTTAACAACGGAGGAATGTCTGGTAAGTGGGAGAGTCGGTTTGCTCGCTGAACGGATAGCCGAGGTCGTTGAGGAAGGCCTCCAGATCCTTCTTCTCGTCATTCGGGCACTGAATGCCTGCCAGTACCTTTCCGACATCGCCACCATAGTTGCGGTAGTGGAACAGGGAGATGTTCTGGTTGGGCCGGAGCGTGGTGAGGAAATTGGCCAAAGCTCCTGGACGCTCTGGGAATTCGAACATGAAAAGACGTTCGTCCTTGACGTCGCAGCGCCCTCCAACCAGGAAACGCACGTGTCGCTTGGCAAGCTCGTCGTCGCTCAAATCCTTCGCGGGCATGCCGGCTTTTTCGAGCTGATCCATAATCTTCGCCAAGTCTTCGCGACCCGTCAACGCAGACAAAGAGATACCCATCAGGACATCGGCGGACTCGGCACGAGCATAACGGTAACTGAAGGCGGTCACAGCTTGAGGAAGAATCACCTCGACGAGATTTGCGAAAGCACCAGGCTTCTCGGGAATGTTGACGCTTAGTAGTGCCTCCTTCCGCTCTCCCAGAGCAGCACGCTCAGCGACAAAACGCAAGCGGTCGAAATCCATGTTTGCACCAGACGTGATGGCGACCAGCTCCCGGTTGGTGTCGGGGCTAGGGTTCTGGGAGATGTACTTCTTGAGACCTGCGAGTGCCAGGGCACCAGCGGGCTCGATGATAGATCTGGTATCTTCAAAGGCATCCTTGATGGCGGCACAGGTCTCGTCGGTTGAAACCAAGATAACATCGTCAACCACCTCACGGGCAAGACGATATGTTTCCTCGCCAACAGTCTTCACAGCCGCACCGTCCGCAAACAGTCCAACTTCCCTAAGGAAAACCCGAGACCCCTCACCCAACGACCGGGCCATGGCATCGGCATCGTAGGCCTCGACTCCGATAACCTTCACATGCGGCGCGATGCGCTTCAGATAAACCCCGATACCGGCAACCAGCCCCCTCCGCCAACAGCGCAGAAGACAGCCTCGAGTTTCTCCAAGTTCGCCTGACGCAGAATTTCCATTCCAATGGTACCCTGTCCCGCAATCACGTACGGATCATCGAAGGGAGGAATGCTGGTCAGACCGTGCTGCTTCTCCAGTCGATGAGCTTCCTCCTTGGCAGCGTCGAAGTCGTTTCCGTGAAGGATGACACTGCCGCCAAGACGCGCAACATTCAAATGTTTGATGGCAGGGGTGCCCGAGGGCATGACGATGGTCGCGGGGATCTTGAGCTTGCGAGCGGAGAATGCAACGCCTTGTGCATGGTTCCCTATATACCTGTCAGCTCGGCTCGAGGAGAGTCACCACATCGAAAGGCTCTGACCTGCGGAGCAAGCAATAACACCCTTCCACCGCTGCTCAGGAGTCAAATGCGCCATCTTGTTGTAAGCTCCACGGAGCTTGAAGCTGAATACGGGGAGCAAGTCCTCCCGCTTGAGAAGCACACGACATTCCAGACGATTGCTAAGGTTGATGGCGTGATGGAGCGGTGTCTCCTGAATAACATCGTAGACCCGTGACGTCAGGATAAGGCGGAGGTACTGCGTCGTTAGGATGAAGGTTAATTATATTCCGGAAACAGATCCATTGAGTTAGGACCTTACATCTGGGTAGCCATTGGGAAGCAGAAATGCACTTGGGATACCCCAGTCTCGGGATAAGCCCAGCGCGGTGTTTGGGTCCTTCTCCGAAGGGGGAGTGGGAGCGGCGGTGTACTCAGTCAGAGCGAGGTTGCTCAGTTTTGCAGTGACCGGAGTTGTCGTACCGTTCGTGGCAGGTTGATCGGGCATAATGGGCCTGTAATCTCAAATCAAAGACACTGATTGCGATTTAGAGTCAGAAGAACGCAATCGAAGAAGTCAGCGGCGAGATCAAAAATTCGCCGGCAGTGGCACAATCACGCCTTCGACAAACATTAATCCTTCCCGCGGGGCCACCCTTCTTCAATGCCGTGATCGGAGCGGAATTGTTTGACTCATCAGCCCTCACCTTGAGCCCTAATTTCCCTACAGGTAAACGTACTTTCTGAGACATCTGGGTGAATCATTTCGATATCACAAGCTGAGATGTGTTAACTATTGTCTTGATACTCATTCTGAGCATAGGATTATGGACATCCTTCTGGATGGTCTGACTTGGTTCAATTTACGATAATCAGTACCAACCACATTCGTGGCATACCTCTCAGATGATGCGAACTACTCATGCTCTGATCGTCAAAAGCTTGGCTAACTATAAGCTCCTGACGTTCAAGCGCCTTACTCTTCAATGGACATGGTCTCGAATTAAATATGAGCTAGGTCCAGCTTGTTTCCTGCGTGGCCGTGTATGGTTCCTAGGTAGTTCCTATGTAAAAGTAGATAATCTCCAGTCACAAGAGCAGGTCTAACATTATCCTCAACGACAATGATAGAGTAAGTAGATAGCTACCTAGACGCAGAATCTCCCCGTCTCATTGAGCCGTGACTCCTTTTTCCACAGTTTACCTCTGGTGTAAATAGCTTCAAATCGCTGTCAAGTGAACAATGTAAAAAACATGACTCTGGTAACGTACGATACGGGTACTGAACTTTACCGCAAAGATCTCCGAATTCTCCGCAGCGTCATGTTGTCTCTGGAAGTTCGATAGACTGAGGCGACATCTGCCTTCCTTAATTTGGAAAGAGAATTGGTTTGAGAAAACAATTCGCTTGAATACTTCAGTTCACTTCGTTTACTATTTCCATCCTTGCAAGACCTTTACCCGTTGCAGTGCTCTCCTCCATTTTCGTTTGGATTTGAGTAGTGGCGTGTCAACCCGAGTCAATCCGCGCGACTCAACACCTTTTTACGAATCCAACAACTCACCCGGTGATACGTCCTCCAAAGACAAAATGCTCAACGAACCCCTTCCTTCCTCCATGGAGGATAACCCGTACGTCCCGGCCATCTTCCTCGGCTGGCTGTTGAGACGCGGAGGAACAGGATAGCTAACCAATCATAACCACTAGCCAATTCAAGGAGGAGACCTCTCTCCAGAAATTCCGCAGACGACTCAAGGAGGAACCTTTGATCCCGCTAGGTAAGTTGAGCTGAGGTACGCATCCTCCCGTTGCTCCGATCTAATGCGTACTTTTTTCGTTCAGGATGTGCCGCCACATGTTACGCCCTTTACCGCGCATACAGGTCGATGAAGGCCGGTGACTCGGTCGAAATGAACAAAATGTTCCGTGCTCGTATCTACGCCCAATTCTTTACACTTGTTGCTGTTGTTGCCGGAGGCATGTACTTCAAGACAGAGCGCCAGCAACGAAGGGAGTTCGAGAAGATGGTGGAGCAGCGGAAGGCACAGGAGAAGCGGGATGCGTGGTTGCGTGAACTCGAAATCCGAGACAAGGAAGATAAGGACTGGAGGGAGCGTCATGCCGCCATTGAGGCTGCTGCTAAGGAGGCGGGCAAGAGGCCGGCGCCAAAGACGATTCCAGAGCAAGACGCTGCTCGGTCAGCTATTGAGCCTGCTGATGAGAAGTCGATTGGGGTACTAGCTGCTGTGCGAGATTTATGGATGCAGCAAAAGTGAGCTTTCGACATCACGAAAAGTGTTGGAAAGATGTCCGTCTACAATGCGATTTTTCACGGTAACATGTACATATATACATTTCAAGGTCCTGTAAGAATAAGAGAAGCTCTCCTTCACCAACCAAGTTTGAGCCAGATGCGTTGTAGCAGACGCGACTATGGGTCGACTCCGACGAGATCGATTTAACTCGCGATTTGTTCGTCGATATACCGTTTCATAGTTTCGAACTCGGCTTTTCCAGTCTGCCAAGTGGTCAGTCGGCAGGCTTAGAACTCAGGAACAATGCCTCATACCGAGACGAGATATCGTATATGTTGCTTTATTACACACAAGCAACATTTAGCTATGCACTTCTGTGCCGATTTGCAGCTACTCACCAAGTCTGTTACGTTGCGATGCCGCTCAAACCCTGAACGAGCATAGCTGCGCAGCTCATCCCGAGTGGACGATTTAGGAATCTCTTTATGGTCGAGATGTCAATCAGCTTGCAAGTCCCAAAAAGGCGTGGCAATTCAAATCTAGACTTCCGAATATGGGAGACTAACTGTTCAGCGCCCTGACTATCTCGCGCCATAGACTGAGGACCCGCTGTCTTTGTATGAACTACCAGTCGCATCAATATAGCTTATTCCAAAGATGCTTGATATGGATAGACGTTACATACATGGTCCAAGCTAATTGCAGGCTTTTTGAGTTTCGAAGGCTGGCTGCGGGAGACAGAGGCAAGCAGTCTCAAAGATGAACGCATCTTTTCATAAGCTGCCTAAGTCGAGATATTGAAAGTTCACAACATTGACCATTAAAACTCCATAGTCTGCTTCATCGGCAGTACCCTGCTATACTCGAAAATAGGTATCCATGACATATTTAGCTGAAGGTAAACCAATGGCGGCGGAAGCCAAGGCGGTGAAATAGTTTTTCGAGGCGTGTATCGTCTTGTATCATACAGTTGCATACAGTACATTATAGATACCTAGCTGGATATACCTACCTAGTTGAGACGAGTGTCTTTGACACAGAGAGCTTCATGTATCTATTCTGCAGCCCCTATCACAGGTCAAATAGATCAATGATAATGACATTCTCGAATATGAGAATCAGACGAAGGCAACGCTAAATTGAGTTGATGGGACGCCTATTTCTGTTACCTTCATTAAGCCCGTTAACACCGAACCACCGCATGGGCAGGTTGTACAGACGACCCCCTCACTTGTCTGACTCCTATTACCTGGCTTCATCTATAAACTTGGCACCTTTGTCGAGATGGGCAAGTTCGTATTCATCGACTAATCAATCAAAATGCCGTCGATTTCATCCGTCGAAGCCGTCTTGTCTGCTGCCGAGAAGGATAGCTCCAAGCTTCTTGGGCTGGCATTTGGCGAGCAACGCATCACGACGCCTGGGCAATACCTTCCTAGAAGTGGTTAGTAGGCCGGGGAAAACGATACTTCAATTACTGATGCATGAAATCTGCACCTAGATGCACAGAAAGAGCCCCAGATTTCCTTTAACGTATCTTCTGGCACCTATATTGTTATCAGTCTGGACCTCGATGCTCCATTTCCATCACTCGGCTTCCTAGGACCCATCCTACACTGGATCCATCCGGGATTTAGGCCGTCAACGAAGACCACTGTCACGGGCGAGACCATCTTGACAACATCTGCCCCTTTTGTTGCGAACTATATCGGGCCTGCGCCTCCACCAGGCAGCGCGCCGCACCGATATGTTTTCTTGCTGTACGAGCAGCCAGACGGCTTCAATATCGAGAGGCATGCTCCAAAGAATGGGAAGCCCGTTGGTAACTGGCAGAGGATAAGGTATGATCTGGACGCATTCGCAAAGGAAGTGAACCTGGGACCAGTTTTGGCGGCGAACTATTTCCGCAGCAACTGAGATTGGATCATTTTGTTTGATGCAGAACTGAGATAATCATAATATTTATTGCCATAGCAGTTCCTAGGCTGTCAGTCATATCAAACTTGCACAGTACATCGAACTGTAGAAATGGTTTGAGCTTGCCGGATCTTATTGGCCGTGACTGTAATGATCACGTGCCTTGTTCCTGGCTTCCCCGAACTTTTTTTCGGAGCAGAAAAAAGATCGCGACGCTGAGAGTTGCAGCAGCATCAGCACTCCCCAGTTCCTCGTGGTTGTGGTTGACAATCATGCGGTGTCCTTCTCTTGCACGGTTACCCCACCGTGCCCTATCTGGTTTGACCAAATCGCCTGTGCGTCTTCAATCACAGAACTTCTTGTATCAACGATGCGCGTCGACGGCCGCTCTCCGTTCACCCATTGCCGGCCCGGCGTATCAGTCGGTTTTCAACAGACACAATTTGCAGCGACGCAATGCCTCCGCTGCTACTGCTGCCGCTGTGTAAGTAATTCCGATCTTCTAGTGACCGTTGAATCTCCCCTGGAATTGTTAGATTTATCTTGTTTTCTGTACGTTCAATCGCTGATCTCGTTCTTCTTCAGTCTCGAGGCCGCCGCTTCCAATCCCGACGGTCTGTCTCAGGAGGCAATCATTGACAACCTTGACCCTGCCGAAGCGATCAGACTGTCCAGGCTCCGGAACATTGGTATCGCTGTAAGTTATCTTCCGGGAAATTCAAGCATTTCCGTGGAGACGCAGCATCTGATTTGGTCCTTATAGGCACATATTGACAGCGGAAAAACCACCTGTACCGAACGAGTCCTCTTCTACACTGGTCGTATCAAGGCCATCCACGAAGTTCGCGGCCGTGACAATGTTGGTGCCAAGATGGACTCGATGGATCTCGAGCGTGAAAAGGGTATCACTATCCAGTCCGCAGCGACGTTCTGTGACTGGGTAAAGAAGGGAGACGATGGAAAAGAAGAGAAGTACCACATCAACTTGATCGATACACCAGGTCACATCGACTTCACCATCGAAGTGGAGAGAGCGCTGCGCGTTCTTGACGGTGCTGTCATGATCCTGTGTGCTGTGTCAGGTGTCCAGTCCCAGACTATCACGGTCGACCGCCAGATGCGCCGCTACAACGTTCCTCGAATTTCCTTCGTCAACAAAATGGACCGTATGGGTGCCAACCCTTTCAAGGCCGTCGAGCAGATCAACACCAAGCTCAAGATCCCTGCTGCTGCCGTTCAAGTGCCGATTGGTGCTGAAGACGAGTTCGAGGGTGTGGTCGACCTGATTCGTATGAAGTCTATTTACAACGAAGGACCGAGCGGTGAGAATATCGTGATCAAGGATGAGATTCCCGAGAAGGTCAAGTCAGTTGTGGAGGAACGAAGAAGAATGCTCATTGAGACGCTTGCCGATGTCGACGACGAGATGGCTGAGCTCTTCCTGGAGGAGACTGAGCCTACGGAGCAGCAGCTCAAAGCCGCCATCCGCCGAGCAACCATTGGCTTGAAGTTCACTCCCGTCTTCATGGGTTCTGCACTGGCCAACAAATCTGTGCAGCCTATGCTTGATGGTGTCATCGACTACCTCCCCAACCCATCGGAAGTCGAAAACCTCGCTCTTGACCGGAAGCGCGACGAGGCTTCTGTCAAGCTTGTCCCCTACAACTCCCAGCCTTTTGTTGGTCTTGCTTTCAAACTGGAAGAGAGCAATTTCGGGCAGTTGACGTACATCCGCGTGTACCAGGGTACCCTCCGCAAGGGTGCCAACGTCTTCAATGCTCGCAACAACAAGAAGGTCAAGGTTCCTCGCATTGTTCGCATGCACTCCAATGAGATGGAGGAGGTATCGGAGATCGGAGCCGGTGAGATCTGCGCCGTGTTCGGTGTGGATTGCGCCTCTGGTGACACTTTCACCGATGGACAGCTCGGTTACACCATGACTTCCATGTTCGTGCCCGAACCTGTCATCTCGCTTTCTATCAAGCCTAAGAACAACAAGGACTCCGCCAACTTCTCAAAGGCTATGGCTCGTTTCCAGAGAGAGGATCCCACCTTCCGGGTGTCCTACAACGCGGAGAGTGAGGAGACTCTGATCTCTGGCATGGGTGAATTGCATCTTGACATCTACATTGAGCGCATGCGTCGCGAATACCGCGTCGACTGTGTGACTGGCCCGCCTCAGGTCGCGTACCGCGAGACCATCGGCAACCGGGTCGAGTTCGACCACTTGCTCAAGAAACAGTCAGGAGGTCCTGGTGAATATGCTCGCGTCGTCGGCTGGATGGAACCCACCGGCAAACTTGAGGACAACAAATTTGAGGAACAGATTGTTGGTGGTAGCATCTCCGAGAAGTTCCTTTTCGCTTGTGAGAAGGGTTTCAACCTTGCTTGCGAAAAGGGTCCACTCATTGGTCACAAGGTGCTTGGTACCAGGATGGTGATCAACGACGGTGCTACCCACATGACGGATTCGTCCGAAATGTCATTCAAGAACGCTACCCAGCAGGCCTTCCGCAAGGCCTTTATGGAAAGCAACCCCTCTGTCCTTGAGCCCATGATGAAGATCGTTGTCACCGCTCCTGGTGAGTTCCAAGGTGACGTTATCTCTCTCCTTAACAAGCGTAATGCTACTATCAATGATACCGAGACTGGTGTGGATGAGTTCACCGTGTATGCGGACTGCAGCTTGAACGGAATGTTCGGCTTCAGTACGCATCTGCGTGCTGCCACCCAGGGCAAGGGTGAATTTACCATGGAGTTCAGCCACTACGAGAAGGCTCAACCTCAATTACAGTATGTGCAATCTTTCCACTCCTCATCGTCAGCATGCCGCTCTGAACAATCACTGACAACTTCTTACAGGAAGGAACTTATCCAGAAGTACCTGAAGGCTCAGGCTGACAGGCACAAGAAATAAACGCTGTGGCTGTCGTCTCTTCTCGTTGCACAGTCATCTTGATTGCAGCGCTTGGCCGTTCCATACATATCCGACTGAACAGCCTTTTACGAATCTTCTTCTGTTCAAGATGAAGCTCATACATACCCCTCCAGCATCTTGACATTCTCCTACTACAGCGATCTGCTTCTCTCCACGTGTATTCTCATCTCATGTCCTCTTCACCTTTGTGCCCAAAGCATTTGGAGCCATGTATTACTTTACAATATAGACAAACCCTGTGGGTCTTGTTAGGGATTCTCTTTGTTGGCTTTTGAGAACATACCTTGTTACTGCAGCTGGGAAAAGTGAGTTCCAAAATAATTTGCATTCTTCCACGAATATCGTCTCTCAAAAGATATAGGGCCTCAGGCTTCCAGAACATCCACTGGATGGCTGGGCGGCGTGCTGCCTCAATTCGAGATATGGCCCTGGATGAGATCCACGTCGCGAGATAATCGAACTTTGGAGGTGGGCCCATCGCCTGCTTGCAGGCCCAGACGAACTCCTTCCAGTCCGTTGAAGACCATATCGCTGTGGAGCGGAGACGGCTTCACCCTAATTGTCGCTGTGACGGCGCCCGGCTCCGGTGCCTCAGGCGCTGGTCTTTCTTCTGGTGGGACGAGCCCTTGTGCATGGCGTTTAAGCAGCTCCTGCCGGCTGCGAAGCGTCGCATAGTTAGTCTGAATTTTATCTTTGACCCAGAAATGCAGATCCCGGGTCCACACTATGTCGGAGAACGCTGGGTCAGCGATGGCCGATTGGATCCGCGGGGTGAGCCGACCGGCGCCATCGCTTCTTGGATATCCATGTCACGATAAGAGTCGGTTTTCAAGACTGCAATGTGTACGCATGCGTAGCCCAGAAGATCGTCAGGGCACTGATCAGGATCGGGCCGATTAGCGTAGCGCTGGAAGATCTGGCTGGCTGTGGATGGCTCAAATCCCAGGCATTCTAGCACAGCGGCGCTCTCTTCCTCAATTGGAATGTTCATGGAGATGGTGCTTGGTTGGTCCCGCATTCGAACCGACGCTGAAGGGGACGACGATGAGCTGGAGATGCTTGAAGGTGAACTCATAACTTGAGTGAATAGGCAGGTGCTGTTTCGCTGAGGACGCAAAGACCTGGAATGTAGAGAGTACAGTATATATGAAATCTAGAAGATCGTTGCAGTCTTTATGACGATAGTAAGAAGGTTGCTACCCAGGTATCTATGGCTCTGTCCCAGAGGTAAACCTACATGCCTAGGCTACCACAACTGGGGGCATCCACGGAAGAAGTAAATGAAACGGACAGGAGTAGGGGTATATTCACTATGACAAAATGACCTAAAGATTTTGGAATTATAGAAATTTAGCGGCAAAAAAGATAGTCCTAAATCATAAGTAGGTTATGGGTTATTGTATGTATTACTGAACGTCTCTCCCCTCCCACAAGTATCATGGTCTCACTGATGGCAGTAGATGAGGGGCATATATTGGGACGGATTACAGAAGCTGACTTCCAGTTATTTCCCGGGGTCGTAGGGGGAGACCAACGAATTTACTCTTCGAAAGCTCTAAGCACAGCAAGAGCAGCAGCGGAGAAAGTAGCCACGCGGTTATGACCTAGAACATATCAGTTGAGTCTCTCCCTGCGATAGAACGTTGAAAGGAGTTTGCAACATACCACCGTAGCCTACACGTTCCCATCGAACCTTCTTCACGGCCGAGTTCTTCCCCGACCTGTTCTCCCAGATCTTCACCTCGGTTGGGCCACCCTCTTCCTTTTTCTGGTGCACAAGGGTGCCAGGGGCGTCTTTCTGGTTTTCACCAGTGGCAGCAATCCAGACACTACGTCCTTCGTACCAGGGGATTTCGACGTCGTTGAACGCGTGGATGATTGCGAGATCCAGATCTTTGCTGCTGTACCCTGCCTTCGCGTCTTCCTCGGCAGATGGTCCAATGCCCGTCAGGCGTGCAAGGCGAGCGGCGGTGTCCCAGTGGTCAACGATATGGCTCCTTACCCATCTTTGTACGCGAGGGTAGCCAATCAAGGGAGAGAGCATCGGGGGCGTAAGACCTTTGAAGCTGTAGGATTCGATAAGGTTTCGCAAGTTACTGAACGATGCTAGGAGGATTACGCCTGCGAACGGTTCGGGGTCTTGAATGGCGGGTTGGACAGCTGCGAAATCCGGCGATCCGAATGCATAGCGCTCAGCGACTGCCGCGCTGACAGCTGTTCCCAGGCTCTGGCCCGTGATGACAATCCTGGATGGCGGGATGTTCAAAGGACCGGCGGTCAGGAAATTAATGAGGGAGACACCGTCGGTAATTAAGCCTTCTTCCGTTGGGGAGCCGGTGGACACTCCGAACCCACGATAGTCAATTGCGAAGACATGGACAGGGTTGGAGGGCGTTGACAAGCCCAGAAGCATGCGGTATATTTCAGGTCTCTGAGCGGAGCCGAGATGTGCGGCATTGCCGTGGACTGCAGTTGCACAAGGATTAGTTAGCGTACTGCATCTTTTATTCTGTCACAAGGTGGGAAAATCAACGCGCTTACAGTTGACAACTACTCGAGCGTTAGGGTCGTTGGCTAGGAATTTGAAAGCCGAGGTTCGGGTATAGTCTTCAGCTGGACCAGATGGCTCGTTCGCATTCAGTTCTTCCTCGTGCTCCCGACAGAGGTGTAGAGGGAGCAAATGCCAGCCATAGATCGTCTCATTATCAGGGGTAACCAGATTGAACGGTTGGACCTGCGTTTCTGGCCAAGTCAACAACGACCACTTCATGGGGAGCTGGGCGTTTCGACGTACTCAGGAATCCAAAGCGCTCGACCTGGTTGACATCCTCCCACAGAGCAGGATTGACTTTGTTCGCATACAAGCAACTATGCGTATGGCACCACAGTCGTTAGCCGCGTTCTCAGACATATGGATGAGCAAAGCGTACAGTCTTTGGACATTGGGCCATGTGAGCGCGCAGATAAAGCTCACGTAAACCAGGCCTCCAGCGGCCAGCGTCCAGTAGGCCTTTTTGAAGATTGGTTGTAGCTCAACCATAGTGAAGTGAGATCAGATAGCCAAATCCTATGAGCACACAAGCATATCTCTCAGAATGAGCTTCCGAAAGAAGAGAGCAAAGTACGGAGTATGCGAGCGATGTTCTAAGAGATAGGAAGCGTACCTCGGAGATCCACCAGATAGAGTCGGAAAGATAAGCCTTTGATGGGGAGAAATATTATCAAAAAATCATCAGGATAGATAAATGACCATGTTCATGTTTAAAAGTCACTGTGAAACATCTGTACAACGAGAGAAAGAGGCAGTATAGAATGATGGAGTCGTGACACCCAGCACTGCAGTAACTAATCTTAGCGGCGTGATTTTATCGCTCGTGGATTCTCCGCGTTCCTTTTCCTTTCTCCGCAACTCAACTCACCTCGCTTCTTTCGTCTCTTCCCCTGCAGTCACTTACAGAACCGACCGTTGGAGATGCTTTTGATCTCCTCTACCAAGCTTCTTCCTCGACTGCCCCGTGTGTGATAGCTCAGCATGGCTGAGAAGCGCAAACTCTCCACCCGCGGTCGCGAGCCTTCCGCGAAAAGACGTCAATCTGAAGCCGCACCTCAAACCCAGGCTCAACAGGGCTCATCTTCCAAGAAGAAAGGCTCAACATCGAGTGTTGCTCCCACGCCCCAACCTCCTCCGCCTGAACCAGAGGTCATCGAGAAGCCCCTGCCGACAAAGATCAAGGATGTAGAGGCTCTCCCAACGCTGTCCGCCCCGCAGCCCGCCGACCTTTCATCCAAGGAGTATCAGTCAATCGCTGAGAGGTGCGTTCTTCTGGGTTTCATAGGATGCAATCGCCTTCGCTTTGTGCTTGCATCTATTTGAGTGCGTACTTGAACTGACGCGATCCCTTTGTCTCCCTCAGTGCTGTCCTTCTCGCCTCTCTGGAACGATCGAAGAAGAAATGGCTCAGCGACGGAATTCTAGAGCGATACTACACCAAACCGAAGAAGTCCAAAAGAGAGCAGATTGAAGGCAAAAATCCCCCCAAGGAGTCCATGCTGAAAGTCGGACCTTGCAACATCGCGATTGGACCCCACCTTTTCGATGCTATGCTGTACACCGTCAAAGATCCTAACGCGCCGCCACCGATTCAATACACTCCCCCCAGCGGCCGATGGTTCACTATGGCCATCCCAACAACTTCCAGCAGTACCACTCCTATCCACATCCACCACCATCTCAGCAGTCACGCCAGCCCGCTCATTACTCCCCGCCCACTCGGCTTCACCACAACCAGGTTACCCCAGGGCAGCCAACATCCGCCTCCACATCCCGCCCGAACACCCACTCATCCACCTTCTCACAATGCTCCTCGTCCCCCTATACCCCTCAATCAGCCCAGCGCCCGCCTGCGTCTCAACATGCACAGCCCCTCAACCTCCAAAGCCCAGTCCGGACCCGGTCATTCAAATGCTTGCAACGCGAGCTGCTTCAGACCCCGATCTCAAGGCGCTGATGAGAGTGGTTGCTAGCAGCAAAGCGTCTCAGGAACAGCTTCGAGCGTTTCAGGCTCATATTGATGAACTGAATGCGATCATTCGTGCGAGAGAGCAACAGCAACAGCGACAGCAGCAACAGCCACAAGGGCAAGCTCCAGGCAGTGCTCAATCACAGACACCGCGCCACACGCCGCAACCTGCACAGCAGGGAGTTACGCAACGACAACCCCAGCCTTCACCGCTGCAGAATTCCCAGCAATCCCAATCAGAGCAGCCGAGTCAAAAGCAGGGCCCGTCGCAGACCCAGCCAGGCTCGACCCCCAACATCGGCCGCAATCACAATCACAAGCTAAACCGCAGCCGCAGCCGCAGCCGATGCCAAGAGTGGAAGTTCAAATTCCCAAACCCTCGCCAGCGATGAAGTCTTCAGTACAGAGTTCCAGTCAAACTCCTACCAAGCAACCTCAGACACCCACTGCTCAGAACTCTAATGCCACTCCTCAGGTCAAACAGGAGCCAGGGACGACTACGACAAGTCGACCGCCCCCTGGTGGAGTATCTAGTCCTAGTATCGCGGTAGTCCCGCCACCTCCTCCAGGCGCAGCTTCTACTCCTCACCAGCCAAATTCGAGTCCTGCAGTACGGCCAATGAACCAGCCTCCTCCGACCCGCACTCCAGCACCGCGTCCAGGTGGCCAGTATCCGCCATTCCAAGGCCAGTCTCCTTCAATACAGTCACGCCCGCAGCAACACGGGTCTCCGGCCTACTATCGTCCTGCACCTCCCCCGCCTCCTCCTAGGGTGGGCTACAAGTCGGTTGTCTTTGAGTTTACCTCACCATTGACTCCCTACGGAAGTAGCACTTCAGGCCACGCAGGCTCAGGAGACCGGTATTTGTTTCCGGAGTACTCTATTTTAGAATGGCTTCCCGGGGGAAACACAGTTCTAGCGTCCTTCTTACTTATCCGGAAGGTGGACCCCAACACACCGTTCCCCATAGAAGATGCTTCCGTGACGACCACATCCCGAGCCAAGGGCAAGTCGACCTCCAAGTCGAAGAAAGCGGACAAAAACAAAGAAAAGACAGCGGAAGGCGGAGAGGGCAAAGAAAAAGACAAGAAAGAGAATGACAAGCCCGATGAGGCCGCTAAGGAGAAGGACAATGCTCAATCTTCCAGCAATCAGGATTCCGCTACAGCCGCTATTGACTCGGCCAAAGGATCAGACGATAAAGGCAATCAGAAGGCCCCGGCCGAAACTCCCAGCAAACCAGACTCCAACAAATCCAAGGAGTCAAAGGAAGATGCAAACAAGTCGAATCTCAAGGAGTACTACCAGCCCGTCACGATTCGCATCTACAGCGCCAACCCCAAGTTCCTAGAGCCTCTGGCACGTGTGGTCAAGCCACCAGACGAGGTGCGCAAGTACATGAATGAAGTTATGGATCGCGCAGAACGTGCCCCCGAGGGATTCCTGGCCTTACGTCTTCCGCGCGAGAATAAGGATGAACACGAGCCCGAGGACACGAGAAAAAGCGGAACTCCTGCTCCTGCAGCAAATTCAGGCGCGCGCAGTCGGTTCCTAAAGAGTAGCGCTGCGGATGAGGAATCGGAGATCGAGAACATCAATGGGCCTGTCGAGGAAGAAGAGGAAGAGGAGGAGTTGAAGGACTTTTACGGGCCCCCGACTGGTCTCACGCCTCTTAGAGTATGAAAAGGAGGTTTATGACGAGTATTCAGCTCGCATGAATCATGTATTATATATATCCTGTTTGTCGTACCTCTGTAGCGTCAGAATTCATGAAACTCAGAATCAATACTCTGTTCATAGCTGGGAACTCTCTTCAAGTGGACTGTTCAAACCAATTCTCTGTATGGATCATGGATCATGCCGACAAAAATCAGTGCCCGGAAAGTGGTATTAAATACTTCCACCCCTTTGTCCAGGCCGATCACCAATCAACCCAGCAGTCTCCAGAAGCCATCGCGCGCCCTCCATTGCAGAGTCCCCAGCTCCGGCTTTCAGATTGAGGTTTCGTCTCCGTTCAGCTTCACGAGCTTCAAATTCCCACTTCGCCCGCTGCAACTCGACTGCACTTTGCCTCGGCTCTGCTGAGGATGCGTCCGATGGCTCGGGGACCAATCCCCATATTTCCAGAGTGTAGATGTCTATCTGTTTTTTAACTGTTTCTTCCGACATCGATGTAGTAGCTGGGGGAAGGAAAACGCCATTATGGCCGATGGACGACACATAGAAGGTTGCAGACTCGAGACTCGTGTCAATGGTCAAGCTGCCTGCTCCAAGAGGCGTAGGTTTAAGGAGTTGACTTCGAGATGGGGGTGGAATCTGGCATCCAATCGCTATACCCGTGCTGGTGGAAAAGTATGCCACGGGGGCGTTGGGCTTTTCCACGGAGGGTGAAGGATTCCCTTGCAACAGCTGGTGCTTTGGCGAAAGTTCAAAGAGACAGGGCAAGGCTGAGGTGTCGGAAGGCTTCATTGAAGAATGGGACAATGGTGCAGATTTCCAGGGCTGCGGAAGGTACGCTCCCAGCGTAACCATGCCGTCTCCATGTTCGGATGATTCAGATATAGCACCCTCGAGTAGGAGTAATGTGCCAGCGTTCCACGTGAGAACGTTGTGAGAGAAAGAGGTTAATGATGAACCGTGCGCAGCTGTTGAGAAAACAGGATGCAGGCGCATGTTGCCCCGGAGTAGATTGACGTTCGATGTAGGAGAAGGGAGGAAGAATGAAAGATGAGATACAACACTCGGCTTGAGGATACTCGATTCAAAACTCCCAGGAAGCATAATTGTCGACGGAGAGGATAGTGCACTATCTGGCGGCTTTTCAATCGTGTCTGCTACTATTGTGTCAGATCCGCTCTTTTTGGTCATGTCCAGGTTCTTGCTGAACAGAAGATGTTCGAAAAGGGGCGTCAATGGATCAAAGAGATATGGTAAAGCGGTCGAAGTAATGTGTGCAAACGATCGGTAACTGATACCACCATCGGAGTCTTCAATATTCAAGGCAGCCAAAATGGTATCAGCCTCTTTTCGAACGCTCTCCATTCGCGCCACGTTGAGGTCTGAGGTATACGAAGTCATTGGCTCCAAGGTCTTCAAAGGTGCGATGACAATCAAGAGCATCAGAAGACGACGGAATGTAGCGACGGATATTCGAGCTTCATAGACCTTCTTATCGATGCGAGAGTCATGCTTGAACACCTCGATAACATCCAACGATTCCAAGGCCGCCAGGGCGAGGTCATCATCATCCTCATCCTCATCCCCGTAGTCATCGTTGGCAGGCGCATCGACTTCAAAGCCGGTTACATGCGATTTGACAACGGAAGAATCATCTGCCTCCTTACGTACATCCTCCGCGCCTGGAGACGCGCCGACATCACGCCTCCCAACATCAGCGAGACTTCCGAACAGAAGTTTGATGCGGTCCTTGCGCGCTCGCCGTAGAACTCTCCCATACCGTTCTGTTAGCAAGACTGCGACTTTTACCATAGCCTCAAAGGTCAGAACACTCGGAGCCAATGTATTCTGAAAGGGAAATGCGCCCAAGTACGAAACCATGCGGAAGATCACCGGTCCAGCATCAAGCGGACAATGGGAATCGCTACTGTCAGGAATACCGAGGAAATCCGAAAGAATCTTCTCGTTCCAGTACTTCATGCCCCCTTGATCTATTGCGCGAGAAAAGAAGTTATCTTTGAAGTGAGTGAGCTCCAGCGGAGTGAAGCATTTGGTCGCGAAGCGCTCAGCCAGCACATGGCTTAAGTGTTCTGTTAAGCATTAGATTGGCTCAAATATGCCTCCCTTCTCGTGCGAATTGTGTTGAGGAGATGCATGTTGCTAGTCGTCCACTCGGGAAGACAGAAGACAGTGATGGTCAATGCTAACCTGGGTTGCCTGCATGGCCCGGATGTTCGGTCGACTGGCCGACACCCATTTTGAGCAGGTAGATAGAACAAACGATATATCTCAGAATGTAGCAATCTTCAATACAGATTCCAGTGCATACACTCCCTCGATCGATTCACACCTCATCGATCCAGTCGAGAAATGGTAGAATGGGGGCTGGACGTGATGGAATGCGGAGTACTCCGTACTTAAAGAGGAACGGGAGTTTACGATGACAGTCAGCTTCAGGTCGCAGATTCGATGGCCAAGAAAAGATTATTCATAGTTATCCATATCTGGAGAACCAGAGGGATTCCACCAGACTAGTCGGCTGGATGAACAATATGCTGCGTTGATGCAAAGAAAACACCAGAGAGTCTGGACCTTCCATGTGATGAAGACGTCACGGAAACGGCAATAAAATTGGGTTGCCTTGGCGCCTGGGGCACTCCCCTACATGACAGGTCGCTGCCCCAGGCATCATCGTTGCCATGAAAAGAGATCTACGGTTCGGACATCATTTTACACACAGGTATGGTTGAAATAGACCTATTCTGAGAAGCAGGAATTTGATAACATTTTCCACACTTAAATTCATTTCACGGCGAGAAATAGGTATAAAATGCGATCATCAACGAGGCATGCCATGCCGTTGGGAAGGTTTTACAGCATGACAATACCAACACCTCCCATTCTCTTCTCATCGGGAAGGTTCTTTTCATTAACTCCTCCAGGAACAGGCGCGGTGCGATAGTTGTAGAGGTAGAAGTGAAGCTGGCCATCGCCGGCTCCAAATTTGAGTTGCTCGAGGAACAGAGGGTTGTCGTGAAGTGTGAGTGCATTAAACACATCAAAGTGAGCCTATCAAAGATAGTGTCAGCTTCAGTAAGTCGAACAGAGAGAAATGGCAGTGGATTCCCCGTAGTTACCTTCTTGGCCAGGATCAGAGCATCATTCATCAGCATCAGCAGACGCTCTTTGAGAGCCTTCATGTTATTGGTGAAGGCTGTTTCAGTTGCATAGTAGTACAGGTAAGCAGCACGCACATTGTCGTGCTTGGGGTTCTGAATGACAGTGGATTCGAGGTTGTAGAAAGAGAAGAAGTCGGTGATCTTGTGCGTTTCGGGGTCCTCTGCCACGTATGCCCAGACAACCTGCTCTTTCACTGTCTCTGGCTTGTGCACGAGCCAATGGTCCACTTCCTCCCGTGTAAAGGCCTGGTTCAGCGCAAACCGCGACAAGTATCGCTGCAAAAGATCATGCACGGCGTCAATATCCTTGGGTTCCATGGGACGAAGACCAGGGGTGGAGGTAGTGCTGGGAAGGTGATTCTTAGTGATCTGGCGCGCCTTGGTGGATCCGGCAGGGAGAGGTGAGAAGCCAACTTCGTAAAGCTTCAACCAGTCCAAAGGACGGTGGTAGTAGCGGCATGAGCTGACAGGAGTGGGGAGCACCACACCCGCAGTGTAGATGGCTTGGTAAATGCCATTGAGGTAGCAACGACGGGTGATTTCTTTGATAAGAACAGGGGTCAAGCGCTTCGAGCGGAGCTTCTTGTGGATGCACAGGAAATTGATCTCAACGACCTTGAGCTTTTGATTGCGCACAGTGATCTCTGTCGGGACACCGCAAATGGACGCCACCAGTTTGCGCGACTTGGTAGCGCGGACACCGACGTGCCATTCCTTTTTCCAGCCAGGAGACATAAGAGCCCTACAGCCAAATTGTCAGCGCTCAAATGATCCACATCCTTATACGCCGGTAGGATCGGCCACGTTGTGCACCCACCAGTGTAGGAACGACTGCGAATATCTGAACCGGAACATGGCATTGTCATCCTCCACGTAGTGATACGTCAACAAATCCCACAACTCCTGCAGCTCAGTCTCGTTCGTCAGGTCGAGTGTCGCCCATTCAAACCCTTCAATAAGAGCATCCGGTTCCTTCGAGACCTTTCCAGGATCAATGATCTTGATGGGGCCCCCAGTATCGGTACTCGTCTCATCGAATCGGGGCACAGGCTGCGTCTGCCAGAACTTGTACGAAGCCATATCCTTCTGATTCTTTCCGGAAACCGACAGACCCGTCAGCAGTTCCGCAATGTTCATTTTGCCCATTGCCTCCGCCGCCTTCTCTTTGTCCATGCCGGCCATCTCGTTCCTGAGAGCGGGGTTGTTCTCCAAGAGCGACTCCGCCATCTGAGGGGTTATTTTCACGGCGCCGTCTTTCTTGTCGGTAGACTGGCCCTCGGGGGCCTTGCCCTTGCGATCCTTGGAGTCGGACATGACCTCTGCAGTGTGGAGAGCGAGGAGGGGGTGGTTGAGATTCGAGGGCGCGAAAGATAAATGGATTTCGGGAAGGTTTTCAGCGACGGCCCCACGTCAACTGTCTTAAGATACTGATGGTGGGAGACGTTTCGCGGGGAACCACAATAATAGTTCGAGTCGCGTTAAGATTAACTACAGGCACGGAGGTAAAATCAAATAGTAGCGAATATGAACTCGAATCAAGTGACACGTATCCTTTTCAAGGCATATATTACCTCGTTTCATAGGTCTTCCAGCCGCTACTATCTACTTTAGTTCTCATGTGCTTATTCTCAGAATGGACCTCGGGAAACAAATGTATGACATGAATGTCAATCCTTCTCGAGTTGACTCGGCTACAGAGGAGAAAAAGTTCATATTATAGCAAATCGCTATGCATTATTCATGTTCATTTCAAATAATGAGCCAAAATAGCTACTGTGGGGACGATTTAGAAGGAGAGGTCTTGTTGAAAACCAGTCGAACGCCTCCTGGCCAGAAGAGTATGATTCTATATGAGACCAGAGAAAAAATTTCATATGGGTATCTTCGCGTTGTTGAAAGCCTTTTGGCAGGCAGAAAAGATGCGGATCCTGAGTAATGTAATGAGATGTGACAGTTGCCTTATTGTGGACCAGGTTTGGTCTCGATAACGTCAAGGAAACCTCCGACCAGATGTAAGCTGCCCGTGACAAAAGTCATGACAGGGGCTTCGTAATGGCCTATACGGCCTCTCTCCTGTCTCGCAAGCTCCCGAGCAAAGTCGACAGCCTCCTCAATAGTGCCAAAGACCTTAACTTCCGCCTTGGGGTCAATGGAATTCCATTTCTCAGCGAGGCCGTTTTGCACCCGCAGCCTTTCCACATCAGATGCGTTCGTGTTTATGCTCACGAGGTCCGGTCGGTACCCGGCGTCCTTGTATGTCACGTTGGTGCAGAAAATCGCATGGGTAAATGGGCTCTCCGACCCTAGAGCACTTGAGAGGGTTTCATGAAGCGCTTGGGCGAGAGCATTACTGTCGCGAGTTTGTTGGTTGAAGATCAAAAGCCGCAGCTTCTTCTCAGCTGCAGCGCTCGATGATGAATTGATCTGAATCTGGGAAGTAAACCATTGGCCAGCCAGTTTGATGCTCTCCAATGTATGACCGCCATCAATGTACCATGTGATGTCTTTCTCACTTCTGGTCTCGCATCGGCCGCCTAATCGAGCCGATTCCAATCCCTTGCGAAACTTGGGTGGTAGAGGCCTCTCCATAAAGTCCGAGGGGATATCTTCAAGTCCCAGTCTCGCAAGGAACTCGGCGGCAGTAGCTACAGCCAACGATGCATTTGTATATTGAAAGTCGCCGGCAAGGCCAAGCTTGAGCTCACTGCCGCTATGCAGTTCAGGGTGCCCCGACACAATCTGCAGCTGCGTTCCCTTCTCCTGCGCACGTTTGTGCAGGACTTCTTCAGCACTGGGGGGTTGAGGTGAACTGAAAACCTTCACGCCTGGCTTGATAATTCCACCTTTGTGCCAAGCTATCTCCTCTATTGTGTTTCCAAGCAAAGCGGTATGATCGATCCCGAGGCTTGTAATGGCAGTTGCAGCAGGCCGCTCAATCACGTTTGTGCAGTCGTACTCCCCACCGATACCACATTCGATCACTGCGGCATCCACACCTTCACTGATATACGTATGGAACGCCATCAGCGTCAAATACCGGAAGTATTGAGGTTTCGTCTGTGGATCCGAAGGGTTCTCCCCCGCGACTCGAGCAGCCTCCTCCAAGCGGTCCCATACCTCGAAAAAGTATTGAGCGAACTTTTCCTCGGAAAGCGGGGCATTATCGATTTTGATGCGCTCGCGGGCAAATCGCAGGTGAGGGGAGGTATACAACCCAACCCTGGTGATTTTTCGGGAAGAGCTTTCCAACTCGGGTGATTGCGAGACAGTGTACTGGGAAAGGATAGACGACACAAAAGCTGAAGTGGAGCCTTTGCCTTTCGTGCCCGCGATGTGAACGAGATTCAGTCGGTCCAAATCAGAAGGCTACACATTGTTGATAGACATTTCATCAGTACACGGCCATACGTATTTTAGGTGAGCAAGGCTCCGCCAAAATAATATCAAATATGGGAAGAATGCGCACCTTGTACCCGATGCGTCGGAGCCACTCGATGGTCTCCGGAATGGACCGTAAATTCATGTTCTGCCTGTCTTTATTCACCTGCTGAATGGCGGCAAAGTTGCTCTGCAGCAAATTCAGCGCCGAGATGGCAGCCTAGCCCCGAGATCAGCATTATTTGATCAATAGTGCAGGGTCATGGACACAATGACCGCCAGAGCGCTACTTACATCATAGTTTCGAGCCATTGCGGATGATGAGCAGGACAAAAAGCGCAGCTGATTACTTCTAAACGGGAAGAAGAACATGAGAAGTCTCGCATCAGAGCTGGATATAAAAGGCCCTCCTGGAAGGCGGGGGAAGTACGGAGTAGAGAGATACGAGAAAATTGTGTGATTTATCTTTTTTGTAGCCTGCAAGACCGCGGGTCTCCGACGCTCGGAGATTATTACGGGACTACCTTATCAACAGCATCACGTGGGGTCAGTCAATCCTATCCTAATCGTCACTTTTCAAATATAGGCGAAGAATGAGTCTGCAGTGTGGTCCAGTTTAATTCTATCTGAAGCATACAGGGCCACCGGAAGGACCCTAAAGCCAAGACTAGGACGCAATATGCACGCAAGGCAGCCATTATGTAAATACATCTGGCTGGAGGAGAAGCTTTGAACCATGAATCGAGCGGTGAAACCAGAATAATCTGAAGTAATAAAATATTTGAAACAGAAGAAAATCGCAAACCGCTGTCTAGCGTAGAACTACAGATGAGCATATGCCATAGACATGCGCTATTATAACGAAATAGTGAAAACGCGACGATTGTAGAGAACAGGGCACGAATCACTCAATCCTGGTTTTGCCTTCTTCCAGGAAAACCAGGCGAGCATTGCTGTAACCTCTTTGGTGCCTCCTCGCAGGGAGAAATTGTCCAACAATTGGGTCCGAACGTGCTTTGATGAGTGCATCCTGATAGCCTTCGGATCCAGCCGTAGGAGTATTCAGTTTTGGCCAGTTGACCTACGTGACCAGAATGTTAGTGACAAATGACCATGCCAAGCAATGGTGTAAAGGTCAAACTTACATAGAGCATGCCATGCGCGAAGATGAAGCGTGCACACCAGGCCGAAACAACAATCCAGACAAAGACAAATATGCGGATAGGCCAGACGGCAGAGTCCGGCAACCGCCTCGTGAAAATGGAAACAAAGATCATGAACAGGCCTGCAGCAAGGATGTAAGGGATTGATTGGATGATCAGCGGCCTGCGGTCAACGAAGAGCTGGATGTTGCCAAGAGCGGAATCAGGAGGCAGATAGGTGCCCAAGAACACATCAAACCCATCTTGTCTGGGGCCGTCCAGGAAGTTGTTGCGGATATAGCGGGTGATGGAATTACATAGATCCTGCACCATTCCAGCCCGGGTTCTTTGACCGGTGCGCGTGAAGTCCGTCTTGAGGGCTCCTGTGCCGGAATAGGCTTTCGAGACAACGTCCGCATTATCGGCCCAAATGTTACGAAACAGGTTCTCAAACTCCCGATCGTCATTAGCTGCTTCGCCTGGACGAAGGACTCCTGCATCCATGAGCTGCCGCGACACAGCCCATCGCCCAAGCATACTCTGCACCACATTCGTCCGGTCAAGGCAGTCCATGCAATTGGTCCGGACGACGCTTGACTGAAGGGACCGAGTTTCTAACAATCCGCCAGGGGCACCGGGATCCTCAACGCCACGGAAGTACCCGCCTCGTGAGAGTCCATCGACAAGACGTTCCAAAAGCAGCTCAGCACGATGCCATCTCAGGCCCTTGGTCTCATTGTGGAAATCGAAATAAATGTAATGCAGGCGATCCAGTTCTTTTTGCCTCTGGCTGGGCTCTACCACATGGACTTTCTCGGAAGTGTTTTCATCGGCCTCGGTGTCCTCGATCGAGGAAGACACCAATATGCGTACCAGCTGCTCATAGGCCTTTTTCACACGCTCCTCCCTGCCTTTTTGGTTGACAAGATTGACCATATAATTATCGCCGTAAATTCTGATTTGCTCCGAGAAATGCTTGCGTGCAGCATCAACAGCTGTCTCCACTCCGCGAACCTGAAGTTTCGGTGTGTACTTCAGGTTGTTCACTTCGGCCCAGAATACGGGTACGCTTCCTCGGGTCTGGACGAAGGACATGACCTGGAGATCCCGGCCCGAGCCACCGGATTTATCCTTGGTCATAGACTGTCCCGGCGCAAAACCAGAGAGCCCTCCCGTCGCATCATTAAGTATCACGATCTGTTCCGTCTCATTATAGTTCGAAACGTGGCCGTGCTCGTCTATGCCGCGCGAGAAGTATCTGGTCCCACCCCGATGCCTAGACCTCCTGGTGATAAGGGCAAAGGTAAATGATGTTGACTTGACCCTGGCCGGGATAATACGGAGCATTCCAAATATGACCGGGAGGATGAAGGGGTCGGCTCCGGGTTGTGGGCCGTAGCGCATACCGGTCGCATCATGTGCGCCGAGACTGAAATCTATCAAGTCCGATTGAATGAAGCGATTCCAGAAAAACCGATCGTCAGCGCGCTTCCACATGGGAAGGCTGGGATCACTCTGAGATTGACGCTGGAAGCTGTTGGTAAGATCCAATGCATAGGAGAAATACATCGGTCCAGTTCGGAGCAATTCTTTCAACAGTGCCAGGTAGGTGTCTTCATCATGATCGTGCAGTGGACGCTCGCGGAGGGGCAAGAACTCGGTGGCGGCGACCTTGTATACCATGTGTCCGCGAAGTCTACCCATGGGCTGGGCCTTTGTTATGACTATAATGTATTTGTCTGGGACAGTTAGTATGGAAACTGAGATAGGACGGAGCCGACATTTAACCTACCCAGTTTGAGCTTGATCATACCCAAGATACCAGCGATGCTAGATATGCGTTTCGCGCCGGACAGGGTACCATCCGCAAGTCGCAGGTCGCCGGTTGGACGGTCGACAACGAGCGTCAGAGCATTAGGTGATGATGGAGAAGCGAAAGCATAATGAGAGGGAGAGGCGTGCAGGTTGATGTCACGAAAGGGTAGCACAGAAGGAGCCATTTTCGATGTCTCCCACTGTTGAGGGGGTTAAGGCTTGAGAGGATATGGGTCGTCAATCTAAACGGAAAGAAGGTTGCGATAGCTTGAATTTAGGAAAAGCGAATGAAATGAATATCAACGCATAGTGCGTATGTATTTTGGAAAGGGAAATAGTAATCAACCAAGAGAAGGAGAGACTGAAAGAAGAAGGCTGGAGGTGATTTTCCCAGCGAGAAAGGGAACTATCGTTGAGGACTAGATAGTACTAAGGTAGGTAATGCCAGCATGTGGTTGATAAAGTAAGGTACCGTGTGTTTCCGTCTATCCCAAAGGAAGTGATAAGGCCCACCTTCGAACCTGAGGTACCTAGGCAAGACGCAAGAGAGGTAAGGTATCTTACCAGTACTACGTACAGCGAAATCAGAGGTCGCAAGTTGTATTATTGTGATTCTTATTATTATTATTATTATTACTACGTACCTAGGTACTAACTACAGGACGTAGGACTAACATTATTATCTTCTTATTGGGAGCGCCACACCGCCCCGCCAGTTATTCAGTTGCCTTAGGCCCTGAAAAGCCAGTTGTGGCTGACCCCCTTCGTCATCTGCTTCTGTCCCAGACTGCTACAGACAAGACTACAGTAGTACTACCCTTACCAGCAGCCCGCCATCAAACCTCGCCGGTATCCCGATCCCGCCTTCATCACTCTCAAACCATCCCTCAGAACGTTCTTGCCTCATTCTTATACCACTTTAACCCTCAGAGATCTCGGCGCTTGAATTCTAAGATACGTCCTGGAACTGTGCTTCTCCAAAATCAGTCATTATGGCCTCCAGAGCGCCAGCAGGGACCCGTCCGGGTGCTAGATTCGCCCAGTTCAAGCTTGTCTTGCTTGGTTAGCTTACCCTTTCGTTCTCTCTCGCTGCATTTGTTTTGAGTTACATTACTGACGTCTGTTTTGATTTTTAGGTGAATCTGCTGTTGGAAAGGTTAGAGCTCTTTATAGTCACTATTGGTGTTCTTTCGGTCGCTGACATCTTATCCTCCAGAGTTCGTTAGTGCTAAGATTTGTCAAAGTGAGCTTTGGCCTTCTTCTCCTGGTGCCTGTTGGCTCATGGGGACAGCCTAGATTTTAACGGATATCATAGGATCAATTTGATGACTACCGAGAGTCGACGATCGGCGCTGCCTTCCTGACACAGACCATTTCGCTGGACGAAAGCACAACGGTCAAGTTCGAGATATGGGATACCGCTGGTCAGGAAAGATACAAGTCCTTGGCTCCAATGTACTACAGGAATGCGAACTGTGCTGTTGTTGTCTACGATATCACTCAGGCTGTACGCGCCCCGATCACCTTCTCTACTATCAGGCTACTTTGAAAACTAACTCGGGCAATTTGCAAACAGTCGTCGCTGGACAAGGCAAAGGCATGGGTGAAGGAGCTGCAGCGACAAGCGAATGAGAATATTGTTATTGCCCTCGCTGGCAATAAGCTGGATTTAGTTACGGAGCATCCCGACAAGAGAGCCATTCCGACAGCTGATGCCGAAGCCTATGCGCGTGAAGCCGGACTCCTTTTCTTCGAAACATCTGCGAAGACTTCGACAAATGTGAAGGAACTATTCGCCGCAATCGCTAAGAAACTCCCTCTCGATCAGGCGGGCCCGCGCAATCTGCGCACTACTCCTCGTCCTGGTGTGGACTTGCGACCGGAAGCACCTGGCACGCAGGGCGCCGGAGCTTGCAACTGTTAATTGCCGAAATCTCTGCCATCCTCCTCAAATTCCCCAACCGAGATCCAGATTATTTTCCCGCTTCAACTTCTTGTGCCTAGATATGAGAGGTCCGCATCTTCCTGTCTTAAGTTTGACCAAGTGATGCCGGCCTTGCTTCGCAATATGTTTTAATGGTGTTTCAGTGACTGAGAAATAGCTTCAGATGGAATGAACAATACTTTGCGCTCCTGACTCTGCCTTCTCGATCCCAGGGAATCATCCACCATCCTTGGCTGCGGAATCCGCACTTCGTGGCAGGGTCAATTTGGGATTTGGCTCTCTAGATGCTTTGCGATAGGGCTGTACCTCCGCTATGTCACCTTATCTTGTCTTTAGCTGTTTCTGGTTTGAATCCGGCGTCTGCATTCTCTGATGGGCTGAGTTTGGTTCTGCACTTGTCACTCTTCGCTGTCTTTATTCAATCCAGGCTACATTAGTATGCTATGCTTATATAATACTCATTTCAACGCCTTGTTCGAAGATTGACACTTGAGTTGATCATTGCGTGCTTGATTTCGCATTAACGTCGAAAGACGAAACGCGCAGCTTGTAGCCATCCAATGCTCCATGAGAAGGTAATTTCCGACGGAGCAGTATTACGAAACAAGAAAATATTGTTCCCACATGTAGACACTCAGTTCAAACCGCAAAATGGTTGCATCACTCTTTCGCCCATGAGAGCACGGAATGTAGTCGGTGGCAGAATTTGGGCGGTGCGACCTCCATAACTAAGCCACTTGGATATGGCTGTGCAGGGCTGTCGGAGCGGATCGTAAAAGCATCATCTCAATTCCGGTCCGCGTTTTCCCACTTGCCAACATCAACCCCCTCTTCTCAATCCGCCTTCAGCGTCTTCCTCCTCTGTTGTGCGGCCCGCCATGCTGCGCTCTTCTTTCACACAGAGCCGACAGTTGCTCCTGTCTTCAGCTCGCTCACGGGCAGCTGCGCAATGGCTGCCGAAAGCTGGAGCAAGCAACCGCTTTGCCGGCCAGGTATGACGACAACTTATGCTCCTTGATGGGTTCGGGAATACGTGCTAATACTAATGGCATCTTATACAGAGATTCTTTGCTGATGCCAAACCTCCCGTCACCGGTGCACCTACTCCCGCCTCCCCTTCTTCCGAATCACCTATTCCTCCAGAGACCGTTCCCAAGCCATCACCAGGTTCGCCTCCCGTTGTCCATTGAAGTCATTAATTTTTCCAAGAGCTAATTAGTGCAGCTGCTGAGGCTCCTCTCCCTCCCCCGCCTCCCCCTGCTCCTGCCCCCAAGACCGGGCGATTTCGAAAATTCCTTCTCTACTTGATTCTGACGTCTGGATTCGCCTACGCTGGCGGTATCTTTCTGGCGCTCAAGTCTGACAACTTCCACGACTTCTTCACGGAATACGTTCCTTATGGCGAGGACTGTGTTTTGTACTTTGAGGAACGCGACTTCTACCGCCGCTTCCCCAACACATTGAGAAACCAGAACCGCGCCCCCAAGGATGAGGGCAACACGGTCACAATTCCGAGCAAGAGCGGGCTTTCCTGGAAGGTTGCAGAGGAGCAATCTGGAGCTGATGTGTCACAGAAGGGCCCTCATATGAGCGCACTCGATAATGGCGAGAAAGCGCAACTCAAGCCTGGCGCAGTTAAGCCTGAGGAGAAGGTCGCCGCTGTCGAGAAGGCCAAGGCCGAGTCTGCTGCCAAGGAACAGAGCTCGGAGAATAAGAAAAAGGTGCAGGAGGAACCCAAGAAACCCGCGGCTCCAGCAGTGACGCCCATTGAATTCGCAACTGTCAGTGAGGGCGATGAAGAGGTCGTGCAGGAACTGGTTAAGACTTTCAACGATATTATCACTGTCATCGGCGCTGATGAGAACGCGCACAAGTTCTCTGGTGCTGTCAACAAGGCAAAGGAGGAGCTTCGAACTATTGGCGAGAAGATCATCGCCATCCGCAATGAAGCGCGAAATGCTGCCCAGGAGGAGATCAAGCAAGCCCATGCGACTTTTGATGAGTCTGCACGAGAGCTGATTCGTCGCTTTGAGGAGGCACGTGCTCATGACGCTGCTCAGTATCGGGAGGAGTTTGAGATTGAGCGCGAGAGACTCGCCCGTGCTTACCAGGACAAGGTCAACACGGAGCTGCAGAGGGCTCAAGAAGTGGCTGAGCAGCGCCTCAAGAATGAGCTGGTTGAGCAGGCCATCGAGCTTAACCGCAAGTACCTTCATGAGGTGAAGGATTTGGTTGAGCGGGAACGTGAAGGTCGTCTAAGCAAGCTGAACGAGTTGACCGCCAATGTCAACCTGCTCGAGAAGCTTACTACCGACTGGAAGGAAGTGATCGATACCAACCTCAAGACCCAGCAGCTCCAGGTTGCTGTGGATGCCGTCCGCTCCGTCCTCGAGCGCTCTACCATCCCCGGCCTTTTGTTCGTGAACTTGTTGCTGTGAAAGAGCTGGCTGCTGGTGACCCAGTCGTTGAGGCTGCTATTGCATCGATCAACCCAACTGCTTATCAGCGTGGTATTCCTTCGACGTCTCAGATCATTGAGCGCTTCCGTCGGGTGGCCGATGAAGTCCGCAAGGCAAGCCTTCTGCCCGAAGATGCTGGTATCGCCAGCCACGCGGCCAGTCTTGTTCTGAGCAAGGTCATGTTCAAGAAAGACGCGGTCGCGGGCAGCGACGACGTCGAAAGTGTGCTCCTTCGCACTGAGCATTTGTTGGAGGAAGGTAATCTCGACGACGCTGCTCGTGAGATGAACACCCTCAAGGGATGGGCCAAGATTCTGAGCAAGGATTGGTTGGGTGACGTGCGTCGGGTGTTGGAGGTAAAACAGGCTCTGGAGGTAAGATGATGGCCTTTCACTTCATTGTGTCATTTATACAGATGAGCTGACATATGTACTTTGCAGGTTATCGAGACAGAGGCACGCCTCCAGTGCTTGAGAGTTGAATAGAGAAAAGAAGTAGCGATCCCTTTCTGTTTCGCGTATATGTTCCTGTAGTCTATGGAAGACTTGTACGTTTAGTGGCACTACGTTATTAGAATCGATCTAGATATTCTTTTTGTCTAGATCTTCGATCCATGGTTATAGGGTTCCCTCCGTTGACGTCGTCTTCATGAGTCGTGGAGCTATATATAATGTTTGTTCTGTTTGTATATCCACGTGCAGCTCCAAGCCGTTGACGCGCATGGCTGATCGACTGAATGTCGACCCGAATGTCTTGCATCTGAAAGTTGTGGCAGAATATGCCACTTATTCTATCCTGCCGCTATGTTCTTGAGTTGAGCAAAGGTTGGAGTCGGCATTTGCGGTATCTTCTCTCAATAATTCCATGACTTCTCCACCACGTAACACGCACCTCCTTACTCACTTCGCGGGAGTGACCCGGACGCTCTCCCGACTTTGACGTTGGAGAAACTGGTGATTCCGTTGAATCGCTATTTTCGCTGCTATATCGATTTTGAACCACAGGGATAATTTGGCATCGAAACCTGCTGCCTCACTCGACTCTAATGGCGATTCCTACCGGCGGATTTCCACACGAATGACCGAGGGACGAGGAAGCGGCGAGCTGGAGGGCAGCACGCTCGGCAGCAGCTCGCGCGATGGAGACAGGGCGAGACGTAGTCAGCG